AAAAAATGCATTTACAAGACCAAAAAAAAAACAAAAAATACTTTTTCAAAAAGTCTTCGCCCTCCTATTCAGCAGGGCTATTAGAGAAGCAGCTTCGTTCTTTGACTTCTATGCTAAGGTCTTCCATTTTTGGAGTGAACTCGCGTCTAATAAATCTTTTTTTTCATTTAGTGGAGATGGTCAACGTCTGCTTGTTCTTCTGTACGGCCATATGACAAATAATATATTTCTTATGTATCCATAGATACTATATTGGATTTAAATCAAATTTTATATCAATCCATATTAATTGACTCCCTCTATTATGGCATTGCTAATAAATACTATTTTTTTTTGTTTTGGATCTTCCAAATCATTCCTGCAGGAGATCCGGATCCTCTTTTTTCTAATCCTTATATAAAAATATTCATTCTCTTCATAAAAAATAAAAGTAGATCTAATAAAGATTTCTTTAATCATAATCGAGGTATCCCAATAGAATTTTAAAACATCTCAAAAGGCCTTTCTTGAGTAGCATATTGATCTACATAGGTTCAAGACAGTCGTGACCCTTTCAGCTGATTGCAACAACAATATTAATTTTGTTGTGTTATCTTATATCGGTTGTGAGAAGATTTGAATGTTTAGTTATAAATATGACGAAAAATCTCACTCCTCAAGCTAATTTTTTGAATTAAGAGCACCCAATAGCATTCAATAACAGTATATAAAGTTCACAAGTTTATTATTATTATTATTATTATTTAATTCCGCAATTAGGTTAAGTTTTCGAATCCATACCTTACAATAACATAATAATGTGGACGTGTAATATTTTTTGCCCTTCCTTTTTCTTTGGCATGTTGCACACTCCAATAATAGAGCTCCATTATAGACGCTTGCATTTCTGTTTTTCGCGTCTATTATATTACTTGACCTTTGCGGCACTTTATAACTGTAATAATATTCTTCAAACGTAATATAAAAGAAAATAATTAGCTTCTAAGTTAAGTAGTTACAAATTGAATCTTGTACAATAAAGATATGATTCATTATTGGATTAATGGTGGCATAAGTCTGTGAAGCGTGGAACCCTTTTTTTTTCTTGAACAAAAAATTATATGCAATTACATTACTCCTCCACCTCCAACTAACATATTAAAATAAATAAAAAATAGTTGGTTACTTCCAAAATAATTAACTTTTTTTGGGTTAATGAGATAAAAAGTTATGTAACCTATACTACACTCTAACCATTACTCTCACATTACTTTATTTTTTTATTCAGATATTTTTATCATATATTAAAAATATGACTAATCATGTTTGGATTAGATGAAAGCGACAAAGTTTAACTTTTTTTAAAAACAGATGACTCTAGAATTGGAATTCTACACATTGATAAAAAAGTCACTTGAAAATTAACCCATTTACTACTACACCAACAATTTGTTAATTTACTTTATCTTTATTCTCAAAATACACCTAAATTCAGGTTACTTCCAATTAATGTTGCAAGTACAAATAATACCAGTTATGGAAGCATGTCCAAATTTTTAATTTATTCATTTGATCAGATTGGCCAATTTGTGGCAATCTGTTCCTGTTAATGATCTCATAAAATGTCCTTTTCATGTTGGCTTTCACGGATACTGTTACCAATTTATTTTTTATTTTTTTTGTGTGATATGTCATCATGCAATTTGCATTGTGTCAATCACTCAGTTTTATAATTATAACTATCTCGTTAAATGTAATAAAATTTACATTCTATAATTTGAAATCATTTCCTTATAAGATATCCCATCATTTAGTAAGTAAAAATTAATAAAAATATTTAGTACTCGTCACATTATCTTTAATTTATTCACTGGCTTAACAAGCACCAGACCTCTAACATATTGAAATGGAAGAAAAGTGGGAAACTCTTTTTTTTTTCTTTTTTCTTTTTTTGAGAATGAAGATGGGCAGATGGCAAGCAACCGATAACCAAGAAAAGCCTCTTATGAGAAGGAGTGTTTGCTTGTTGAAACTAGCTAGTGGCCTAGTGCCCATTCATAGCGTATAGCACCCTTCGAGATAACCATCACTTACCCAAATCATAGTTCGGGTGTTAAGGTGCATGGTTTTTCAAAAAAGTCCAAAAATCACTTTTCTGTTTCTAATTTAATTAAAACCTGCCTTGGCCAAGTGAACTGCAATTTTCTAATCAAACCCGCTATATAAAATATAACAGGTGGTGTCAATCCCATTCCGCATTTATTAAAAGTTTTATTGATAGGCTACATTATCTCTTATCTTTAGTATAGTATAGGAATATCCAATTTTGACATTATCAAATTTTATTGATTTTTTTTATAATTATTAAAATACAAAATTCATTCAAATAAAAAAAAAGTACATAAAAGTTGAATTTTAAAAATTTTAATCACCCTATTATATGTTTGAAATAAATATTTTATTGGTGGATAATATTTGGAAACACAAAAGCTTCTTTTATATATATATATATACTATGACTTAAATTTTTTTTAGAAGAAATTAAATTTGGTGATAGGCAATGATAAAAAAAGAAAATGAAAAAATAGTAAAATCTAACTATCCTAATTACTAAAAGCAAGACTTTCTACTTGTAGCTATATTTTCTAGATTAAAAGTAATATCGACATTAATTTAGTATCATTATTTGTGAAAAATCTAATTTTATAAATTATGAAAAACTATAATTAAGCGTATTTTGGTCTATCTAAGTAATAAAAGTATACTACGAAGTGGAATTAACAAACCATAGATTAAGAATAAAAGTGACTGGTGATTATTCTAAGACAAGAACCTCACCGGCTTGCCTAGGAATTGCTTCAAATTAAAATTTCGTCCCAAAAGATGTTTCCCGATGAAAAAAGTGATTTTGTCACCAAAGGGTGTCGGATGCTTGTTGTAGTGTAAACATGCAAACCTGAAGTAGCTGCCTATTTATTTATACAGAAATTAAGTATATATAAGTTCGTTTTTCAGATGCGATTAATTACCAATTAATAATTTCTATGTTAATCTTTTAAGACCAATAAGTTTATTTTTATATGTTATATATTTAATTGAGCTACTTATACTAACCTTTTCATATACTTCAAAAATTATTAATTAGTTGCGTTTTCTTTTCTTTCTTTCTTTTTTTTTTTTAAGTTTTCTTGAAAAACCTATCATAATTTTTTTTGAATGTTTAAATGTTTCTCTCAATTGTGGAACATTTTTATAATTGTAGCCTATAGAAGCAGAGAGGTGGGAGCGGGACAATGAAAGGTTAAATGAGAAGGAGAAGGACCAGATGAGAGAGGATCAGGAACTGGAGCTGAAAAAGAGGGTTTGCACCATGAAAAGGAATCTGCAGACGGATCTGTCAAATTTCAGAACAGGAAAGATTCTGATAACTGTAAAAATGTCGATTGATAAGTTAAAGATAGATAGAAAGATAGAGAAGCAGACATGGAAGAAGATAGACCTGACAACGGGCCAAGCCCAAACCCGAAACCCTACTTCTCTCTCACTCTCTTAATATGAACACAACTCTCTCCCCCTCTTGTCTGGCCGCAAAATCCATTCAGAGAGAGAGAGAGAGGAGGAGATGGAGACAGACACCGGGAAGGGGAACGGGAAGGGGAAAGTGAAAGAGTAGATCACAGAATTTGTCGCGTCAGGAAAGAAGGAAGAGAGAGATGGAGATGGAGAAGAGGATGAAGATGAAGAGTGGATTATTGCATACATAATATGGGGATTTCTCGTTATATGATCTCGCGGACAGGCTTTCGATCGGAACGACGCGAACCAGTAAGGACTGTCTAGGAAGATGACCCCTTCTGCAAACCGGAAAACCTAAAATTTTCTTCATATTATCTGTTGTTAGGGTTTTGATAATTCAAAAAAATATAGTAATTTATGTTTGCATTGTTTATGGAAGGGATGAAGAGAAGGAGAAGGACGAACACGGCAAAGCAGCAAGCTCTTCCAAAGCCAAATCTGTACTTTCATTTTGCAGCTGCAGCTCCTTAATTATGTGGTAGCTGGTATGTTTTTGAACTTTGATTATTAGGATTTTTTTTTTTTTTTTTTGGATCCACCAAGTTATCCCTTACAGCAAACGGAAGAGCATTTTACATATATAATAATTCAAATTCGAGATCATTTATTTAATCAATTAAAATTACTTTCACTCAAACTAATCCTTTTGGGTTTTTAAATATTTATTTGGTGTTCTCCTCCCTATTCTCTTTTTATATCTGCCTTAATCTATTTCATTTGTTTTGTATTTTTTTTTTTTTAAAGGATTTATCTATCTATATCTTAGTTCGAAGAAGGTCCATGATTTTTCTATAAGGGCATGAATGAATTTAGTTAATTCTTAGATATGCCCATCTTCTGTTTACTTAATTTGTTACATTGATGGATCAATCCAGAGACTCCAAAATCAAGGCTGGAAAGAAGCATCTTCAGATATTTATACGCACTGCAGACAGGGCTGTAGAACAGTTGAACCATGAAATCAAGTTTTGTTATTTAATTCCTTTTCTTTGATGATCTTCCTAATCAAGATGATTAATTTCTTAATTAATTAAAATTTGGGTGATCATTTTAACAAACGCATGACAACTTCTTGTAATTGATGGTGGAGGACAGCCTGTCGTTTAGCTTCTGGCTTAAGTAAGTAGATGACAGCTGTTTGATTTGAATAGCGAAGTTTTGCCCGCGAACAATTAGTAACTATTCGTTACATTAATCCTCTTTTCCTAAGTATTGATCTTTCTTCTTCTTCCTTTTTTCTTCAGGGAAGGAATCCGTAGCCAACAAGGATTTCTTTGGAAGGAAAAAAACCCTATAAATAGAACTAACCCTTCTTCACATGCATGTTGAATTTTTCTCTCTTCACGAATTTTTATAGTATAGATCGATCAAATTAGTTCACTTCCTTCTTTGAATCCGTAGAAACAGTTTGTTTGTTTTTTTCTCGAAGGCGATAGATCAAGAAAATGGCAGCACCGGAGAATAAAGAAAGAGATAAAGAGTTGGTAAACTTGTTCCAAGCCGTGGAGAAAGCGGCTGCACTTGGCGGACGATCAGTTGTGGAAGAAAGCCGATGCCTTGATGCATTGTGCCGTCTCAAATCCTTTCCTGTCACAGCCCAACCTCTTATTTCCACCAAGATAGGGAAGTGCGTTCGACAACTGAAGAAAAACCCTAGCAAGAAAATCCAAGATCTTGCTTCTGATGTTAACGCAATCTGGACTAAGCAACTTCTCCAACAGGTCGCATCAACCCGTCTCAAGAAAACATCATCTGATCATCATGTGCCCAAGTGTAACGATGTCTTGTCCAAGGTTTCTAGCGAGGCCAAAGAAGATGTTAGGGTTGAAGTGAATGCATGTGATCCAGTTGGGGTTGCTGTTTCTCTAGAGTCAGCGTTGTTTAAGAATTGGGGAAGTTTTGGTTCTAATAGGTCCAATAAGGCCAAGTACCGGTCTGTTTTGTTCAACATCAAGGATCCTAAGAACCCAGATTTCAGAAGAAAACTACTTCTTGGACAAGTGGAACCTGGTCAAGTGGTGAACATGAGTGCAAAAGAGATGGCTAGTGGCGAAAAGCAGCACGAGAACCGAATTCTTGAAGCCAAGTCTTTGATGAAGTGCGTTACTGGAACAGTTAAGAAAGGTACAACTGATGCATTCGAGTGTGGAAGGTGCGGGAAACGTGAGACAACTTACTGTCAGCTGCAGACAAGGAGTGCTGATGAGCCCATGACAACATATGTCACCTGTGTGATTTGCAATAACCATTGGAAGTTCTGTTGATTGCTGTTTTTCCGATCAGCTTCTCAAGTACAGTTGGACCTTGATTGATATATAGTTAAGGCATTAAATTAATTTGTTAATTGTTTATATTGATTAATTAGTAGGTAGTTGATCTATTGCCTGGGAACTTGAAGTTCTAATATTGTATTCAGCAATTCTTTAGTTAATTAGTACTATCTGATTTTCCGTTAAACATGAGATTTGTTACTAATTATCTTTTCTTGTTTTAGGGTTAGTACCATCTCCTTTTCTACTGTACTCGTATGAGTTTTGAGACCTTTAAACATGTGTAAAGTTTTCTTTCAGTAACGAACATCCAATATTGCCTTATCAAAAAACAAAAAGGAAAACGTTTTTCTGGATGAGAACTGTTTCTTTTATTGTCTAATGAATGACCTTCGATCCTTAGCTAATTTCCCCCATTATATTCTCAAACCGAAGTCAGTCAGAGGACTATTTCTTTCTACTGTGCATGGAAGGAAATTGAGAGATATTGTCTTTTGTCAATCAACAATCATCTTGGACTTGTTCTTGTAGTTTGTGGTATATATTTACAATTTGAAATTCTTTGTATTTGCTTTTGGGTAGCCCAATAACCAAAGAGGCCAACATATTTTACAGGTAGATATAGCCCATTATTGACCAACATAGATAGAACAATCAATGCAAGTGTGAAAGAAAGGAGAGATGAATTAAATATGCAGTCGTCAATTCCTTCGGAATAAGGACCATTCCAAGTTTTCGCCCTAGAAGTTAGGCAGCTCTCAATGAAAATGACCCTTCAATACTCCCCAAACATTTTTGTATCCCCATTTCAACCTCAAGCCAATTTTTTTAAAACTCCTAGGTGCATTGAATATGAAACAACAACAATGACCCAAATCAAATAATAACCATACATCAATGGTGGAATTCCAAAGGGAACCTGTTTAAAGGACCCCCCAAAAGAATGGAATTTAGTGTTGAGGCTGGGACAATTGTCATTATCAGATGTCCCACAAGGGCTCTGGCCTACCCTTGTGAATAAAAAGGGTATAAAATTTTCCACTTTCTCCCCACCCAACGCCAAAAGGATCCTTCGAATAGTGTACTTTGGAGCAGCTGTTGCAATGGTATTAAAAAAGAGAATAAAATGCACGAGCTTTATAGCCCATCAGTCTTTTTGATTGTAGGAGAGCTTGAGATAAACATGCCATTGATAATCTCTGCTTAATCATCCTAGCAATTACTAGTCTCTGTTACTGTATATGGCATTTATTTTTGCAAAATACAAAGAAAATCTTCCTGATTGAGAGGATATGTTAGAACTAATGATTACTGTTATAGACAGAGATACAAGTTGCTTAGCCCCCAACCTTCGAGCAAACTTCATTAATGATCTGCGTTCTGCAGTGTAAAAATTTGCTTCTGGGGTGTCTCGGATTCTTTCTTGACGTCATTCTAGACTTCTAGGCTCTAGCGCATAGCTAGCCTGCGCGTAATGTACATCATCACTTCCATATTTCCTTGTGGGCACAACTCCATGCCATGGCATTACAACGCATCTGGTGAGGTTCCAAATTATGTTTATCAAGAGCTAATTAGATTTCCTTCAACCAATTGTATTAAATTTAGCACATTTGAGAAAAGGGGTCAATTATTGACCTTTGTTTTTGGGATACCAACCGTTCATGGATACTGGCAAAAAATCTTGAGCTCCAAACTCAATTGTAGAGCAGTGTCGCAAAAAAGGCATCAAGAATATGTTGGACAGGAGAAGAGGTACAAAAAAAAAAAAAAAAGAGCTAGATATAATTATATATACTTTTGAGTTGCAATAAGTTCGATACAAATTAGATAAACAAAATAAGGACACAAAATCCAAGTTCTCTCATTCAAACTTCAGTGGAGAATCTTCACAGCAAAAATCAACTTTGCTCACTTAATTCACGGGCACCTTTTCTTGCTTGCTGCTTCCAACTGAAAATAACATCACATGGCAATAGGGTAACTAGCACCAAGCAGGCAAGGAAAAGAATTGGTTAATCAATAATGCTCAACACAATAAATTACTCACGGCTTAATGCAGAAACTTCAGAGCTCTTTAATAGGCGCAGCCTCTTCACTGTGGACACAAACATGCTACAAATCACATTAAAAAAAATAAAATGTTAGGAACACAACAACTCAGATAAAGAAATTTAATACTTCAGAGTTAGCCTGCAGGGAACAATAGTACAGTTTTTTAAAAGTTTTAAAGACATGCCAATGCATTGAATTATTAGAGAGATTTCATACATATAATTAATAAACAAAGTAGTAGATGATCTAGTAGGGATATATATAATGGTTATTAAGTGATTAGGAATCTAATCCAGTTATTCTGGTCATACTAAACGACATAAAAAGCATAAAATGGGGTTTGGTCATAGGCTTAATCACCAACTATATGTTGAATAAAATACGAATCAGATCCACGGTGATAAAGAAGCTTACTGCCATGGGACATCTCCAACAAGCATCCTGTCTCCTTCATTATCCTCATAAACAAGCGTATACTCGCCACTTCCATCCAGTACACCAGTAATTGCTTTCTCTTCCTCTTGCTTGTTCATGATTCCATTAGAAGAAGAATCTGTTTGAGCTATAAAACGGACATAAAAGACATACAAAATAAGATACTCTTGTCTATACAGTAAGTACACATGTTTTGGGATATAGTTTAAGCTAAACAAGCAGCAGCAAATGATCCAAGAATATTGTCACTCACTCAAAACACAATTAAACTAACATAAATTGGACTAACCATAACAATCAGATAGTTATAACACAACCAATGGAGATGCCATGGCCTGCATATGCAGATTGTAAATTGACAGTGCATATATACTAATTTATGAATGCAATATGAGTACTAAATAATTTATCACAACTATCGAATCTGACAAGTTATTGCTAACCAATAAATAACAAGCCATTATTGCTCTCTATCTCGATCATATCCAGTAACATTAAAAAGGCCACAATAATTGACCACGTGGGTAAAATTAGTAGAATAAGGCTATGAGAATAACAACCTGCAAGAAGGCCTCTAAAGAGTTCATCAACAGCAGTTGAGAGTTTTTCATAGCTATCAAAGGCTTTGAGGTCCACTTTCCTTCCTATGGGCACACCTTCCATATTGATCTTGACAAATAACCCTTTCTTGCAAGTTTCAACTTGTTTGTTTTGAGACTCGAGGGTTGGTTTAGAATAGCTGCTGCTGCTACTGTTTGCAAGATTCTTCCTGAAAGAACGAATTGGAGGCCAACCAACAACTGGACCAGGTGCAGTTCTGTTTTGAAGGAGTATTAAAGAGTGAATTAAAAAGACAAGAAATAAGTATGCGCAAGTCATATTCAAATAAATAACGATCATAATTATTTGATGGTGTATTTTGTTGCAATCAAAGTACTTCAGACTCTAAAATATAAGAAAAGACAAGGAAATGTAAAATTATAGCACACAAGTAAGACATTGAAGTCTCATAAGCAGCCCCACCTCCTATGCAATTCTAAAAGGTAGAAGAAGAAATAGTTTCTATTCCAAGAAAGTAGAAAATAATAAATAATGGTGAAGGAGATAAGATCAAAACTTCATCAAAAGGCATATACATGTAAATAGAAGAAAACAAGAAAAGAATAATTTACACCAAAATGGAAGGATAAGAGTCATAGATTTTGATAGCCATACTAAGCTAACAGGCGTCATCAATCAGCAGTAAAAATTGGTGGTAAATTTTTGAACTGTGAAAAGAGTTAACGCATGCAAGAGCTCATCGGTCAAATTTAAGAAGTAAAACCATCCTGGCAGAAATCGAAAGAAACAAAGATATGGACCACACATCATCTAGAGCCAAGTAAACATGTGAATGAATATCCTCTGTCAAAAAAGCTACAAAAATACAAACTGAGAGAGAGAGAGAGAGAGAGAGAGAGAGGGTAAAAAGCTGGAGTACCTTTTCTGAGAGCTGTTGGGCACAGCTGTACTGGCAGGAGCTGGTGGTGAAAATGTCTTCTTTTCTGCACACTGCTGCAACTCTACCACTTTAGTGCTGCAGGGCCGTGAGGATTCCTTAGGCATAGCAGGCAGGCTCTGTTGGGTTGCAGTTGCTGTTGGTGTTGGTGATGATGATGGAAACTTGAGAAATGGAGGAACCACCTTTCCATGTTGTTGCTGATTAAACCAAAAATGTGAATTCTCAGCTGAAGAAGGAAACTTATGAGTTTGTTTGTTTCCATTGGTTGAGTACCCAAAAGAGAGTGGTTGAGACTCATGTTTTTCTCCACCAGTGTTTTTGAGAGACCAGTCTTCACCAGGTGGACCAAGCCTTAGTTCAAGCTTTTTATCCTCTGAGGAGGACCTTTCATCTTCTCTCTTACCAAGCCATTCTCTTTCTTTGGGAATCAAATCCAGTAACCGAGGACATGCCTCAACATTCTTTGAACAACCTTCCATTAATTTTCACCAGATAAAAATCACCTTTTTCTTGGACTTTTGACACTCGAAAGAAGCAACAAAGTTAGAAAACTTAACAGGAACGTGAAACAGCCACGCTTGACAAGCTACAAAACAGAATAACACATTCAAAACAGCGTAAATATGAGCATACAAAACAAATACCCTACAACTAAAACCAAAAGAACAGGGACTAATTACGAGACTACATATACCTTCGTAAGTTAGCAGAGTTCTTAACGGGCACTCAAAACCTTGAACACCCACATCCTCGTATCACTTGAAAACAAGAAGCCAGATAATTACTATCGACGGACCTTAAGATCTCAACTAGCAAAGCAAGAACCAAGTTTTAAAGCCTTTCATGGACCCATCAAAGAGAAAGCAATAATATATCTCCTCTCTAAAAAGAGAAACCCCACAAAGAGAATGAAAAACACAAGAAAGAAAAAGCGTTTCAACAACTCAAAGGCCAAAGGCAATGATAAGAACAAGAGAGATATTGGTGAGTTCCACTTGCTTTAGGGGATTGACTATACAATATAGGTGATTTGAAGTAGAAATTGCGAGAAGGAAATGAGATAAAGCGAGGTTAAAAAACCAGAGAGAGCATAAAGGGAGGGAGGGATTCTCTTTATCTATCTATACTATAGAGAGAGAGCTCAAAAACCCAAAAACAGGAAACGAGGAATTTTGGTGCAACGCGCACGCAACCCAGCAGCAGAAAGGGAGGGGGTTGGCTCTAAAAAAAACGTTAGGTTGTTGTTTGGCTGAGGAAGCAAAGCGTGCCGTTGCTGACCTCCCTTGAAGAAAATATACTCTCTCTCTCTCTCTCTCTCTCTCTCTCTCTCTCTCTCTCGATCTCTCGACAAAAGTGTTGCATCTTTATGATAGCACACTATCCCAAACGTACCCCTTTATTAGAGTCTTAGCTTAGAGAGAGAATGAGAAAGTGACTCCAAAATCATAATATCTTGCCACTTGTGCTGATTAACCAGTAATTACCAACTCATTTTGTTAAGATTAGCTTAATTACCCAATTTATTAATCAGTACCCATTCCCATCAATGATCCAACAAAGTATTTAAAAGAGTTAGTACCGAAGATGCAAATTTTCAGTGCTTTCCTTCATAAAAGTCGTTGCTATCATCTTCATTTTACAACACTTACTTACTTTTTAGTAATAATATAAACTTTCCAATAAAGAAATCAATGTTCTTTTAATGTTAAACACCCTTTTCTAGAATTAAAGCCATTGAGTTGATTATTACACACGGGCAGGGTTCTGAGGGAGGCACAGGTCTTATTGGGATAATTAAAGAAAAAAAATTGTCTTTTCGGGTTAATAAGTTAGTCCTAAACTCCAAAACAAGACCTGATCCATTCTTTAGACTTGCTATTAAAGTCACTTACTTGATTGAACAAGCAAATTTAGTTTAACAAGTTTTAATTTGTGTAAGAGAGAGAAAATGAGAAACTTCAGGCTTAATTAAGACAGGACTGCCAGGTTAACTAACAGGTTTGCCTTCTTTGGAGGTTCTAAGAAAGCGACGTGAGCTGGGGACAGTGCAATTTTTTTTTTTTTTTAGCTATTAACAAAAAAAAAAAAACTAAAATCAAGCGATTGTTTATTATTTATTGGTATTATTTGAAACATTATTTATCCAAATTCATTAATATTATTCATCAAGATGCATGTATATTATTTTTTTCAATATGTATTATTATTATTTTAATTTAGAGTGATATTTTTATAGTTTTCAAACTTTTTAAAGGTATTTATTATGAAGATTTTATGACTTTACAATTTGGTTCCTTTTTCTAAAATCTTGTTTTTTTAGTTCATAAATTTTTTTGTTTAACTTTAATCAATTTTTTTGTTTCATTTTGATCTTTTTTTCCTCTGATTTTTTAATTAAAAAATTTAAGATAAAAAAATTTAGATAAAATCAATTTACAAAATAAGTATTTAGCTAAGAATCAATTGATTTTGACATTTTTTTTATATTTTCATAAATATTTTAGTTAAAATTATAGATAGATATATATAAATATATTTTTTTAATCGAATGTTTATGAACAATATAAATAATAATCAATCAAATATAAAATTTTAATTAAAAAATTAATTTATTTTTTATTCGAGTTTTGATTTGATATATTTCGTTAGACGTATAATATAATTTAAAATATCAAACTGAAATAATTTTTTACAATAATTTTAAATATTATGTTCGATCTACGACATAACGTGGATTAAAAAAATTAGTTTGGAAACTAAGCAATAAGCATTTATAATAGCAACAAGTGATTAAAAAATCCTTCCATTAGGTTTGACTATCATCAAGATTTTTTTTTCAAACATCCCTATTTCATAATAAACTTCCCCACATTATATATATATATATATATATATATATATATATATATATATATTTCCCCCATCTTACTGCTTCTCTTTACGAGAAATGATTTAGTTAATTTTGTCAGCCTAGATGAACTTACAATTCACTATTTTCTTTATTTGTTTTGCCAATTTTTTTATTTTGGTGAAATGTGTTTGTTTTTATTTTTATTGAAGAAAAAAAGTAAAGCAGAGAGAGAAAGATCTAGCCAGGGTGGATTTGCATGAGGATCTTGTGCAATAAAAACATGAAGATCCCATGATCTTGTCTGCTCTCTCCCTACCGGCCACAGCTCCTGCACATAATGTTAAGGGGTCCGTCAGATGATGTGCGAGTGATCAATTTAAGCCGTTAGATTGTTTGATTTTTTATTGGGATGTGAATTGTGATAGGCAGAATCTGACACAGTTGAAGAGGCTCCAAGTCTGATGGCTAGCAGCATAAAGTAGGCAGTCTTTTGTTGCTTTTTCGTACAGGAGATTATGACTCTCCCTGTTTCTAATAAATCGGCAAGATGTTAATTATTTAATAATTACTCTACAGCAATCCTGTACAGACAAATGGCTCACCTACCCAACCCAACTTTCACTATATGCCTATACTGCCCTTGCGTGTTTTACTAAAAAAATACCGCTTGACGTCGTTTGTCACTTTGTCTGTTTGTTTTTCCCAAATCTTGATGTCAATTTTCTTCATATTTTTCTGCGTGCTCCAGGCATAACTTTATTCCCAATTTTAGAAATGAATAGGATATTTCTAATTTCACTATTTAAAACCACCCTCTCTATTAAACAAATTACTTTTGATATATATATATTTTGTGTTGGAATTTTATTTTAAATTTTATAAAAAAATTAAATTAAAAAGCATTTAGTTTTTTATATAATAAATGTTTACGATTCATGAAACATTGTCAATTGCATAAAGAAAATGACAAAAACATCAATTCTGATATTTTCTTCTTGTATCAATTTCAGATTCTGAGTATACATATATCAATTATTTTGGCAAAAGTAACTATTACACAATGTATGAATGAAAATGATGTTAAGGCATATGTTGTGATTCTAGAGAAAAAAATCCATCCAAAATGTACTATTTCAAAGATGCAATTTGGTTTCAATTTTTTTTTTTTTCACAAAGTAAGAGATCACATAAAAACTGCATAAATTATAAATTAATTCTCTTGATTCAAGAAACAAATTATTTAATCATTAGTCATTCTGGTTTTAAGAAATAATTGTTTAGCTTTTTTATTTTATTTTTTATTATAAAAAAATAAAATATAAATAAAAATATAAAAAGATTGATGAAAAAATAAATTTTTTTATAAAATAAAAAATATTAAATTAGACATGATCAATACTTATTAAAAGATTAAATAAATAATTTTTAAAATTACAAAAGCTATTTAATTCGTTTTTCAAAACGAGAAGGACTAATTTATATAATTTACTCTACAAAAATTCAAAAATCCATGTAATCATGCAAGGCGGGTGAGAAAGCATCTCATCATTTTAACTTTTTAAGTGGGAATTTTTTTCTCTACATTACAAATTATGAGAAAACATGAAAAAAAAAGATTTTTGTTTTTAATTTTTCTTTTTGGTCTAAATTTTTAAGTCCCTGCCTAATTGGTTTATTGTTTGTACAAAATATTGGCATGTGTTTTGGTCTTGATCCCTGGGAACGGACACCATGGTCATTTCAATCATACCCATAATTCTTGGTGCAAAAACATAGAACGGGTACTAACTTGCGAGGAACCTAAAAAAAAAAAAATTGAAACAAAATATACTTACATATTGGGATGGCAATTGCCATTTTCTACGTCTTTTGGTACGTCTCGGCCTCCAAGAATAATGGGTACAATAGTCATTTCAGCACTAAAGACGTCATTCTTGTTCCCTTAATACACAACTCGCCGAGTTTATCATGATCACGGGTAAACTATATCGTAAAAGAAGAGAAACAACCTTAAACCGCAAACAAGGAAGTTAACTGAATCAAGTGGTTAAAACCTAGGATGGCTAACCATGGGTGAGCCCTGGTCGGTTGGTGCTGGTCTGGTCTGCTCCTGGCCTATGACCTATGGCTCTGAGGTTGGATACTGGGAGACGAAATCTGTGGGTATCTGCCAGCCTGTCCTACTCACTGGGCTGGTGTTTGTAATCATAGGACTGATCCCACGTGTCAAATCTTTTTAAACCCCGTTTGCAGGTCCACTTGGATTGTGGGACCCACTATTGAAAACCTTCCTCTTCTTGCCACGTGCGTTGGTGGTCTGTGATTGGAGGAGATCTTTACAACGTGAAAGTCCTTTTGCCCTCCGACCAAACAACATGTCCGAATTTTAACACCTAGTCGTGGGTCGGCAGCAAATATTAGCAGATGGTTCTATACTTCAATTTTCTTTAACGATGACTTCTTTTAACAAACAATTAACCTTTTAGCACCAAAACAAGACAGAGGAGGAAATCACATCATAATCTATATTGAAACATTATCCTTCATGTTCTTTTAGAATATTGCATGTGGAGATAATTTCTATTGGATACAAGATCCACGGTGGAATACACTATACCATTAACAATAATATTTGAAAAAAAAAAACGACAATAGCTTCTTAATTGTTTTAGCAAACTGAAAACAAAATGTCATGTAACGAGTCGTTAAATGCTTCATTAAATAGGAAGAGAAAACCATACTATAAAATTGAATTTTAATAGCAAAACTTCGAGAGCTAAATCGCCATTTGAAAAAAAAATATATGATTACTGCATCTCAAATTGTAGCATATCAAATAATTATATATAAAAAAAATTAAATCAGAACATAAATTTATTAGTCATTCAAACACTATTGATTCAAATTCATATGTAATATTTTCTTTTCATCATGCAGTGATGTTTTTATAATTTTAAAATATTTATTATAAAAATTTTCATGATATTACGCTTTGGTTTTTTTAAAAATATTATTTTTTAGTTTGTAAATATTTTTTGTTTGATTTTAATCTCACTTTCTGGTTTCATTTGGTCACTTTGGTTTTTATTTTTTCTCTAATTTTTTTAATTAAAAATTTTAAGACAAAAAGGATGTTTAGAAAAAAATAATTTACAAAATAATTTTTTAGATAAAAATATGGATAGAGATAAATAAACAATATTTTTTAATAAAAATTTTATGAAAATATAAAAAAATAATTAGTCAAATATAAAATTTTAATTAAAAATAATAAAATTGAATGAATTTTTATTCAGTTTTTGATTTAATATATCTTGGTAGACATACAATATAACATCGGACATTAAAATGAAATATTTTTTAAAAAATAATTTTATATATTTTGTTTTATCTGTAACATTAAAAAAAAAAAACAAAAACCTAATTCCTTCTATTACATAATTCAATGGCACTTATGTAATTCAAAACTGATTATATCAATTTTACGTCTCCCTAAATTTTGGTGGTATTTCCATAGATACAGTAAATTTAATATTAAAACTGTCGCTAAAATTAACATAAATGTCACGAAACACATTTGATAACAGCAACTTTTGTGATGTCGTTATGAGATATATCTATAATTAGCATTTCCTTATTCCAATTTTTACGAAAATGCTGCCGAATGTCAATTTTGATATATTAAACAATTTCTTGGTATCAAAATATTTTATCCACGCAATTAGAATTTCTTTTTTTAAATAAAAATATATGGTGGTATTTGAGAAATGTTTCATAAAAAGCTTTATTTATTTATTTATAAAAAGCTTTATTATTCTCACTAAAACTCTCTTATTTTATTAACGGTTGAACAGTCACCAGCTTGCCATGCGGAGTTCGGGAGGGCCAATCCACTGCTTCGCATATCAGAATAAGCTTCAACTTCATTGAACCCACAGTACATATCACATCATACTTCTTATGACAAAATTTTTTGTCCCTTAGCCCAAATCTCACTTACAAGCACAAATCAATGGTTTATCGGAGTGGGTTTTCAGTAACTTTGGTATTCCGTTTGGAATGTTTGTTAGTGAATTTGAGTGAAAATGTATTGATTTGATGTTTTTTTTTATATAAAAGTTTTGAACAATTATGATATAAAAAAAATTATCATAAAAAATTTAAAAAATCATTAATTTGATATGTTTTCAATTGAAATTATTTGTATAAAACAGTATGAAACTTATTATTAAACTGACTTTTAATATTTATTAAGAGCTAAAGAGTTTAATATGTGATTATTTTTTCTAAATCAAGTTTTGGTTATATTTTATATAAAAATGGTGAAATTAATTTTTTATTTTTACCGTGACGGTAAAATTAATTTCTTATCTTCACGTCTTTTAATATTTTCATGCACTAATAATTGACTAGTGCCGTGAGAAAAATATTTACAAACATGATAGAAATCGCGGGGTGAGGATTTGTTCAACATCAAAGGACCAAACAACTTGTGAGGTAAACGTCATGTCAGGAAGATAATGCTAGCTAGCTAGTAGGAGTAGCTTCTTTTTCTCTTTCTTTTTCTTTCCCATAATTAGTAGGGGTTGTGTCGTGTATCAAGGTCTGTTCTGTTAATGATGACGAAATTATATCCTCAGAATACAGAGTAAATTATAAAGTAGTCCCTTTAGTTTTACCAGATGAATTAAATAATCTCTCTTGTTTCGAAAACTAATTAAATAGTCCATTAACTAGTGTTGATCATTATTAATTTAATATTATCCTGTTTCAATAAATGTTTTGTTATTAATCTTTTTATTTTTTTACTTATTTTCTTATATATTTATCCAAATAAATAAAAAATAATTTTATCTTTTTTATTGTAACTAGTCATTAAATAGAGATACTAATCTTTTCATTCTTTTTACTTGTTTTTTCTTTTTATAATCTACTTTCAGAATATGACATAAGTGAGTATATTGAAGGTCACGTGTGGCGCACTAATGGTGCCGACTAGGAGTCAGTTTGATGGGATAATTTAGACCGTTTGAATTTACGATGCTTGGATCTCTTGGCCATGCTTTTTGGTATTTAAAATCTCCGCATTTTCATATCGAACTTGCATCTAATAAAATACTTGATCTGACGCTCTCCAATATATATCGAATATTTTCATACATATCTTAAATTCGCTTGTTCGCATTATGCTACGAATATGATAAAACTAAATTATTTTAAAATTTTTTAGTTATAATTTTTTATTTAATTAATTTATTTAATATTTTTTATAAATTTTTTATTTAAAAAAACATAAATCATTCTTCGTTACGGTTGATTTTAAAATAAAAAATTATAATAATTTTAATTAAAATATTAATCAAGAATTAAAAAAATTATGAAAATATAATTTTCATAATATTATATTTCAAAAAATAAAGTTATAGTTAATGGACAAACTTTTATAAAAATTAACAAATGAAAAAAAAATTCTTATTTAATGTTGATAAGAAAATTAATTTTTTAAAACAATACAGGTAGATAAAAAAAAATCATTTCAAAATTTTTTCATTTTTTCATTAATTTTTTATTTTATTATAACTATTTTTTGTGTGTTTTTCATAAAATTTCTACTTAAAAAACATGATTTATTATTCTTTATTCAGAAATTCTTAAATAAAAACTTATGATGATTTAAACCTAAAATATTAATTAAGAATTGAAAAACAAATACTTTAAAATTATTTTTTTATAACAATGTATCCAAAAAATAAAGTTACAATTAATGTATAGACTTGCATAAAAATTAACCAACGAATAAATAAAATTTTTTTTCTTATTTAATGTCGGTGAGAAGATTTTTTTTTCAAGTATATGCGTTTGATCTATGTATATTTATTTACAAAATAATCAATAAAATTATCATAAAAAACTATATTTGAATAATTGGTTGATTCCTTTTAAAAATTATTTTAATTATTTTATTTCAAATAAATTGGTCCTATAATGTTAAAAATATTCATAGTAAATAATTTGTATTATGTTGGAAGATGTATAGTTAATTTTTAATATAAAAATAAGAATAAAAATTAACTTGATGTGAATTTTTATAATAAATTTAAAAGATCAATTTTAAACAATAAGAATAGTATATATTTATTCTAAAATCTAAAAACATATGGTATATATTATATAATTGTCAGTCAATTTATGTGAAAAAAATAACGATTGATTTTTCAAAATTTTAACACCCAATTAAATAAAAAAAAATTGATGAAAAAAATCAAGAAAAAAAATATGCAAGTGCATCGACCAAGGGATTAAAATTTTTATTTTAAAATTCTAAGAACCAAAATGAAACAATTTAAAAATTTTAAAAAAAAATTGATGAATAATAATTTGTGAGTAGATGAATAGTGAAACTCATTGTTCATACCCTCCACATCTTTTAGATAGACTATAATAAAATGTTATTTTGAATACTTGGGAATTTTTTAAATACTTTTATATGCTTATATGCATCCAATATTTTTTGATACTTCATCACTAGTTAAAAAATAAAATATGTTTTTGATAGTTTTTGCATAATTTATCCGTATTATATTAAGAAGTGTGCGTAGCATGTTATTGAAGAAAATTCATTAGATATTATATCGATCTTTTTTTATCTTTGAAGGTTGAATTGCTCGAAAGAAAAAAATAATTCCCACTTGTTCAAGAGAATACTTTGTTGAAGAGGACTGGATGTATAGATGGGATCCATGTGAAGGAGTGATAAATAATACAATAAGGATTCTAAACAAATTAGTGAAACCAAACGAGCAAGCGTTAAGTGATAAATAATACAATAAGGATTCTAAACAATTTGCAAAGATGATGTTTTTCCGCTCCTTTAGAAATTGAATAGATGGGTAGTATAATTTATAAAATCCTTGAGTATTATAAAATTAATTATTTATTAAGTATTATAAAAAAAATTTACTATTTATAGAAATTATAGTTGTCAAATGTGATAATGCGGCCCAATAAATTTTTTCAAAACTCCTACAAATTTAGTTCTAGTAATTTTTTGTCATTTCACTAATCGAGTTTAACAACTACGTAAGCTAGATACAAATCAATCAAACTTGAAGAGTCAAACAAGTTACAATCGTAGAAACCGGCATGGGATTTCCTTGACTAAAGCCAAACGTGTCTCTCACCCAGGTGACCTGCTTAAAACTTCTACTTGATGTCTCTCTGTCTTGTGCTCTCCACATCAACCGTCCTTTCCTCTCTGTCGTGCCTTTGACATTGTTGAATAGAATGAGAAAAAGAAAGGAAACAAAAAAAAGTGGTTGGCTAATTGGGAGAAAGATATATATTGCGTGCGTGCCTAGCTTCCAGCAGAGGCTGGCTATTCTGCTTAGCCTCTTTCGATTTTTTTCTTTTCTTTTTTGAGAAATATTAAGAATAATCCACTTTTTTTTTTTTATCCCCACGTTTTTTGAACATCAAAGAGCCACAACAGAGCATTAGCATCCACCAACAAGAACGCAATCTACAGGCATATGGTGAGAATTCATTCATATCCTCAACTTTAGGGTTTGTGGGGGTGGCAGACCCCACCACTCCTTTGTTTCTTACAAACCGATCATTTCAACTTTGATACATCCTCATATGATCATATCCTCTTTCTTTTTCAGCTCTCTCTTTTCATGTTTTTTTTTCCCTTTTTTTTCCTTTGTTTCATTGATTGCTTCCATCACTATCATTCTTGGTAGTTTTGTTGCGTCCCCTTTTTTCTCTTAAGGGGTTCCACTTGATTTTGCACCACGCGCCGCTGTTGTATCAAGAACATGATCGATTTTGGGGCCACCCTCCTTGTCCTCTACGCATATAGATAGTACTATAAGTTTTGGATTCTTTAGTGGTTTTGTTTCAGGAGGATTTAAGTCACGATCACAAAAATTGATCCCTGAAAACAATTGCATGTGGCTGGTGATCGTATATCCAATATTTTAATTTGACATTCTCTAATGTATGATTTTGAATATTTTAAAAATAAATTTTCATGAGTGTTAATCATAAAGATTAAACTCTAAAACTAATTTATAAGTTGACTTTTGCTTACCAACAGACTACCACCTTATTATTATTTTTTTTTATAATGAAATTCTCACATTAACTTAAATAGCTAACCAATTTAAATATATATTCTGATTATGCTCCTATATATTTTTCTCATGCATCAATATGAAATAAAATTTTCTATTTTCTGTTCTATGAAAAACAAGACAAAAGTCCCAATTTAAATTACAACTGATCTAGTATGGAGTAGAAACACTCACCAACCAAAATGAAAACATTCCGGTAGGGGGATTGGCTTGAGAATGCACTCCAACCTCCATCCGGCGACCAAACTAACCAACCCTCACAAAAAGCATTTAGCGCTTAAACTACTTTCCACTTGATTGATTAAATTTTTTTTTTCTAAATATTAACTTCAAATTTGAAAGTTAAAAATTCAATGAAAAGAATATATTAATTTATATTTTTAAGCATCTCATACTCAAAAAATCCAAACTAATTCATTACTATTTGATCGGATGTAGAAAACAAATACGATTATTCAAAGAATTTTTTACGTATATAAAAATTTAAAATCGAAACCGTTTATTTGAACAATTAGAACTTTTTCTACTTAAACTAACCTCTTAAGTGACGAAGAGAGTATATTTTATTAACCATAAGACTATTTTTTTTAAGTTAATTAAAATACAATTATTGCTCTCACAAAAAGAAAGTGTCATTATTACTATCAAATTAATATACGTAACAGTAATGAAAGTATTCCAAGTCTATGATAAGCACCAACAATGATTGCAACTGTATCTTTCTTCTTGCGTGAAACAAAGTGAATAGTGGAGAGCTAACACAAAATAGTATGCGTTTATTTATTTATTATATTATTAGGATAAAATTGGGTTTGTGATCGTGATAATTAGAATCACGAGGACGAGGTGGATGTCTAAAAAAGCAAGATGCTGATAACAACAACCATAAAGAATAATACTCTTTGATTTGTTGATTATTATTGTAATATATATATATATTTTATCTTTTTTTAACTTAAGGTGGATTCTATTCTACATTACATGTACTCATGATGCAATGCAAACATATAGTTAGGCTAACCTTCTGGAAAAACAAAAGGCAGTTTTTCTAAAAAAGGTGGACCAAAGTTTGGTCATTAATTTATCCCAAAAATTGATTACTTTAGTTCGGCATTTCACTTATGATTAGGCATTACAAGAAAATCGAAAAGAAACGACGGATTTTTGAAGTTTTGAATTTTCTAAGTTTGGTCATTAATTTTCATTAATTCACATATTTATTTAGTGAAAGACTATAATCCATTATTAATTTTCGTTGTTATTTTTTGATTTCTTATAGTGACGGTTTAAAGAGTTCCATATTTGTTTTGAATTGTATTCATACTTTCTCTTTCATTTGAGTAAATTATAAATTAATCTTTTTAGTTTTGAAAAACGAATTAATTAGTTCTTTTGTTTTTTAAAAATAATTGTTTAGTTTTTTTATTCATTTTATGTTCTATTTTATTTGTTCTTTTAAAAAAATAAAAAAAACGATGAGAATTTTTTTAAAAAAAATATTAAATTAACACGATTAATATTAATCAAAAAATTAAATAATCAATTTTAAAAATAAGAAATTTATTTATTTATTTTTTAAAACCAGAAGGAATAATTTATAACTCATTTCGTTTGGATTACTGATCAAGTCAAATTGCATTACGTTAGCGAAGACATTTGCTTTCTTTCTAGTTTACGCGCAAAGAGATAAAAGAGACAATAGCTAGATTTCTTATGTCGTACCGACGTCACTTCAATTCGATAATCATCTTTTACAAATAAGCAGTAAAAATTGAACATTCACCTTAAAAAAGAAGTAAAACGTTGGATTATGAAAAGGGGAAGATCATGTCGTTTGACTAGTCATCTTGTAAAATTGTTGTTTTTTATTTTGCTGATAGAAAAATATTAATAGTAAAATAACTAATTTGTTTTATAACTATATTATTATTGAAGATTGATTCGAAAATATCTTATGTTCTTATTCAATCAGTAAAAAATGAATTATTCATCAGAAAAAATAAAATTTTATATTGTGAAAATATGAATATCATATCATTTGACTAATCATATTGTAAAATTGAAATTGATATTGTTCGTTTTGCTTATAGAAAAATCAATCTTTTGTATTGATAGTAAAATGACTAATTTGTTTCATAACCGTATCATTATTGGATGTTGATCCAAAAATATCAATTTTACAAGATATTTAGCTGTATAATAATTATATAGCTGTATTGATAGTATACACACACATATATATAGCTGTATAATAATTATTAATTTTTATGTAAGAGAAGTAACACTATACTAAAATACTTGACCATTTCTTTTAAAAATGATGTTTCTCTCAAGCGTGAATTGATAATCGATATGTAATTCTGCCATCAAGGAGCATGTGACCATTCTCCTTTCCAGTCGCATTATCGAAGCCACATTTAACCCATGCAAATCAAAAATTGAACTTATCGATGAGAAGGACAAATTAAGGTGTGTGTGTGTGTAAATCAACATCGTTTTGACCTTTCGTTTTTGCCAATCACCATCATTTTTAAATTTCCCTGCTCTTCCTATACACTTTATCAGGTTTCTTTCTTTGTATTTTTTGGTTAAAAATTAAAGATGTTTGTAGAGCATATTTTTCGAACAATTAACAAGAAGCCCTTTTGACCTTTTATGAACAGAAACACCATTATGCATCCCTTTTTTGATCCCCTTCCAATACTGGAAATAATTAGAGGATGAGTGCTTTCTTATCGTCAAGTATCGATCCTTTTCCTTTGGACTTTATCAAAAAGCCCTTATGCTCGGGAAGATTAGTGTGAACGCACTATCTGCCGTAAATTATCGTTTGTTGGATATTCATACATGACAAAAATGTAAAATATGCCGACGAACAAAAAATCATGAACTCCTTTTGCTCTCACTGTCAAAAATTTGTCTTCATTCCAAAAGCTCTAAATCGGTTTGTTCTTTGGTTGTTTTCCTTTTCGACTATCGATGGTGGATGTGAAAGAAAACGATAAGTTAAAACATGATATAAAAAGAAATCTCGGATCCTTAAGGTAAACAAAAAATAAAAAATAAAAAGTAAGCTAATGGTGAATGTTGCAAATAATTCATCCACGCCATTTTTTTTTCTTGATATCTATATATTATTTAGGGAGAGGGATATGAAGGTGGTGGCTATTCCAAATTTCAATTATAATCCTTAATTTTTAATATTTATTAGATTAATGTCTTATTAATTTATTAAATTTAATATATGATGGCATACGCACGTGTATGTGAGTCAATTGGCTTTAGGGTCAAATGCAAATGGATTCTTAAATCATGACCAAAAGATGAAAGGTGAATCATATTGATTAAAAAAGATGTAGTTAATTGTCGTAAAGTTAGTGTCGCATTGACGCTTATCTTACCAAGCAATTTTGGCGCAATATCCGATAACTAGTAGGATAATTATCGAGAGAAAGTAAGAAATGGACCCCGAAAGGGTCCCATAATTTGTACACAAACATGGGCAATTTAATCTGGACATCAAGGAAAGTTGCTTTGACACAGTTTCAAGTTCTTAAAGAAAGAAGATAAACCAACAATATATTCTATTGCAATCCCAACCTCCCACAACCCTCAGATACAGAGCACGTCCCCTGCATTCCTACCATAATATATTACAATTATAATGTAATCTAGCAAAATCTGTATTCCATTCCATCCTAGTACTATATGTTCTCTTTTTTATCTATATATATATATAATTTTTAGTTGGATATGATGATTGCCTTCATTTCTCTTTCCTTTAGCCTGATGGTACTGTTTCAACATTCTTAATTTCTTGGGTACAAATTGGTCTGAAGTTATGCATTAAAACATCATGAGAGTACTGTGTGTTTTCTTTCGTTTTCCTAACCTTTCTTTTAGCAAATTTTCTTGTTGAAAATAGGTTTTAGCATTTCCACTAATTCAATCTTACTTGGTCTGAAAATGGAATTTAAAAGTATTTTGAGAACATAGGTTTTATTAGCAGCACTAATGGGATGTCCATAGAGGATAATCAAATTCCATCTGAATAGGATTTTTCAAATTTCTCTGCTGTTTTAATTGTTCGGGAAGAGGTGATTGTCTGTGTGTTGACTTAATGCCACTAATAACATTCACAAACGAGCGGGTGCTAAACTTTTGGGTCAAAAGTACTTAACCTGCCATAAAAATGTAACGTGGCCTCATCTCAGCCTCAAGATAGTGGAAATCAAATTTGACTTAGTCTGGTACTGTAATCAAGAGTCAATACAGTTACTTTGATCTGCTGTTTCAATCCTTCTTGTTGAGTTCTGCTGGCAACGCTGTCACAGTTCGAGTAACCAATTGATTCGGATAAGGGAAAAATGCTGCAGGGTTTTAATCAGCTCAGAAGGTTTCTCACTGGTGGAATTGAACTAGTGATACTTGTGATATAGTAGCCACTTCAGATTTTGAGCTGAAGTCATGAAAGATTTCTTTGAATAAATGAATTCCGGGAAAGATTTGATTCGATTTTTTTTTTTTTTTTTTCATGAGATGAGCCTTTTCAAGTTTCCCTAGGTGTGAGTGCTCATATTCTTGACTTGCGTTGAATAGAAGGGTATGGTGGACTTGGAATATCGTTCATGTGCTGATAGGCTAACAGTAGTGTAGATTTCATGGCTATCTCTGATGAGCTTTATGTTTTCGGCCAAGTCCTCGGCATCGTCAAGACATTCATTTGCTGGCCTGGATTCATTTGGAAGACCTTGCAAATAAAATACAGCCTCTCAACCACTACCCTTATATGATGCTTTTGAAAGCCTGGATTCATTTGCTTCGCATGAAATCCTGCTTAAGACTTTGTAAAAATTTAGTATCTTTCCCCTTTCCCCTTTCCCAACAACGAGCCAGCCACTCCAATCCCCACAAAAAATAAAGCCATAATATATTGGCTGTGGAACTCCGAGGGCACATTTCTGTATCCAAACCTCTGTCAAGGAACATATGCATTTGCTAAGAAGATCATGCGTTTATCTTCTTTGTAAATATCAGGTGCAAAATTTAATCCCATTCCTTGAAAGAATGCTAAATTAAATTCTGTCCCGACCCAGACCAATCTTGTTAACAAACAGCGGTTGCACTTCAGTTGACATCAGCAGCTCTTTCCTTTTCCAACCACATAGCGATTATTTAAGCTTCTCTCTCCTTGTAGTCTGAGAACACAGCCCAGTCTGAGAACACAGCCCAATGCACTAGCATTTGGATTCGGGAAAGCATAAAATATTCGTGTAATTCTTTGATGAAAAAGCGCACACCTTAAAGGTAAAAATGGTCGAGTATTTGTCAGAGGAACATTGAAAAACCTACAAGACAGAAACAGATTAAAACAAAAAAAGGAACGCCGAGCTTCTGCACGCAGTTCTTTACTGACAGCATAAAAATTTAAGATGGAAAATACTATTTTTGAAAAATTACTGAAAAATACGAGAGAAATTGGGGAGAAACTAATAAAAGAAATGGACTATTGGCTTGACAAACTTACATTATACATGGCTCCCAAACAAGATAGACGTCATAACCAGTGCATAGATAAGGTCACTCTGATACAGAATTTGAATTCCTTCTCCTTGACCTGAAATAGAATAAGATGTTGCCAGCCAACCATCCTCATCCCCAAACAAAACTCAGATAAAAAGGTGTGCAGTACCTATCAAAATAGAATAAGATGTTGCCCTATGTTATAAGATTGTCCAAAAAAAGAGCACAGAAATAAGTCACATTTGCAACACTCGTCTTTTGTTGTTTTGCTGTGGAACAAACCAACATAAGAAGATTGCGAAGTTCCAAAGGACTTCCCAGCAGTATCTCCCAAACCAGGGAACAGGCGTCTGTCTCTGTCAGCAGAAGATTCAATAGAAACAATAGCAGCATGTTGTAAAGGGTGCCAATAACAAGAATTAGCTGTTTCTAATCTCTGATCAGACCACTTCCAAGGGCAAAGGTACTGTTTTTATAAGGCTTGCTACTCCATTAGACTGATGAGAACTAAGGGTTGTGGACTGTTTAAAGCAGTCATCTCTGATGCAAGTCTTGTTTGTGGGAGCATGCCACGAGAAGATTTCATCACATCCATTTGTAATGATCTGTTGAACTGAAGGATCCACTATAACTGCAGCATTGACAATCTGCAGAAATGAGAACAAGAGGCAAGTTCAGACATTATATCCACAGATTTGGCATAAATGAGTGTTTTTATAACTGTATTTGCTATGTTCTGAATCAGGTCTAAGCGAACAACACCCTAGTTTCTCTGGGACTGGAGCAAATGGAAATAAAAAATTACAACATCCAGGTTAAATGGAAACTAGTTTAGTTTAATGTCACAAGCTGCAAGTTCACACCATGTTTGAGACTTGAAAACAGCCAAGTGCCAGAAAGGAAAAAAAGCCTACAAATTCACAGCACCTAACCAGAAGCTTTGTAAGGTAAGTAGACTACCCTATCATTGCATCCCTCTACAGAAATAAGTTTTGTTTATAGAAGAAATTACACAGTTACCAAACCATCACCAGATTTTGCCAAGTTAATAGAAAGTTCATGAAGCTGGAAACTGACAGTGAATCCTCTTCACTGAATCCAGTAATGGCATCAATATTGCTGAAATTAGAAGAAAAGAACATAGAGCAAATTCAAGTGAAACTATTCGAGCATGACTTAGTAGTTACTATACGATGAAGAAACAGGGAGCCAGAAGCATAATGTAGAACTTACTAGGTAGGTGGATCATAAAAGGTTGGCCATAGCTTGCGTTGTTCTTCCCACTCTGCTTTAGATGTGGCAGCATATTTGCAAACCTGGAATTGATTAAAGTTTATACGTGAATTACAAGCGTCTTAAATAGATCAAAACATTCTCTCTAAAGGTAGAAGACTAGAGAACCAATGGCAAATCATTAAAATTTCCAAGCACAAGCAACACCTCTAAACACAATCTTCCATACCGAAAACCTATATGGTATCACTTTTCTTAAGACCATGTTTTTCTATTGAAACGATTCTAATCTGTAGAAAATTAAGATTTAAAAGATCCAAAAATAAATCCTGAACTAACTTAACAACTCTCAACGCTAAAGCCCTTAGACATTTCAACCAATCGTTCATTAGTTCATGAGAGAGGAGATTAAGAACATGAAATTGACTACAACTTGAGTTCCTTATTGGTTCAATGAAATAAAGTATTCTATTCTTTATAAGCAGCCAGTTGAGTTTTTTTTAAAAAAAAGAACTAGAATCACATAAATTAATTTTACACAGTGAAGAGTATATGGAATGATGAGATTATATGTCATGAACCTAAGCAATTAAATATGGACCACTGCTGACAGAAAAACTAACTAAACATTAACCCTCATTTGGATCAAGTACCAGCAGGCCACAAAATGCACATTGATCAAATGAATTTTTTTGTGAGGCAATTCAAACATACAATTTGGGCCTATGAACCCAACAGTAAATTTCATCTAACCGCGTGATAGAACTTACAAGTATTGCTATGCTAGATTCTATTATTCCACAACTTGAAACCTTCATTCATTTATAAAAAAAATGATTGTAATAAGTATCCTCCTCATTTATCTCTCAGTATATAATTTCATCCATACAATTTAACATATAAATTTATATTTTAAAAAATAATGCAATGTTAGGATGCTATAGGGGAGCACACTAATCGATTTGTTGATTGAACATTTTAAGGATAACTGTAGTTGAGATTTGAACCTCAAACCTATTTCAATCACACCCCCATCACTTATCTCTCAGTCTGTAATTGCATCCATACAATTTAACTAGGCTTGATCCGACTTAAATGCAATTAATAATTAATATATGCATCTTACAAGAGAAAAAAAAGAAAAAGAAAAAAGAATAACCCACTTTTGTAATAAAAGGACTCAACTGCCAAGGATGGCTTAGCTCTTGTCCATCTTCTGGCAAGCTGTTCAACAGATTTTTATCCTCAGAAGCAAGACATAAAATTACTGAAAGCCTAGTTTTTCTTGTTAACAAAAAAAGTACTCTTTCACAAATGCATCATCAATATATCAATATATATTCCAAGTATAACAAAGAGAAAGTGGTTATGATTCTCAGAAACATTCTTCGAATGGTACCACTTACTATTTAACATCAATTTCTCAAAAAGGAAGAAGACAACCACGATAAATCAATGAATGACAACGACAAAATGAAAACTAACATCGAAAAGAAACATGCTTTCACTTGCTGTAGTTCACTTATTAACCAACACAAGAAAAAATCAGTAAAACTAACAGCTGCACAATTATTTAGTTCTTATTTCTTGCTTGTGCCGCAAACAATTACAATTACCTTACCAAAAATTTGCAATTTCTGGGCTTTTCCAACTGTGTTAAAATAAAGAAAGAGAGAAAGAAAGAAAAAGCAAAAAACAGTACCTCCTTCAAGATGCTTCTTTCGAATCCGCTTGACATGGCGTAGATATTCGAATGGAGCTATCTGATTTAAACGCCTACACAATTCTTTCATTCACGTTAAATACAATTCATAGTGTCTCATTTAAATTAACCAAAAAAAAAAAAAAAGGGAGATAACTTAAGTTTGTTATTTAGATGTAAGCAACCTTGTAAGAGTACTAGCGTACTTTGGCTCAATAACTGAAGCAAACACATCCAGTGCACAATAAATAAACTAAGAAAAAAAGAATCAGATTTAGTAAATAGAAAAGTAGAGGAACTATGAGAGTGTTTGGTTTTGATAATCTCACCGGAGCGTTGCTGGTTAGGTGTGATCGGTGGTTCGTCAGGGATGTAGACGATTTGCCACGTGTCCTTCGTGCTGTTGTTCATCATCTTCCTCTTTGGTTTCTCTGAGATTATTGAGAAGACAAGACAAGGCAAGAAGAGAAGGGAAGAGGTTTCTGAAATTTGGAGAAGACGCTATTGGCACAGCCTCATTGGCTTTTCCTTAAACTCTCATGTATTATTATTATTTTTTAATTCAAAATAATGTCTAAATTTTCTTGCCGAATATTTGCAATATATCAATAAAATACTCTTGATCCATTATTTTCTTGCCACATAATCAAGGTACATTGATACGGGAAAGAGATGAATGAAGACGGGGAGAGAATTCAAACCCTAAATCAAATTGGGGATTTCAATTAGGGTTCTCAAGGCTGGTGGACTGAAGACATGAGCTGGAGATGAAGGACATGGGCCAGAAGTGATGGGCTCTGAGCTGGACTTAATAATTAGATCTGTTTCCTTTTATTATGTGTCATGGGCCTTAAGCCTGCTATTGGACCTTAAGCCCGTTAATGGTTAAAAAACGTATTGTAAGCCACTAGCTGGCATAACAAACTACACCATTTATTTTTACTGTTTCTGTTGCAATTACAATATAAAAACACAAGGCATAATGAAGAAGTACACAACAGAATTCAACAAATTCCTATCTCTTTCCCTCGAATCTTTCTGTTTCTCCTCTCTTAATTCTCTCTCTCTCTTCCCTCAATTCTTCCACATTCTTCACGTCCGTTATTGGACCTGTATCCCTGTATCATACATGTAGTGTTAATAATTTCTAAAGCCAAAACTTATTCATATTAACAAAAAAAAAACTAAACTAAAATGATAGATACTATTCAATGTATTATTTGAAATACTATTCATCTAGACTCATTCATACTATTCAACAAGACTCGGATGCATTATTCATTTTAATAATGAAATTTTTGTAGTTTTTAAATATTTTAAAAACATTTATTATGAAAATTTTCATAATATTACATTTTAATCCTTCTTTCTAAACATTATTTTTTAGTCCGTATATATTTTTATTTTATTTTGGTCTTTTTTTTGTTTTATTTTGATCATTTTGATCCTTTTTTTTTTTCTAAATTTTTAATTAAAAATTTTAAGATAAAAAATATTTAGAAAAAATAATTTACAAAATAAGTTTTTAGCTAAGAATCTATTTATTTTGACATTTTTATACTATTATAAAGTTTTTAGCTTGTGGATAGAGATAAATAAATAATATTTAGAAAACTTATGAAAAATATAAAGAATAATAAGTTAAATTCAAATTTTTAATTAAAAAACTATAAAATTGAATGAATTTTTATTCAATTTTGATTTGATATATTTTGGTATATGTACAATGTAACACGAAACATTAAACGAAAATAATTTTATATATTTTATTCAATCCACGAGTGTAATGCGAGTGAAAAAAACTAATGTGCGTCTAAACGAAAATAAACTTACCTTGCGTCCGAAAGAAAATAAACTTACCTTCCAATCCCTTGTTTTGAATTTGTAATTTGAAAGCCTATGCAAAGAATGTGTAAAACTTCTAAGATCAATTGAAATCAGAATAGGATAGACAACAATTTTCTTCATAGAAGCTTTTATGTTGTAATTAGATAATTATACAGATGCATTTATTGCATGTCCTTTACTCTTTTTTTTTTTTTTAAAAAAAAAGTTCATTTTATGAATTTCACCTATCACCTTTCCTTTTTTAAAAAATTCAATTCTTAATATTTTAATCTGAATTTTTGCGCACATGTTTGAAAAAATTTAATCCAATTTTCAGAAGAATTCAGAATTTTAAAAGGTCAGAAATGATATTTATTTTTTTTTTAAATAGAAAATAAATCAAAATGATATCAAATTTTTTAAAAAGTTCCAGATAAAACCCTTTTTTTTTAAGTCTTTTTATCCACCCAAATACTAATGTAAATAAAATCTTTATATCCTATCTAAAAATTTAAATGCTCATTTTACAATTAAAAAAAAAACTTGTTTTAAGCTTTTAACAAAAATAGATTGAATTTTTTCCAATAAACATGCAAAACTTCAAATCAAAATACCAAAAACTAATTTTTTTAAAAAAGACGTGTTAACTAAAAATCATAAGATAAACTAAATCTTAAAAAAAAAAAAAAAGTTCAAAAAGATTAAAATATAAATTAAAGTTTAAAAATTGATTTTCAAATGAACTAAAAAAAAATGTCATTTTAACCCATTTAAAAACATGTTTCCGTCTTTTTTTTTAAAAAAAAAAATGTGTAACCATTTCAAAGTAACATGATTGCAATATACCATTACGTAACATCGTTGTAAAATTCACCTGTAAACAGATACCAAAACGAAAACGGAAAAAAAAACAAAAGATGCAGATGCATTACACTAGTTTATATGGATATGGCATATCCAATGTCAAATGGCATTCTTATAAATTAGAAACTAGAGAAAAGATGAAAGAACGTGTCTTTGTATTTCAATTCGTTAAATCAGCTTTCTCGATTCAGTTTAATTGTTGAGAAACCCAAATCTCAAAGTGAAATCATCGTTAACTAAATGGAGCAGACCAACTGACCCAATGCTTGTTCCTAATTCCCCCCTGGTAGAACTAGTTAAATTGTATGTGAATATTACAGCATGGTTACCATTCCATTCTTCGGACAATCAAACTTCGAATGATCTAGTGGAGTAATTTACCAGCAAAAGCACGTCTAAAAAAGTTGAGTACAGGCCTCGTCCATAAACCGGCAATTCTAATAGATCTACAAGCAATAAAATCACAAGGCTAAGCGAAAACATTGGTTTTTGGTTACATAAAACTGTAGTCACAGAAAAGGCACTACTCAGAAACGCACGCAACTGTCTTCGGAATATGCAAATCTGAAGGACATCGCATGAATAGAGCAGAGAAAATTCTGGCGGAGATGTATGACTTCATTTTTCCCATTCTAAATCAGGCATTTGCAGATCCACTTTTGATGGCTTTGACACTATGGTTCCAGGCAGTTGCATAGTCAACCGATTCCAACCCAAGATGTGGGGCAATGCAAACTGCACAAGAAACAAAGAAGGAAAATCACACAAGAAAACAAAACAAGAACATAAGTTTACATGCTCTAGTCATTCTTGTTTCAAGTGAAGGACCAGACCATACTAAATGAACATCAATGAAAAAAATCGTTTGCTTATGGATGCATGACAAACCATCCAAATTAAACAATTAACAATAAGCAATTATGTGACCGGATATTGTCTACCTGAGATTTTAGGTTTAAAAAAGCGACAACAGAAAGAATCAACGAGAAACGTGATTGTAACAGACAGCATATGCATTTAGGTTAGGAGCAAAACAAGAGGGGAGGGGGTACACCTTGTTTTGAGGATTAATACATGTTGCACTAACTTGTCTGTCTCACTTTCCTCACAGCTTAATGCTCTCAGCATTTTTCACTTCCCATCAGAATGCTCTCAACATATTTCAAATGGTGAATGCACATTATTTCCTCAGGGACATTGTTCTTAGCACCCAACTTGAAACTATAGTTATCAATCTTTTTCTTTAGTTTACCCCCAAAAAAGATCAGTACAATCTCAAGATGCCACTTCTGAAGGTAAGCGACTGCCCTGTCTCATATTCAGTATATGCAAGTTGCAGCGGCAGTGTATCTTGCACTAATGGTTTCTTTCTCATCAATAAATATTCCATCAGAAGTCTGAAGATTTATATTAGAATATACATAGACTTAGGACCAGGAAGCCAATTTGGACACGTGTCCTTTGTAATTGATTTGCCAAATATTCAACACTTGGTAATATGTGGGCACCAAATCAAAAGAATGATCCAAACGTGCATCTATTATCTCTGGCAATGTATTTTTCACCTTCATCTAATGGGCATGTCCCCACATTTAGAGCAACATCAGAAAAGGCGAGCTTCTCCAACAAGCTTCTACCAGGAAGTTTAAGTTGTCCTACTGTATCCAGCAACTCACAAGAAAGCAGGAAAAAAATGTACAGCAGTGACTAAGAATAAGGAGAAAAAAAGAAGGAAAATTCATTGCCCTGGGTCATTTATAAAACCAGGCTGCAGTTAATAGTGACAAGAAAACCCTTTCTTTTTCAGCTGCACCTTCCAACTTCCCACGGTGACAAAAATAAAAATGATTTTTGTTATGTAACAACTAGTATCACTGAAACATGCAAAGAAATTTATCTAGGGCCTGATGTTGGTACCCTCTACTTCGCAATAGCAAAAAAAAGATTACGCTATGAGTAATATCTTTATAAAAACACAACCAACTGGCTCTTTCTTTACATTCCAAAAATTTCCTATCAAACTGGCAGTGAGTTAGCAAATTTTCTAATTTCTTCAGATTCTTAATGATCTATGATAGTTATAAATTCATACCAATTGTCAAACATAACCATTTTCTAATAAAACTTCCTCTTCTGAAAATAAATAAATAAAAATCGAGCTAAAAGGTAGAAGCAGAAATGAAAGAAAGAGAGTCAATTGTCATACGCTGCAAGCTGTCTTCAGAACTGTAAATTCAGCAGTCGTGACCGGAACAGTAAATCGTTCATTAGTTTTCAGGATGTTGTTGACAACACCTGCAAACAGTAATGTATATGATAGGATATCAGGTGGGAATTCTACCCAAATAAACTGTAACTCAAAGCAACAAATTAAAAAGCCTCACAAGGAACTATCAACATCAAGTTATCATGATGTGTGCAAAAGAAAACTAGTGGAGGAGAAAAATTTTCAGATCTGTGACACTAAAACCAAAACTCTGCATGAAGTTTAATGGTTATTCTGAAAAACTAGGTAGGTTAGATAGTCAAACAAATAAAAATAGTTGAGGAAGAACTATTGAATAATAGAGAGAACTTAGCATCATTAGACCCTTCCTCTGAATCACCCAGTAGACTACTTCTACATCAAGCACTTCAAAGCTAAGTGATTAAAGCAGATAAAGGCTACCTTAATTAACTATTTCTCATTCAAGTTACATCAATCAATCAATCAGTTAGCTGATTCTTCGACCTATGTCTTAACCAAATGAACAATATAATGTAATGCCATAAGATAATCAAAGAATCAAGTTACAGAATCCCACTAGATGCCACACGCTCACAAACAAAAATTGAATACAAAACAGTCACCAATTCCTATACGCAGCGCTTAAGACAAATCACCTGGGAAACATCCACATTCAAATAGATGGTCTAAAAATGAAAGTCAATTAAGTAGCTGTGGTGCTGCCAGTCTCAGTTCTTCAAGCAAAGAAGGATGTTAATTGCAAAGAGAGCACTGCATTCAGCAAAGTTTAAGATTGCAGCCACTGCAGACAGTTGCTGATAAGTACCTTAAAGCCTGCATGTTATCATCCTTTGTTTCCCATCCCATAATAGTTTCATCAAGGAGTAGGGTACCCATCAGGGATCTTCACAAGCATTCCTCATTCAGTAAAAGGATATTAGATTTAGAATCACCATAATTAGTTTATTTCCCTAGGTGTCTTAACTCAGAATAGGATTTTATTCTTTTCAATAAACTCAAAAGGATTCATAGCTTAGAGCAGAAATTTTATGCAAATGCAGTATTGACAATGTATAATTTCTGTTTTTCTCTGTTCCAAGCTTCTTTCAATACATTTTAGCCATCTAGGTCAACTTGATTCTAATTTGAAATCTCATATTATTTGCAACAATGTCTGCAGTTGAAACAGAAAATTGCACCATGAATATAATTAAGCATAAATTCCAAAGTTGTAACAAATTATGCATAGTACTATATAAGCACAAGTTAGATTCTGATTGATTGTCAGTTATAACAATGATGTTCCATTTGAGCACACGGTAACAATATCTATAATGTAATAGAAAGTGGAAAAATGTAGTCGGTAAAGAGAATTTCTAAGACAATAGTTTTCATGCATCCTTTTATTTAAAAATGTTTTAGTTTTAAATAAATAACAAGAAAAAATAACAAAAAACATTGTGGCATTGGTGATTCTAAGATAAGAACAGGAATCACTTATGTGGCACTATAGTAGATACTTTGAATAGGAGGCTAACAAGGTTAAGTCATAAGTCAGTTGGCAACAGATAAGGAAAGGGGGAATCTCTAAAGCATCTTGGATTTCCTTGATATAACAGTAATTGTTAAACTATGAATAAAAATATTGTGTAGTTGTTAAACTTACACAAAATATGTTATGTAGGTCCATCACTGAACACTCTGATTGTGTTTAAATTATCTAAGGACATCCCTAATAATCTAAAAATGAACACAAGATAAAAGCAAATTCAAATTTTCAAACCAAACAAAATCAAGAGCAAGATCAAAAGCTTACTTAATGAAATGAAATAGCCACTAACATCTGCATGTGGCTTAATTGATAAGTTCTTTCTCACTTGGCCAGCATTGCTGTGGCAAAATTTAGCTGGTTAGAAATGGATGGTATCACAATCGAAGCAATAGCATAACTGTCTCGAGCAAACAGAACAAGATCTTGAAGTAATTGTACAGATTACATACACACACACATGTGAATCTAGTGATGCAGAAACTACACCTTGACAACATTGAAGGGTCATGGAAGAATTCAGAAGAATCTTTGGGACCCATGCTTATCAACGACCCCAGTTCTGTTGCTGACAGAGCAAACTTCTACAAAATATTAACAGAATCTGTCGTTAAGCTTCATAGCACTTGCAGAGATGCATGTGGGATGTGGAAGGACTTCTAGGTCATCTCCTCAAGAGTCGTTACAATGGCTCTAAGGTTTCATAATCTAAAACCAGACTCTTTACTAAGTTCAAATCTGGAATGAGTGGTTGCTTTATAATAGAATTTGAAGAAAGAAGCGATGACTGGGGTGGTCAAATCCTGCGGTGAAAAGATTACATGGCCTGGGCATGATTGACAAACAGAGTAGGTTGGTAGTGAAGAAAAAATCAAGAAAATCTTACCTGTCTCTTTTCATAGTCATACTTACGCTCACCTACAGCAGGCAAGAAAGTCAACATCATAGAACCACGTCGGTCAACTCTAAAGTTCCCAGACTGTTAAGAAAGAAGAAAGATGAGGAGCAACTCTGTTTAAGTGACAGAAGTAAATGAGCAACATAAAGTTATACTTACACCGAACTTCAAGAAAGTTGGAAGAACAGGTTCAACAGAGAGTGCAGCTTTGCCCTTAAATACAGAATAAGGAGCAAATATCCGATCTGCAAACTTTCCAGTTTTAGTTACATAACAAGACATAGTATCCAAACTTGCAAGGCACCTAGAAAACCATTTGTATGGATGCCTCGGTACCTTGAACAGCAGAACTCTGCCCACCAGTAGAAAAGCCAGCCTGGAAAGTTAAAGCATGCAACGCTAAACCATCTCTAAAATCACTAGATTTATCAAGTGGGTTCCTGTTTAGACAATAATAATCACCATAGAGTCCAGAAACCCAATAGAAAGAATAATGCAATGGACAGGAAGAGTTTGAAACAACTCTAGAAACACCATCAGGTTCATGTATTACTTCAGACGACCTATTATTTTTTAAGGGTATTCAGTTAAAATAAAAAATTGAATAAAATATACGCTAAAACAAAAACTAAAAATTTCAGAAGTTATAAATTGTACTTTCAGCAGTTAAAGAATCAAAATGTTTATAATCCTCTCTATCCAGAAAATAATTCAAGGATTCCAAAGATGGAGTTAAGGAACTCCAAAAACACAGAGAGAGAAGCACAATTTTAGTAGGCGTTAAGATGCTTAAGTTTCAAGGCTTCCAATAAAAATAAAGATTCATCTGCCAACTATTTAGCAGCACATTCCTTTATCAATTAAAAAAGACAGATGGAACGAAGGCTTAGTTGGGGAAAATGAGAAAACAACAGATTTCTCAAGAAACGATGGTATGACCACAATTGCATCAAAATTCTAGGATTGGTGAAAAAATAGTTTTCAATAAAAGGGACCATAATAGGTGTATGTTTAAATTTCAAAAACTCTTTCCTGCTGGTTATTTGAGTGCATAGTATTATACTAATGCACACAAGTAAGATAAATGTCAATCAAGTTAAATTCCACTCCAAAGTGGCACTCTCATGGACTGAAGCCAAGCTGAATTTCAAAAGGGAAAAAGCTTATGAAAACACTCAAAGATTTTTCAGCTTGGCTTCAGTCCATGAGAGTGCCACTTTGGAGTGGAGTTCATGTTCATATAAAGTAGAATTTCTGGCTCAAGGTGTAATACTAATGGACGAAAGAGGAAATAGATTTCCTCCTATAGAATTTTTACCAAAGAAATCATACAGAGCACGCAGTGCTTTTTGGTAGATTGGGGAGCCATTTTTAAAAACTCAGGAAATGAAGAGCGTAATTTATGACAAGCCGAACCCAAAGTCACCCTCGGAAAAGATTCCCGCTAAGCTTGCCATTTAAACATAACCATGAGCAGCATTGTGAAACCCAACATCCCACAAATTAGGCAATCAGTTCTTCACATTCACTCCATTTGAAGATAGCATATTTATCTCTTCTAGGGCTAACATTCAGAAAAATAAATAAATAAATAAAAATAAAAATCTCCACACACAAGGCAAATCAAACATAAAACATTTCCCAAAAAAATAAAATTAGGAGGCTCACGAAGATACCAACGTAGCAAAAAAATAAAAGAAAAAACGAAGTGTAACAAAAGAACATCTACACCAAAATGATTTATCTTCCAAAAATAAAAGCGTAAATCAAAATTGGCAGTAAAAGAAAATGGAAATGGAAAAGCATACTTTAGCTTTCCTCTTCACCAAAAATATAAACCTAATATATAAAAATATAAAAACTTAAAAAATATTTTTTTCCCGTGACAAAAGCAGAGGAAGGAAAGCATTTTATGAGAAATAGAAAGGAAGAGGAGAATGGAGCTAGGGTTTTGTTATTTTCAGTTATAAAGAGAATGTTAAAGATACCTGTTGGAATTCAGAAATCGCGATAGTTTCAGCATATTGATTCAGAGAGGGAGAAAGGGGGCCTTTGAAGAGAGAGAGAGAGAGAGAGTGAGGGTTATACAGTGAGAGGGCAAGAATAGAGAGGATTTTATTATTTGGAAGTTGTGAGGGAGTCGCACGGATTGTTTTGTACATTCATACTCAGATGGTGGCACGTGTATTGGGGTTCTACTTTTTCTTCAAATTGCCAATTTCGTTTTTTGCCTACAAGAGTAAAGAAAATGAGCTGTTCATGTAGAATTTATATAATTTCATATATAAATTTGATTTTATAAATTCATTGATGAAAATGTATTTTTTTTTAAGTTTGTATTTCTATTTTTGTGTAAATTTTGATTTTTTTTTAAAAAAAACTTGATAGGTATCTATTTGGATGAAGAAAATCCTTCATCTGACTTGATTAAGTCTAAAGCGAGTAATAAATCTGAATATTCTAAGATAAGACAAGTGGAGGAAAAAAAAAAAAGATAAAACACGTGGAGAAAAAAAACAATTCTCACTTGACTCGTTATCATCTTTTTTTTTATATATAATTCAAGATACCTGCAAGCTATGCAGCGTACACTCGATCAATTTTGAAGCCTCATCGAACACCCCGCAGCTCAATGGACATGTAAGACACTATAAAGATGATAGACATGTGCAGATAAAATCGAACCCGGATGATTCTCAGGAGGTAAGTACTCGTTCTGTAAGGCTACAACTTCAAACGCGACTCACTATCATCTTTGATCTGATGCATGCAGGTCATTTTTGAAAGAAAACAGAGTATCTTGAATTGAATTATGAATTTTCCACTAGATAGGATGTGAAAGGATTCTAGTGTTAATTGGGTTTTATCATGTAACGGGATAAGTTTATTTAGTTTTTCCTTATACTGTGACGGCTAGGCTAACAAGTTAGTGTTATTAGACTCTGGTTATTAAACAAAATAGTCGGTCATTTCATAGTAAAAAATGAGTCCGAAAATATATACAAATGTCGTATCAGAATCGTAGAAGATGCACAAAATCAAATTATAATTTTGTCTTCTCTCTATCTTTCTTTTATCTCTTCTCCTCCTTCCTTGGTTTTGTCTCCAAGAAACGTTACAAACCCATATCATAATCTCTGAAGAGCTCAACTCATTGACTAAGAATTTGTTTGTCACGACATATGAAAATCAACTTTTAACTTTGAATCATAATTCAAAAATTATTTTTTATAAATAAGTTGTGATAAAAATGAGTTGAACTATAAATATATCAGTAGAAGTTGACTTAAAAGCATCTTTTTTTGGCATGAGAAAAAGTAGTATAAATTTGAATTCGCTAGTTAAAGTAAAAATTAATCGATATACCTTTATATAACACACAATTTATCAATCATATATATTTTTTTATAAATACTAATAATAATAATAATAATATTAAAATAAAATCAGTGAACTGTAAACTTCATCTGTTCTTATTTTTTTATATATCCTTTGTCAAATTAATTTCATTAAAATTAACGATTACGTATACGAAGAGTGATCATAAATTATATACTTTTGTAAAAATAAAAAAAGAAAAGTTAATCATAATTTATAACTATTCATCAGAGACCGTTGGAAACTTTTTATTTTTATTTTTTGGGTAAATATATCATTTTGATTGTGGTGACCTATTATTTTTTGTGATTATTGATACGACTCTCTCTATCTCTTTTGGGCTTTGGTTTACTAAAAGACCCAACAAACCTCTCAAACAATGCAACGAAGAGATAAGCTCTTTTATTATATTATTATAACCACGAATAGTACAATCAATGAAACTTGAATTTTATTATAAATCAATAGAATCATTAAGTCAAAAATTTTAAATTTTAAATTTTAATTAAAATAAAATTTTGATTCAATTTTATAAAAAAACCTTGATTAAAGCCAAAAATTCTTTCTATCCAAAAAAATGTTGATAATTCTCTCTTTAAGTTAAAATTTTTAAAACAAGAATTAATTTGCAAAAATCAAGTGAGACATGCACGTAATTAACTCACTCGGTAGCATTAGGGGCCTGGGTCTAGATCTGAAGGCCAGTGCACGGACTTCAAAAGTTCTAAACGGCATAGCGTGACATTCCTTAAAACATATGTTTATAGAACAAAAAGAAGCCCATTACACTTTTTTTTTTTTTTTTTTACCAACATCAGTTTAGTACAAGCCCAGACAGAACCTGACGTTTCCTTTAGCACATCCACTAATATGTCGAGTTTGGACTTTCAGATTGAGCAGATGGCTCAGCAAACAACTTAATCATTTTCACAAAGACCGTCAAAATTGGGTATGGGAGGCTGCTTTCTTAAAGAGGTAAGGAATTCCAAAATTGGGAGGGCATTTTAAATGTCCCAATCCCAGCCCAGCCCAGCCCAAACCAGACAGGTAAACTAGGACACGAGAGAAAAAAAAGAGTATAAACTTTTACATTTTACTCATAAAGTTTACGGGCTTTTGATTAAACTGAAGTTGAGAGTAAAATTGGATTACGGAATGTCTACAGGCCCCTCCAGCCCACTGGGCCTCCATTTTGTCAGTCCTATCAGTTTCATTTTAGAAGACCAGGGCCACCAGACCATAAGTTCAGATCCAGGTATTGGTATGTCAGCTAATCAAAGGGGTTTTGCAGGACAAGCCGAATCCTCCTGCCTGCCTACTTGTGAGCTGTGACAGTAAATACAAACTTTCAAAAAGTTTCAGGAAATCTTGCCTGAACATCAAATTTAATAATGCTACAGAAGTGGGTGGATGAGATTTTGAGAAGATGAAGACATGAAGTCTTCCAGGAAATCCTACTTGAACATCAAATTTAACAATGCTATAAAGGTGGGTGGATGAGATTTTGAGAAGATGGAAGACATGTGAAGTCTTCAATTCAGATGAAATGTACCTGTCGAACTTCACTCCATTTAAGAACATGGATTATTCCACAACTGTAAACTTTTGAACACTGAAGAAGTTTGTTGCGAAAAGAAGAGAAAACTCTTTAAACATTTATTTTTTACCAATAAATTTTAGCAACGAATGGGCAAGCGTTCGCTCAGAAGCTCAAATTCGAGGAGTCTCACATTGTACAGTGTCCCTGCAAGACAGGTGTCGACAACCATGTCAAGACGTTTGTTGAGCTGCTACTTAGTTTCTACTGGTTGGCAAACTGTCGAAGTAGCTCTCTACGCTGGACTTTTTGGTCGGACCGATATATATCGGTGATTAGTGGTCGTTATTGGTTTATTACACTGAAGGGTGAGTTGGATTCAATACTCACGACAACATAAGATTAATTTGATTATTCTAACAAAAATAAGAAATTGACTCTCATTATTAATCATCGTCCGTATAGTAATAAAAAAAGTGTTCCTGACTTATCAAGTCAATATTTGATTTTTACTCTTGCAATTTTTCTTTCTTTTTTGTGTGATAGCAGACATAAATACTGGTGAGTTAAAAAAATCTGATCCCTACAAAAAAAAAAAAAAAAACGTAATATAGTAATAATGTAATATAAAAAATGATAAGATTCCAATTTTTATAATGGATAAAAAAAAATCAAATATAATCTAGTATTGATCTAATTTAAAAAATAATAATAAATTTATCTTTAACTGATATGAAAATTCATGCAAAAACAGTGATGGCATGTAATGTGTGAAAAAAAGAGAAGTATCATGAAAATTAAATCATTGATCCCTTGGTATCTTTTTTTTAATTCAATAGTAATGATGTTTTCGGATCAATTTTCATACACTCAAAACTAATTTCTTACTCGAGTATTATTAAAGAACAATCTTCAATGCGTAATTTTAAATATTTTAAAAATAAATTTTCGTAAGTATTAACCATAAAGATTGAATTCTAAATCTCGTAAGTAAGTCAATACTTACTTATCATAATATTTTCAATTATCCATGGGCTCATTGCATCTGCAGCTTGGTTAGGTCAGATATTTGTTGATATATACAAACTACAGTAGTCAATATATTATATGTTACACTTTTATGGTGGTAAATCTTCTGGCGCGGTCGCCTGGCAATTAATACCTGCCTGTTCTAGATGTTGCAATACCGCCAATACGCTCATGCCTGCTTTACTTTTTTTTTTTTTTTTTTCCCTAGAAAAATTATAGTAATTTTGTCCCAAAAATAAAAATAAAAAGAGCAGCCAATAATCTTCAAATTTCGTTCTGGTTTGGGATGAGATGGGTCTGGCAGTCAGTGATGGGAAATAGTTATTTTTTTGGGTGTATTAATCCAAACATTAACAAACTTTGAGGAATTATAATTTTGTTCAGAAATTAAAAATTTGAGGGAATTACAAATCCCAGAGAGACAAGATCCAAAGTAACGGAGCCTTTGAGTAAAAGATCAAAAAAAAGAAAACATATTAAAAGATAACGCAAATAAGTAATTTATGAACATGAAATCCAGACTGGATATGATTGTTTACCTACTACAAACATAAAGGGAAAAGAAAATAAATGAATTCCAACTAATATTAGTATATTACGATCTCTATAATGGTTGATGTCATGGGACTCAAAAGCTCAAGACAATGACAAAAGCCATTACCAGAAAGGTTTGCATTATCTTATGTCACATGAAATCCTTCCAGCGAAACTCACATGCACATGATGTCCCTCACCTCCCGCTAAGCTTTCGTGTTTTTTTTCTTTTTTTTTTTAAGAAAGGTGGTCAATTACAATAATTAATCCTTCGACGTAATTGATAAATTCAATCATCTTTCAAAAACTGTGATAGAAACCCCATTCGTATCTAGAATATTTAAGTTTTTTATAATAATTAAGGATATTTTGAATATAAAAAGAAAGAGAGTTTTATAGTTTTTTTTTTTCATAAAAAAATGTTCAGAAGATTTCATCCAAAATTTCAAACTCTTCGTTTCATAATATCCTAAAAGAGTTATTGTGTAACCCAAAAAAGAACACAAGAAGGAGACTAGGTTCCGTTAAAGCAGGCTATTGCCACTCATTTTTCTCACATTCCATGCTTCTACATAAGTTACTCGTAGTTTTGTAGAAAGAAAACGCAAAAAGATAAGGTTGATTATACACATATATATATATCGATTGGAGCGTGGATGATCTACTTAAAACTAGATTCATAAAAAAATAATTTTAGTGCATAAAAATTGATCCAAATGTGCTTTCATTGTTATGATTAAAAAAAAAATCAGTGAAATTAATAATACAAAAAAATTCAATTGGGGTTCTTAGAATTTGAAAGGAGTAGCTTCTATGAACGGGTTTGTAGACCTATTCGTTGATGAACAATTGAACGTGCTTTTTGGGCCGAATATTTTTTGAAACAAAAGAAATTCTAAAGAGAGAATGGATATACAGAAGAAATATAATATACATCAGCAGTGAAAAGGAATGAGTTACATAATTATTTTAGTGCAATCTGTTTAATATCATATGGTCTGTTTGGCATCTTTTGGCGTTTGGTCCAGGTTAGATGTCTCGTGTCCTGTTTGGATTACCAAACCAGACTTTTACAGATGTCTCCTGACCCACTTGTGACCCTACCTTGTCAAAACCATCCACTTTTCATGTTTTTCGTTACCCCTAGTGCCGATGAATCGGCGCGCCTCCCGGCAGTTATCACATACCTTCGAGTTAACATAAATTTAAAAAATTTTATAATAGATAAAGAATAATTAATGATATATAATATGCACAGTAATTATTTTATGAGTTTATTTAAAAAAAGATAGATAAAAAAATAGAAATAGAAGAGAGAAAATAAAAAAATTGAACCGAAGTAGAAATCTTTTTATCATTTTTATGGATATGGATGTAATTTATTTTTTTTCTCAAAGTGAGCTAACGAAGTAATTACCGTATATGTCACTGAGCTACTCTCTAATGTATTATAAAATTTTTCCCATCAAGTCTGTTCTACCGAAATTTTCTAGTTGCAAAAACATGATTTGAATCCAAAAACTTTCCATATTTTAAACCAAACCAACTTCTCATATTTTAAATCAAGTCTTACAACTTGTATTAATTTTTATATATCAAAGTTTTTTCTTTTTTAACGATAAAATCTTTGGACCAACTTCCATACTCTAAAATTAAGGAAAGGACGTCATGAATATTAATACAATTAAAATGTTATTATAGTTAATTCAGAAGGAGTAACTTTATCGCATTATTATTACAAACAAAAAATATTTTATCGAAAGTTTTCTGGAAAATTTTTAAAAATAAAGTTTAAGATATAACGGCGTCCCTTTTGTCACTGAAGCCCGATGACAGAGACCTAGTGAATAACTGCCAGTGAACTGTGCAAGTGTCGGTAAACTAGGATCGAAAGACTTCAAGTCAACGTAATCTTCCACATTGACTGTTTTGCTTGGTCAATTAGTCGGCGACTAATTGTGATTTGGCTCGATTAAAGCGGGACCCAGACAACTGTCCCTTCACTTCCAGCTCTTTGCAATTTGTGCCAATCCATTATTCAATACCAACTTTTGGTTCCTAATCCCGTGAATGCCATTTCCCCTTTTGTCCTTTAACTCTTTTTGGTAGTACTTCATTTTTTGGATTATCGGATAAAACAATTTTATACGTTTAAAAGAAGATAAAAAAGCAAAATTCCCATTCGTTAATGAATTAAATTGTTGGGGTTGCCTTTTTAACTTAAGAAAAAGAAAATTTGACTTCTTCTCGTTACTAAGTTAAAAAAAAAAAACCCCAAGTTATCTCTTTTCTTTAGTAAATTATAAATTAGTTCATCTAGTTTTGAAAATTAAATTAATTATTATTTTTGTTTTAAAAATTAATATTTTTTTTAACTAATGTTAATTATATTAATTTAATATTAATTTATTTAAAAATATCTTATTTTTCATCAATTTTTCATGATTTTTATTTATTTTTTTAAATAAAAACAAAAAAATTAAAAAAAAAACATAAAATGAATAAAAAAATTTAAAATTATTTTTTTGAAAAAAACAAATTAATTCATTTTTTAAATTAAAAAGACTAATTTATAATTTACTTATACTATATTGAACTTACAATGCCATTACATTAATTCTTTTTGAAATTTTTGTTTATATATTTAAAATAAATCATTTGGGTTTTTTTTTTAACACTATCATCCTGGTGTCTCATATTGCATAGTTGTAAAAGCAATGCTACCCTTTCTTGCTAGGTAATTCACTATATAACTTGTAAATATAAATAAAAGGAATTTCTTTTGTTACATATAAAGTTTAATGGAGAATAACCTCTAAAAAAAAGGCTAAAAATATAGAAAGATTAAACATAAAATAAGGGTAGATTAGTATTAAGGAATTTTTTTGTTATATATAAAATTTAATGGAGAATAATGTCTAAAAAAAATAAAAAACATAGAAAGATTAAACATAAAACAAAGGGTAGATTAGTATTATGAAAAAGTATATCCATCCCAAATATCAGCAGATTCCCATCTCTGTGGTGTCAGCTGTACACTTCCCTCTCTTTCTGCTCTCTCTCTTGCAGTCGCTTTCTCTTTTTACAGCAAATTACCAGAGATGAGAGAGTGACACTGAAGCAGAAAAACCCAACAAAACTATAGTAATAAAGAAGCGAAGACAAATGCCCTGTTTACTCTCCCCTCATTCCTTTCTTCTCCTCCTGTCTCTCTCTTTCAAGCCCCCCTAGAGCTGGCTACCTATAGTAAGTACCTGTACTTCTTCCCATCCCATCCCAGCTCGCTCCATTTTTTCTGCCCTCACCACTCACTAGCCATTTTCTCTTCACTTCTACTGTTGCATCTTTTTGTCTTACATCCAGCACCATTGCTACAGGAGAGTAGATCGCAATTCTAGCTTTTCAAAATCATTCATTTTCTTGATACCAAATATTCTTGCCTTTTTTTTTTTTTTTTTACTGTTTTCTCCTTTAGGTTTAAGCTTTGGTTTCTTTTTGCTCAAATTCATGTTTCTTTTACTCCCTTTTCTTGAATTCAGCTTCATGGTTTTTGTTATTATCAAAGTCTGAATCTTGAAAATTTTTGCAGCTAATTTGTTTTCTTTCAGCTAAATTTGTAAACTAGCTGCCTGTTTCACTCTTTTACATTTTAGCTTCAAAATTCGCTTCATCCACTACAAATCTTTGATTATTTCTTGCCGTTGAGTTGGCAAATTTGTCTTCTTGTACTCTGTTGTCGTAAATTTAGCTCAAAATTTTGCCACTTTTGTTAGACAGAATCGTGTCAAGTACAATGAATCATCCTGCAAGGACAAGTTTCTGTATTCCATTGCTATGCTTTCTTTTTCTTCAAATCCAATCTTTACATTCGTTCTCAACACAACCCATGAACTGTACGGACACCACACGCCTATGCACGTCGTTTTTGGCCTTTAAACCCCAAGAGAATCAAACTCTAGCAGTGATTCAAAGCATGTTTGATGTGTTACCCCAAGATGTTACCAGAGAAGGCAATGACCATGGCTACATATTCATCAAGAAGAACTGCTCTTGTTTGTTCAGGAACGAAATCTATGCGACTAACACTACATATACAGTGAAATTCAGTGAGGGTTATGTTTATGACGTTGTGATCAATGCTTATGATGGGCTTGGTTTCTTGCCCAATACAACAAGACCCGCAAAGTTTGGTGCTGTTGTGTCATTGAGGTTGTTTTGTGGGTGTTCAAGTGGTCTGTGGAATTATTTGATGAGTTATGTGATGAAGGAAGGAGACAGTGTTCAGTCATTGTCTAGTCGCTTTGGTGTTAGTATGGACAGTATTGAGACAGTGAATGGGATTCAGAATCCTGATAATGTTACAGCTGGTGCACTGTATTATATCCCTCTGAATTCAGGTTAGTCTTATGATTCAATTGTGTCATTCCTCTTGTGTAATTTTTGTTGTTCCGTGTTGTGAGTACTAGAAGCAAAATTACCATGTTCGACAGCACAACTCAGTGAACAATAATTGTTTACTGTTTTATACATACCACTCTGCTTTTGTTCTTTTAACCATTGCCTCTGTAGACTGTGCTTTAATATTATTGTCATTTTTGTGGAAATTCAATAGGTGTATTTCCTTGCTCTGAAAGTCTTTCTGTGTATTAATTTGACTTTCATTTTGTATTTTAGTTCCTGGGGAACCTTATCCTATGGAGAATGATATTCCTCCTGCTCCTATTCCTGCACCATCTGATGATAGTTTCTCAGGTATGAATTGGTACCTTAATAAAATCATTGGACAAATGAACTGTCTGTTGCAGCACTTCATCAACACATATTTATGATGTCTGTGTGTGTGTGGGTCTGAGGGAGAGGGAGAGGAGAGGTTTATCTGGTTCATAATTGTGTGTTTGCCTGGCTTCATCTGCTGTAGTTTGAAAAAGCAAACCCAATAGTATGGTGTATATTTAACCAGAACATATAAAAGTGGAATAATAGCAAACTATTGAAGTCTAAAATGCATTGCATGACTTTCTAGAACATTGCCTCCTGTATTTGCTGATTATTAACAAAAATTTACTCTTAATATTGGCTGGGAGCAGACTATGAATGTCATCCTACATTCCCTGTTTATTTTTACTTTTATTTTATTATCACCAGGACCTGCTTATGGTAACTCTAAACTAATTCATGCTTCTACTGATTTTAATAAATTCAATGTATTTACTTTGAACTTAATCACAAGTCCCCTTTTATACTGAAATATGATTAAAATTCTGGTTAAAAAAGCTGAAGTTCTAAAGGTGTCAGTTTCTGATCTCAAAGCTTCATAGTGCTTGTCCTCGCTCTTCCTTATTTTGCACAGTTCTTCCTGTTTAAGCTGTGGTGCTAGTTCTTATATGTTGCAAAATGACTTATATGCTATGTTTTTGCAGCAATTCCAGCAATTCACAAGGCTCATGTACCATATGGATGGATCATAGGGGGTCTTGGGATCGGTCTTGCACTGATCATTTTATGTATAATTATCTGTGTGTCCCTGAGGTCCTCTAGTTGCTTTTCCGAATTTCAAGGAAGTCATGTCAAGTCCCCTGATGGCAAGATTCCTCATAAGTTTCATATTCTTCGAAATCCAAGTTTTTTTTGTACTTCAGGAAGGTCCATCTGCTGCAAATCTGGAGACTGGAATCAAACAAATGGGGAGCCTAGCAGCCACCAGATCACAATACCAAAAGGTTTTACCGATGGTTTATGAGATTTTGATTCATACATAATTTTTGGAATTCAATGTGAAGGATTGTTTCAATTATTTTGGTGCCAGCGTAGTGTTTTCATTATCCGTTAAGCTTTGGATTTGTGACTTAATATTCTTGCTCACAGGTCTAGGAACTGATGTATTTGAAATGGAAAAGCCTGTGGTTTTTACATACGAAGAAATTCTTTTTGCAACTGATGAATTTTCAGATTCAAGTCTTCTTGGACATGGAACATATGGTTCTGTGTACTATGGTCACCTTCATGATCAGGTTTCTAGCTATTTGCTCTGTTTCTTAGTTATACAGTCACCATATGGCATAAAGAATAATATTGTTTTTAATCTTTTTAGGAAGTTGCTATTAAGAGAATGACTGCTACAAAAACTAAAGAATTTACAGCTGAGATGAAAGTCTTGTGCAAGGTCCATCATACAAATCTGGTAATGCCTTTTGTAATCGAATGGCTACCTTGATGCCTTTTTCTTTCACAAATTTGAAGCTCTGACTCCCATTTTGGTTTAACTTTGTCAAGGTAGAATTGATTGGCTACGCAGCCAGTGATGCCGAGCTCTTCCTGATCTATGAATATGGGCAAAAAGGTTCACTTGGAAACCATTTGCATGATCCTCAAAATAAGGGTAAGAAGTTGTCAATTTACAACTTTTGGATGTTTTTAATTTCCCAACTTTGTAAATTAATTGTCCTGAAAGAAGTGTTGAACACAATCATTCAAGGAAGTTTGCTAGTAATTACTTTTGACAGAGATACAAGTAGTTTGGAAGGCATCTGTAAGGGATCTACAGTTTTGCATGTTCTTTTGATGTGAGTTGTTGTTATTACATATACTAGCAACCAAACAATGTCTGGAAAACAGAATGTCTCTATAACTATAGTTTGTGTAAGGTCTCTGCAGTATCCATGGAGTTACTTTTATGTCTTGTTCTGTTGTTCATTTGGCTCCAGAAGTTACCTCAATTCGATAACAAGCACAGAATAACACAAAATAACTGCATTGAGCATAAATCTAAATCATTCTTGCTTTAAACAACTACCATAAAGGACAAACAAAGCAACTTTAATTAATCTGTCATGTCCATTTCTTTCGTATTACAATCAGTGGAAATAATTTGAATGAGGCATGTTTGTTGGACCCCTTTTATTAGAACTGAAATTTGCAAATTTTGACTTGCTTGAAGGTCATACATCTCTTTCATGGACCATGCGGATCCAGATTGTGCTTGATGCAGCTAGAGGCCTGGAGTACATCCACGAGCACACTAAAACACACTATGTCCACCGGGATATCAAGACAAGCAACATCTTACTTGATGGTTCCTTCAGGGCCAAGGTTTCAACATATCAGACTTTATTAATTTTATCTCAATCTTTATGAAAATCACTGCATCTCACAATGTAGTGTGCCTATAGATTTCAGATTTTGGATTGGCAAAACTTGTCGGGAAAACTGGTGAGGGAGAAGCTACAGCAACAAAAGTTGTTGGTACATATGGTTATCTAGCACCAGAGTGAGTAAATATACTCTCACACAACTAGTGCGATCCATTATTATTACTTCAACTAGTCTAAATTTTCACTATTGGCCTTGCAGATACTTGAGGGATGGCCTTGCCACAACCAAGAGTGATGTTTATGCATTTGGTGTTGTTCTTTTTGAGATCATATCTGGGAAGGAAGCCATAATACAAACTGAAGGTGCAGCAACAAAAAATCCTGAAAGACGTTCGCTTGCATCCATTGTAAGTTCTGCTTCTATCCATCTAATAAAGCATAGCTTGATCAATACATAGACATACTAACCCATGATTCAAGTAATGCTCTGAACCTGGTTTCTTGCCCAAAACAAAATCTAGCCTTGTACGCATACACCATGTTAAAGCTAGATTGCCAGAAAAAGTGTTTCCAGCAGACTGACTTGACTTCTCTTAGCATAAGGTTTGTGCCATATGACTTTCAGTCCTGAAGGAACAGTCAAGTAAGATGGCATGGGGCTGGTGGTCCCAAAGCATAATGGATGGTGTTTGTTCTGAACTTTTTCATTAAGCTGAATTTTTTTTTTTTAAAAAAAAAAATGGAATGAGATCTATTCTCTCCTGTAGAGGTATATGTTGCCCTTTTTGCTTCTTTCTTGGCGATGAGGAGAGTAGAGTAGCCGTGGAATCAAATCTTTGGGACAAATGATGCAAAAGTTTGTTATCAGTATGTATTGGTTAAATAAATTTTCCTGAAGAACAAACAATGGTAGTTAAAATGAGCAGTTTATTGCGAAGGGAGCGTGCTTATCAAAATGGTACCCGAGCTAAGAAGCTCTGGAGTCTGGATTGACAAAATGTCCACATGCTTCTTAAGCATTGGCCTCCCACATTTCTAGAACACAATGAAAAATTTCCAAGAGTTCTACGTACTCAACCTCGGGACTTGTGCTCTGGAAAACATGGTGATGGTTGTGCGAGGAGAAAAAATAATTTTGGCAAGGCAGCATGGATGTTGTTCTTATGCTTGATTCTTATTTGCCACCTTCTAAATGCCGTTGTTCATTATTGTGCCTTTTCTGCCTTTGACAAAAACTGTGTTTCAATTATTTTGTATTGGTGCATCTTTTGTGTGGTTGCATCTGTATCCTTTGGCAAGCATCCACTTTTGTTGCTATATTTTGAAGCATTTCCTGTGAATATTGCAGATGCTAGCAGCTCTTAGGAACTCACATGACTCCATGAGCATGTCAAGCTTGAAAGAGCTCATTGATCCTAGTATGATGGATTTGTATCCCCATGATTGTGTATTCAAGGTAAATGCTTTACACATTCGAGTCAAGATGCCTCCTGTTTATGCTGCAGTGACTCTTTTTTAACTTCTGTTTCTGTGTATCGATGCATAGTTGGCCATGCTTGCAAAGCAATGTGTGGATGAGGATCCCATCCTACGGCCTGACATGAAGCAGGTTGTGATTGCCCTGTCACAAATTGTTTTATCCTCCATTGAGTGGGAAGCAACTCTTGCTGGGAACAGCCAAGTATTCAGTGGACTTGTTCAAGGAAGATAGGAATGAAAGGAGTTAGTCCATTCGACTATTTTCACTCCCCCGCACCCCCTTCCTCCTGTCCTTTTTATCTTTATAGTTGTGTGCATAGCTTATCGCTGTTGTGTACATTTTTCACATTTGTGTGCAAAATTTTGATGGAATATGTGATGATTTAGCCTAGGCAAGGTTTGATTGTTTTGCAAGATGGGTAGTTGCATATACAAATACCATCTTTTTTTTCTGTTCCCAGTTGACTTGGGTTGATTTATGATCTCATCTAGCCTCCTATTATATTGTGGCTATCATGAAGTTCTAGTAATCTTCCTGAAGATGCTAATACGACTATTTTGATTAGATTGTTGATCTGGAACCAGCATGCATAAGCTAATTTTTTTTTTTTTATTAATAACTCACACCCAACACATATACATCAAGTCTCCTAGCAGAACTAATTTGTTAAGATTTGAACTTGTGACCTCTTGCAAGAGTATTTATCACTCGTTTACAAGCTCTTTGGTAGGCATAAGCTAATTGGTTTGTCCAAAAAGACCAGATTCACATCATGGTGATATACTGTGTTCAATACCGCAGCAAGAGGTTGGAATGATTAGAAATCTTCACCTTTAAGGGACCAGCAGTCATCATTCAAATAGGTAACTCCGAATTCTCTATCAATTTAAACCATCAGTGAGGAGGCTTTCCTACACTACTGGAGACAACTAGAACTTGAAGTTGGGAGCTGAATCTTAGTGACCTGAAATCATATCTTATTGATGTCTTGAAGATTAATTTTGATTCCTTCCATGATAATGATCCTAGTTGGGATTATAATGAGGAGTTCACAATCATTGTGTGCACTCTTAATGAATTCAATGATTGTGCATGACATCTTCCCAGTCAAGCCCATTGCTTTTGACCAACCCATTGGCCTTGTTCAAATTTTACCTGAGACTGCTCTCCAGATTCTCCATCCGTTGGAGGATGATGGCCTCCGCGAGATGCTGGATGATTGCCCTATTTGCTTGAAGGACTTTTCATCGTCTGCTGCTACTTATGTCATCTTGAAGACGCCTTGCTCCCAAATCTTCCATGACAAATCCATAAGAAGCTCCCTCCCATATTTTCCACGACAAATCCATAAGAAACTCTATGATGATTTTGCATATAGAGAGAGAGAGGAAGGAAGCTAGATCTGTAAAGAGAGAGAGTGTGATTAAATGATTTACAGTTTTTTCAAAATCCCTTTGCTTTTTAATTTGGGAGTTGGGAAATTTGTAATTTCACTGTGTTAAACTGGTGCACAAAAAAAAAACTAGGTACAATTGTTGTTTATTTATTCAACCATATTGTGCGAAAAACGTGTCGGGATTCTGATCAACAGAATCAGCCTAATCGATTACAAACTAAAGTTGAAAAAATTTTAATTCGGAGTATCAATCTTCGTTAAACATATAGTAGATGATACAATTTGTCCGCAGGCGTATTATGCTGAAGTTTCTGAGATTTATGAAGCAGTATAGGATGAGGATGATGTGCTTTAAACCTTGATTAACCCATGGAGGTGATGATACTGGATATAAATACAAAGTTGACCTGAACTTGTTTACAAGTCATCTAGGAAGCATCGCATTGTCGCATGATCTTTTCGCCTTCCTTAACTTGTCTAAGAATTGGGATCACGATGTGAACAGAATTTCCATTTCAGTTTCAAATAAGAATCAACATTTTCTGATGTTGAATTTAAGCCAATAGAACTAATACCACCCAAAAAGAAGAAAAATAACAAAAAAGAAAAGAAAGAAGAGGAATCTATTTAGCTCAAAAAATGCGTCAGCTCATCCTTGTAAAATTTGGAAGTTTCGTTATTGATTAACCAAAATGATATTGAACAAGGAATGAAATTCTAGTTCTGATCAGTGAGCCTAAACTAAAAAGTGCCCTCCCGAAAGCAGACATCATTTTCAGCCGAGCAGTCCTACGATTGGTAAAACGACTTTCTAAACAAAATTGTAACTTTTATTTGCAGCATGATGCATCTGGAATTCAACAATATCACCTTTCTTTACTCATTACTTCACAATGTCTAGTACTTTTCTTAACTGTAAAGAGGCCAAACAGCAGATATATGCTACTTGCAAAGTGAAGCTAGGATTCGACGAGGTGGCTTGAATGATCTTCGGGCATGAAGAACAGCCCAATTATCTATCAACAGAACATCACCTTTCTGCCAAGGAATGGCGACGCTTTCCTCTTCAAGGATTTTCAAACAGTCATGAACGATATCACTTGGCAATGGTCTGCCATCACCAAATGTGACTGCTTTTACAGGATCATTTCGCACATCTTTCCACCCAGTGTAGGCTGCCACCATACTATTGAACCAGATTTTACGATTTCTTGACTTATCATATTTGATAGCTGGTATTGGACCCATGATTGATTTCACTCCATCTTCCAACCATTCCAACGTCATTCCAAGCTTAGCAGCCCTGTTCAAAGTTTAGATCATCTGATATTAATTTCCATTTCCAAAATATCAATCAAAACAAAAGCTTTATGCAAAGTTTCAACAGACAAATTAAACCTTTGCTCTGCCACGCTCTTGTCATCAGTCAGAAATGTGGACTTCCATCCACGCCCAATCGGAGAAGAAGGATCATCTTCTTCACCCAAAACTCGAGTATAAATCAAGCCATGCTCCTCTAATTTTTCAACAAAATCTGGATACCTCTCTTTCATTTTTTCATAGACAACATGGCTAAGAACTATAGGAGTCTCTCCCCCACTTCCTGGCTCCACTTCACAAAAGAAGAACAGTTTTGATGGGAATTCAGGAACCTGAAGAACAAAAACATAAAAAGCACAGCAAAATTAAACATCAACAAACTAATTAATAAATTAATTAAAGATTAATCAAAGCTGGATAAACTTAATTAGTTAAGAAGAACCTGAGCCATTTCATGGTGAAAGGATATCTTCTGGTCAGGTGGGGACTCATTAGCAGTGAAGACACGACCAACAACGTTGGTCCTGGGTGCTGCCCCACCAACGTAAGGCAATTCCTCGAATCCAAACGCTTCTACAACGTCATTGAAATCCTTGGCGGTGTTTATATCAAACCCTCTAAATAGAATAGCTCCTGATTTCAGCAGCAAAGAGTCCAAGTAGGGTTTCTGGGCTTTAATAGAATCGGTGAAGAAGGAGGGAGTAGAAGAAGAGAAGGGATTCGAAGAGAGAATGGAAGGGAAAGGAAAGGAATTAATGTTGTTGTATTGTTTTTGGTGCTGTATTTGGATTTCCTTGAAAGGACTCGACGACGACGACATTGTTGTATCGTAAGATGGTGTCTAGTCTGATCATATCCAGTCTGGTTTTATTTCTGGTGTAAGGATGTAGTGGGATTTCCACGCGTAGGCCTGCATGTTGCGATGGTTTGAGAGTTTGTCAGGATTTCCACTTGGATGGAAATTGGTCCAGGTTCATAGCAGACTCGCCAAAACCTGGGTTTTTGGGCTGCTGTGATCATTGCGGCTCATTGATTAGGCCTTTTGATTTATTTGGGCTTGGGTTTAAGCCACTGTTTTGTATTTCGAAAATAGGTCTCGAGGGGCGAAATGTTTTCCTTCCTTAAACATGTTTGGGAAAACATTTTTTATTTTTTTATTTTACATGTTATATGTTAATATTATTATTTATGTTTATATATATTTACTTTAAACTATTTATAAGTTTATTTTTTTCTTTTTTATTTAGGAAAAAAAATTGTGTATTCTTTTTAATACGATACCACCAATTTCTATCTTCATTTTCATTTTCTTAAGCTATATTTCAGTCATTGGTAGGATTCTAAAATTCGAATTGGGAATTCAATAACTATGTTGAGTGGCTTGTTTTTCAAGATTAGTTATTTACGTATCCAAATTTGTGTTTTCTTCTTTTTTTAGTGTTTGATATTTTTTTCAGATTTCAAAGTGTAATTTACATATTTTTTTGATACATGTATTTCATATGTGGCATCCATTGTAACAGAGACGGAAAGATGGATAAAATGTCTAATGAAACTTATAGTAGAGTAGTAGAAGGATAGAATCTTAAAAAAGATTCTTACAAGGGCAAAATCTATAGAAAATCAAGGGGAAGTTTATTGCTGTTTACTGGTTTTTTTTTTCTTCCAAATTTTTCAAAACAAAGTATGAAACTTGTTTGTTTTCCAGAAATAAAATTGACAACAATTTTTTTTTTATTAAAAAAAAGTGGTTTTCAAAACAATTTTTCTTTTATATAATTTTAGTATATGCTTTGAGAGTCAAGTCGGATTTGAGGGTTAGGAAATAATTTGTACTAGGGTTTGGATTGAAACTAGATTTGAAGCATCTGGGATTTAGGTTTGGAGTTCTAATCGGAATCAGGTCTTGGGAGCCTAGGTTTGAGTTGGGATTAAGTCTAGCATGTTCAGGATTTGGATCGAGACTGAGAGTAGGAAGCTTAAGGTTTGGGTCGGGCCGAAGTTAGGGTTCGAGCCGAGACCAATGTTATGGTTTGGGCTAGGAATGATGTTGATGTGTGAAACGAGATTGGGTTTGCATTAGGATCGAGTTTGCATTAGGATCGAGTTCAAAGTTAGCCGAACCGAGACATCGGGAGTAAAAGTGGGATCAAACCGGGATAGGATTTAAAAGACTCGAGTTTCAAGTTTGAAGAATCCAAGGATCATACCAATAACTCTAGTATCCTATTGAAACTAGATACATTTTTTGAAAGGAAAAAAAGAGGTCAACCAAAAAAATTTTCAAGTTCTTAAAAACTAAAAAAAATTGAAAACTATAACAAATACTAGAAACATAATAGAGAAATGATAACAAACAGCCTTTAAGAGTACAACTTAACCCTTTTATTTTAAGGGTAAATTTTAATTTATCCTCCTAGGTTTTAAGGTTTCTCAATTTCTCCAATGAGATTTCATTTGTATCAATTATCCCTTTGAACTTTTATCAAAATTTGAATTCTTTCTTTCCATTTATCAAATGAACATAACAAATGATATGATATTTTTTATATTTCAGTTGATTTATAAAATGTTTTCCATCAAAATTTGAAAAGAAGAAGAACAAGAGAAAGTAGTGTTGTTTTAATTATGAAATGCCATATCATTAGTTATTAGTTTGAGTTTTTGAATTTTAATTTGATTTGAAAGATTGATATGGAAATTTCAATTATGATTTGGAAAAAATTATATATAGTGGGTTAGTATTATTAATTTTATCGTATTAAACTTTACATTTTACGCAATTAACACATGCTTTTTATTTTTTTGTTTTCTAAAAAATAAGAATATAAAAAAAGATATCAATCTATGTTAACTTGGTATTAGATCGTTTTGATTTCATTAAAATATGCAAGATTTGTAGTTTGAATTTGTATATTTTTATCATTTTTTTTTTTACGTGTTAAAAGTTTATAAATTTGAGAAATATATTATAAAAAAATAAAAATAAAAATCCTAATTGAGAAAGAAGATAGTTAATATAATTGAGGAGTGGGGGTACTTAATTAAAACTTTTAAAAATTTTAAGAAGTCAATTGAAAAATAAAAAATATCACATCATTGGTTTAATTAATAGAAGAGAAAATTTGAAACTTTGATAAAAGTTTAAGGAGACAATTGATGCAAATAAATCTTAGAGGAGAAATTGAGAAACTCGTGAAACCTCACAGAGGCAAATTCATAACTAGTGAAGGCATTCTTGATTAGTAGGAAACCAGAGGGAAGCTTCACAGATGCCAGGATAGCAAATTTCCTTATTGTCAGAGTCTGATGCTTTGCTGCTGTCTTCACAGTTGGGAAAAAGGGCATCGTCTTTGTGTTAAGAAGACAAAGATGGGGCAGCGAACTTGCTATTGTTCAAATCAACACTTTACACAAAGCAAAACTGAAGTCGTGTTATTGACAATGCAACTTTCATTACTGAAAGTTAACCAAGGAACGGAAAAAAAAAGAAAAAAAGAGCTTTCTCATTTCAATGATAAGGCAACATAATCACCATAACTGCTGTAAAGAATTTACACAAAGCATCCTTTGTTCTATGCTAGCTATCGCTTGTCAGCATTTAGCGGAGGCGAAAAGCTTGGAGAAGAAAGAAGTCCTTTTACGTCAACTTCCACATTCTTCTCGCAGTCAACCTTTCTAAATCATTCCTGATAAGGATGAATCTCTTCACTAACAGATCCCTCCATGACCAAATCTTCATCAACCTGGGTACATGAACGCTGCATTCTGACACCGCTTATGCTATTCCTTGATGCCATTAATTCATTGAGTGAAAGCCTCTTCTTTGACCCGGGTTCCGGTCTCTGCTTTGGAGCACTAAGAGACCTCAATTTGGCCTTAAATGATTGTGTGTTTGCCATGTAATTAGGAAAGTTCGAATAAGGCCTAAAGTAAGCATCTCCACAAATACTCTTTGCAGGTGTGGCAGGGGCGTTCGACCGGGCAGAGTTGGCAAATCTTGGAGTACTGTTAGCTGTGGAGAACTTGCATTCCTCGCCGGTGAAGTACCACTCAAAGTCTTGATAGTTTTTGCAGTCAGGTATGGAAACTCTAGCTGGAATTGGACAAGGAAGAGGTGACGAGATAGCCTGGTAAGGAAGTTCTTCACTGTATTCTGATAAAGCAACATTAATTCTACGAGATCTTGATCTAGGCTTGTAGGTGTCAATTTCAACTATCTTGGGGTTTTCATCAAATGGAGTCATGTCATAAGACGTAGATAGCCTCTTGCTGTGAAATTCACTTCTCGTATCATCAAACCTTTCCTGGAACACAAAAGAAGACAGATTGTGTCACTTGTTTCCATCAAAATAAGAAACAGGACAGCATACACAAGAATGCATAATTGGTTCTTACAACGGATTTTCGTGGTCTGTGTTCAGGAAATTTATTCTCTTTGTTGAAAGAACGGCGAGCACGTTGAGATCTAACAGCATTTTGAGCTCTTATAAGAGCTTGCATACTATGAAGAGTTGCAGTAGCCCGTTTTCGGACTAAATAGCCCCTGACAACTGCTTGTAGCTTCACCAGCCCTTTCAATGCACGAAGAGCTTTTCGAGCCTGAGTAATTAAATCAAAATTAAACTTATTAAAAGCAATTAATCTATCAAAACACGTTGCAATGAATTGCCTAAAATCACTGTCAAATCAATTAGAGAAGGTGATTGAATGTGTTAAATCCAAATGGAAAGAACTTCCAATCAATGGTCCAACCCACAAAGGCAAAGTTTCAAATTCAAATTTCAGATTTAGGAGAGGGGCACCAAATCCGCCAAAATAAAAGTAACAAAAACAAATCAAGGTCCCAGTCAAAAGAAATCATACGAACATTGCATTGACCCCAAAAAGAGCAAGAATGTTCCGTCACCTATTGAATCTACTTGTCCCAGAATATGATGGCAGACAAAAGTGTACAATTTAAGGAAAGTGTAGTTTAGTACCAACATCGATTAGCTTCGTTACCATGTCAACATGATAGTTAAAAAACAAAAAAACATAGATACCACCATTTTTTTAGCATTTGAATAGGAGTTTCCAGGTTATAAAATCATGGAGAAAAGTAAGATTTAATCAAACACAAAAAGAACTTATCTTAGTCATGTCAAAAGCATATGTACTGTTTCATTACACTCGTGTTTCTCAGCTTTAAAGCAAAGAGTAGGCATAAAAGCACGAAACAAGAAAAACATTTGTACCATTAACACGATAATGTAAAAAACCTGACATATGTAGGAAAATTTCATTAGTGAGAAAAAAATACTCAAATCTAACCGAACAGAGCTGGAACTGCAGAAACCAGATATCCCAGATCAGAAAACCAACTTATGAACTTAAAAGTTGAGCGCTGACAAATATCAATCCAACAAATTAACATTCAAAAATTCACATACCAAATAGCCTCTAAAGACATTTTGAATTTTGACAGCAGCCCATCTCTCCCTTCCTCCACCAAACATTGTCCCTCTGCCATGGCTAGTAAGCCTCACCACCGCCACCGCTGCCTGAGCCGCAGCCACTGCTGCATCGGCTGCCGCAGCTGTGGCTGCTGCCACCGCAATTGCATGCTTGTTCTGCTCTCTTTCTGTCTCAGAAAGGTAGGATCTGAGCCAGGCAGCATCTTTCATGTTCCCTGAAAGATTAGCTGGTGTGTTGTCCTTCCCTGATTTGGCAAAACTCCATCTTTTCTTCTCTTTCTTGTCACTTGAAATTGGTGTAGCAACATCGTCTCTTTCTATATCTTTCTCTTTCTTCATGCCCAATAAGCCCTTTAGCCACCTTGTAGCTCTGCCCATCTTTGTCTCTCTCTCTCTCTCACTCTCTCTTTCTTTCAAGGAGCAACTTGAAGTGACAAAACAGATGGCTCGCCAAGAATCCTATATAAATAAACAATGTATTAAGGCGCTGATATCAACAGCACCAATTTGGAGTGACAATATGTTTATGCTCTCTACTGTTTCAAGTGAAAAACTAGACAAAGAAACTAATGTCAATGAAGCTAAGTGGGGTTGTGGCTATTTTTGAAGTGTGAGAAATGGACAGAACAAAAAAAAAGAGGTGTGACAGGAATATTTGTATTAGAGGGGTCCAAAAAACGAAATGAGTGTTTCAAAAACTGAAAACAAGAGTCCAGGAGGGTGCTTATAGAGGATAGAAAATCAAGAACTGCAAGATCTTTAGAATCTTTACAGGTTGCAAGCAGAGAAGTGAAGAGACCAGTGTGGGAGCAGTATAAAGAAAACCTTAAAATAATTGATAAAGATTAGGTTTTTTTAAAAAGAAAATCTGACACAACCTCGTGAAAATCTGTATTACAAGACAAAAGGAGGTCACAGAAAGACACAGAGATGCCGATTCAAAAAAAACCTAAAAAATAATGAAAAAAGAGTTCAAAATACTCATCAGGTATACACAGACAAGAATTAGAAGACATAAACGCATAGCAAGAGATAACTTCAATATATATATATATATATATATATAAAGAAGTGTAATAAACAGCAAAGATTGGAAAATATATAATAAAATCTACTCACCTTCTCATATTCAAATACAGTTACAAAACAATTTTTTTAAAAAAAAACCTAAAACCTTTCTCTCTCAAAAAAATTTCTCTGATGACTCTCTTTCAGTAGAAAATTTCCCTCTCTTCCTCTCTCTAGCTTTCTGGAGCAACGTGTACTAAATATGCTCACTGACCATCCCGTGAATCAATTCACCTTTTTGCATTTCTTTTTCAAAAACCCATTTTGCGCATATTTAGCCTCCCTCTCACACTCCTCATTTGTAAACGAAAAATGAAAGCTACCCTCTTTCTCTCTACAGAAAGAAAGTGCATTGAAGACGCATTAAAGCAAGAAAGCTCATTAAAGGAGTGCTTTTTATAGGTTCTCTCAGTCCCAAAAGAATGAGCCAAAAATAAAAGCTGAGACCTTCTCTTTCTCTGTTGGGTTATGAGAAGATGCTTCTTCTATGATTCGGGGCTCAGTGTCTCTGCATTGATTCTGCAGAGGAAATCTTTCGGTTTGATGACTCCAAATCGAAAGGGGCTTCACTTCTGCAAATGGGGTTTTGACTATTGTAGATTTTGAATCCTTTTTGGTAAATAACGACAATGGTGGCCATTAAGAAGAGAGAGAAGTAGAGGGTAGGGCCGTAGGGGTAAGGTTTTTAAAGCCTCCATTAAATTTCCTAATTCTTGGGATATTAAAACTATTTTCATGATAAAAATGGAGTAGCAGCAATTACTATTACTTATTGGGGTGTTTAACGTTGACAGTTTGTATTTGAAAGTTTGAGAGTGATTAAATAATAATTTAAATCACCATTAAGCAAATTAAAAATGTTGATTTTTAAATTTGAATGAAGATTTGACCCCTAGACTGTGAAAACTGAACGAGGGCATCATCATGCAAAATTATTATAAGTAGCAGGTGACGTTGATGGAATAAACGCGACAGGAAATTTGAAATACTTAATTATCATGGAACCAAGTACTTGTCTATATCTTAACATTGGGAGGGAAATTCAAAAGTGAATGAACAACTGTAAAAGGTATGGGTTGGACTGTTGGAGTAGGTTTGTTCTACCGGGTGGAGTATTATGATTATAAATCATGATTACCAGGGATTTTGATCTCAATTTAACATTCAGATGTTGTTAATCCTCTCAAAAGAAAATGTTGTCATTTGTCATGAATGAAAAAAAAAATGGATAACAATTGTTTAGTAATTAGATATAATGTTAAACATTAAATTCGGCACTATAGAATTTGAATTTATGCGAAAGGCATGCTCTTCTACAATATGTGAATTTTTTTACTCTTTTTTTTTTTGGTTACGTGGGATAGGATGACAATGGAAAAGACTAACTATAAATGAAATCTACATCCATTTTCTTGAGAGAAACAACTTATAAAAAAGACTGACTGGGTTGAATTTAAAACAAAATATTGGTATGTCATATGGGGATGTGGGTTTTTAGATATTTATTTTAAAATGTAATGATTGGAAATGTGATTTTTGTGGATTTAATGATAAAAATTGTTATTACTTTATTGTAATTTGATAATTTCAGATTTTATTATTAATTTGTATAATTTAAAACTCAAAATATTGGTTTTTGGACAAATATTATAAAAATCGTATTTTGTCTATTACTTGTAACGGACAACCTAATTGATCATTTTTTTAACCGTTAATTTTGTTTTTTGCTGTTAATTTTATTTAAAAAAAATTAACATGCTTTTTCTTTATTTTTTAAGAGAGATTTTTTTCACCTTTTTACCTATAAATGAAAAAAGTTTATTAAATTTATCACTGAACTTTTTTTGGTTCTTCTTAAAAAGAATTTTCACTTTTTGAACCTATTTTTTAAAAAATAAAAATAAAATAAAATTAGAAAAATTTAAAAAATAGTTTTCTAACTCTAACAATTTTAAATGCAAAATATATATATTTGAATCAATTGTGAGAATACAAAATGGAAGAAATTTTTTTTAATGATTTTAAAAAAATAACGGTAGAAAAAAATTAACAATCAACCCAAGTAATAGAGAAAATATGATTTTGGATACAATTTGCTTAAAAACCGATATTTTAGGATTCAAATTATGTAAATCAATAATAAAGACTCGAAGTTGTTAAATTATAATAAAACGGAGGTAATTTTTGCTATTAAACCGATTTTTGTGTTTAGTTGAAAATAAAAATTCTTAATTTTTATTGTGTCTCGGTTTACACTAGAAATTTTAACAAATTTATTATTCTCTTCTCAAAGCTTAAAGTATTTAATTTTGCACGATTTGTTTTTTTTTTTGGGGTAAATAATCATGCTTCTAAGCACATGCATGTTATATTAATTATAACTATCAAGTGAAAAAATTCTTTACTAATGAATTACAAAACATGTAGTTTTTCTAAAAGTAATAACAACAATAATAAAGATTTCAGTACCAAGACTAAAACACTTTTGTTATTGTAAACAAAAATAAGGGTATGCCGGTTCATGTAATTTTAATAATGGTGGCATTATAATTAAAAAAAAGTTCAAAATTCTTACGTTCCTCTTCCTCTCATTTTAGAAGGTCATTATATTTCTTGGTTTGTGAGGAACGTACTGCCCAAAAATTTGACGTTCGCTGGCAAACTGAACATGATTTCTTTGGCGTCGATCTAAAATGCCTTTATAGGGAGAATTGGAGATTTTCTCACACCAAAACAATCTGCAACTCAATTTACAACCATCTTTGTATAGCAATTCTTACTTTAATTGATAAGATCAAGCCCTTGCAAGATTTTGGAGATGTGATTGTATCCTAGCTAAGAAAGCGAAACCCCATGATTTGTCTTCCTATTCCACCAAAAGAAACCTCGCACAAGTTTATCAAACTCATAACAAATGGTTCTTGGAAGCCATGTAGATTGGGTGTATTGTTGGAGCTATTCATGGCTCAAAATTGTGATTTTTTTTTTCACGAAATGGCCCCATTATAGGAGAAGTTTAATACATTAATTAGAGAATAAATTAATATAATTAAATGATTTACAGTGAACTTAATTAAGAATCATGCAATATGTTAAGAATGAAAATAAATTAGATAATGACCATCAATCAAGTGGAGGACAAATAGCTACCTTATGCTAATTGCCAAACGTAAAAGAGTTCTATTTTCAAAACAATTAGTTTAAACGCGCAAATATAAAGACAAATTTTGGGAGAAGAAAAAAGCTTTTGTAATTTCGTATGCAAAGCTAGTTTTTAGAAATATGTTCAAATATTATTTTGAAAAAAATAAAATAAAAATAAAATGTGTAACATCCCGTGGCCAAGAAAGGGTATCATACTAGTTAATTATTTTGTTATTATATGTAAATACTTTTTGAAATGACTAACAACTTTGATATGTAATTTATCTGTAATTATTTCAAAGGTTAATACAAGAATCTCTGGTATTTATTTTCATTTTTTGCGGTGCCTGACTGTTGACATCTAAGTGTATTTGAAAACTATTGGTACTTAGAAGAATTTTATATATCATTTTAAAATATAATTGTCAAAAATTAGATATTTGTATGTGATATCATGAATGAATTTGGTTTATATTTGGGAATTTTTGAAAAAATTAAACAAATTTACTATCTTACTTCTAAAACTTGAAATATATAATTATTTTTTTGTGTATATCTATCTCTTACATAATAAATGCTGATAGTTACTCTTGAAATAATATAAAATTTATCGCAAAACAAATACATGTTATTTTAGTTATAATTTTCAAATAAAAAAATATATCTACTAATAAATTACACAACGTGCACACATATATATTAATAAGTTAATTTGTAACTAAATCTAAAAGCAATTTTGTTATTACTAAAAATAGTAGTATTTTAGTGTAAAAAAAAATAATTTTTTTCCTCCTTATTTTAAAGGGAAATCACATTCTTTAGCTGGCGGGGAATATGATGATGTCCTAAAGAATGTTTAAATTTCCAAAAAAAGAAAAAAAAACCTCAATATTTCTTAACAAACCAAACACTATTTTTTAAATACATCTTAGATACCTTAGTAGAGATAATTGGAGAATCTCCATATCAAACTCTTCCTCAAAGATAAGTACCGGATTATCAAAAGATTGTTCCAACTGCAAACTACTTATCGATGTCAACAAGTTACATTTTTCATGCCTCTGCAAAGTCATGATTTTGTTTGTGGTGTAATTTCTGAACAATGATGTCTCGTTGTAAGACTATTCAAACTACATATTACCTGTAAAGGTGTCGTGTTGAACCAAAGGCACCATGAGACACGATCGAAAAATCTTGTTAACCTCGACCAGAGTTGACTAAAATCCGGCCATAATTGGAAAAAAAATCCAGTCATGACCCAGAATCCTTCGACGAAATACGTAGCACGCATGATCCAAAAATGCTATCCCTTTCGTGGAAAATGCCCACACATGTTTTGTATGATTTTTTTTTATGCCACAAAAAACCAAATAAAATTTAATGTCTTTGTATTATTTGTCAAGGCAGGGTAGAAAGTGGCTATTGGGTAAGAATTTTGGAAAAGCTTGCTGACATTTGAACAGAAGAAAGAGACGTTACTAAGGAGTACAAAGAAGAATAAAGAAATGAACTTGTAATTAACAATTGTGTCCCTTCTGATTCAAACATTGAAAAAATCTGTTGTTTTTTCAGGAATCCCTTCCTACGAGACCATGGAGCTCCAATGTGTTTGGTTGAGCGGGCTCCGCTTTCGTCATCTTTTGTACTTACGTACAGTTAAAATAAAGATTTGATACTCCTGCTATATACTTTTTCCCTTTTTTTTTTACTTTTTCCTTCTTTTAAGGCAGTTACCAATCCCTCTCCTAAAGTTGTATTAATTGTACGATAACGTATGACTTTAACACCTTTGCATGGTTAACGTAAATCAAGCAATTTTTTCTTTTAATATGATTGTAAATGATCTCTTGATGATATCTATTAGAATTCAGATCTCAAACTATATTATGAAAAATAAAATTTTCATGAATTTACACATTCTAAATAGTTTGTTTTTAATCCAACAAGAGAAATAGATTGAATCTAAATATAAAAAATTAATACGATTGAAGAATATCTATAGACATTGAAAAGGGAAAAAGAAAGATTTTTGTTAAGTTTTCAGCAATTATCTTATCTGAAAAATATAACATATTGCGAGCTATGTTATCAAAGAGTTTGTAATTTAGTGATAATAATTTTTTATAAAAAAAATAACAAATTTAAATTTTAACAAGATAATTCTATTAAAAAACTTGAATATGTGTTGGGTATATGAGTTATATATTAAAAAAAAAAAATACCAGCTAGGTTTTAATATGTCCCTCTAGTTCTTGACGCTGGTGCTTTGTTAACTTTGAATATTGAAAAACGTGTGTGTGGATTTTATTACAACCGAACATGGAAGTGCTGTTTAGTCTAAATTTGAGCATTAATCAGAGACAACGAGTTTCCATTCTTTTGGGGCCATTTCGATGACATTATTGTTGCTTTAGATGGAAAACTCTTACAAAAACTTTTGACCTTTCTTGGAATGTGGGTTTGGGCATTTTGAGGATGGACTTTACTTGACTATTTATTTGATTCATCAAATAAAATTAGATTTCTAGGAGAACTAACCAGTGGATGGCTTAAAATTATGGTTTATTGGCTAAAGTGGGCTTCTTCCTCATGTGCTAAGCACTAAAGAGGACAGATCAGAGAATCAATACAATAATCAGTACTGGCCACCGGCTTTTTTTGCATCATAAGCATCTTTTGTTTTGTCAAAGGTTTCACGTTCGGATTTCTTGTCATTCCATCGTAGATCTACTTCCTGATGGGACGGTGCAAAAGTGAGCAATAATGAAATAAGCTAATGCCATAATTTTTATTTTTTTATTTTTCAAAATGTAAGGGTATCAATGTACCAATTTCTGCGTATATATATAGAAATTAAGTTTTTCTACTGTTACAGTTAAAACAGGTCACCCACTTTAATTAACGTATTTCATAAAAAAAACAGGTCACCCAGTTAGTAATCGTATTAGGACTCCATAAAACTTTTGAAAGTAGTGTTTTTTTTTTAAAAAAAAAATTGAAAATCGAAATTAGTTGCAATAAGAGTTTTCAAATATTTTTTTTTCATTTAGAAAAAAAAGGAAATCAACATGATCTTGATCTTGAGATTGAACCAAATAAAGACCACAACATGATCCTATATATGGTCCGAACCACGTAATTTTAAGTAATACATGAGGAGAAGGGGCAAAAAAAAAAAAAAAAAGCCATGCAACTTCAACTAGTGGTCATTGTTTTCTGTAAAATTAGGGTCGAAAAACAACTACTTTTCTGTTCTTTTATTTTATTAATTTTTGAATAAAAAATTATTAAGTATTTTTGGTATATTATTATTTTATTTACAAAACAGAAGGATTCACCATAATAACTATTCATGAATTCCATTCTTATTTATCTAAGCATGCACCACACACAGGAAGTTCTAATAATCTCTGAAAACCAAAAAATAAAAATAAAAATAAAAATAAAAATAAAAATAAAAATGCAAATCTTAGTAAATACTAACTAACATTAGGTTCATCAGTTTACTTTAAAAAAAAAAAAAAAAGTTGATCCAAGGGATCCTCGGGGCCCTGGCAGTATGTACTTGGGCCCAAGCCTGGACAGTTGGGCAAACTGTTGATCCGACCATATTGGTCCAGTGAAGGCCCATTTAAAAACTATCGAGATCCGTCCTCGCCAACGGTCAAAAAAGCAGGAATTCAAATTTCAAATATAAAAAAATATAACCCACATGCCAACGGTCATCTGTTCACTTCACTGTCATTCCTTCCTTCCTCTCTCCATTCATTCAGAACTACCCAATTTTCTCCCTCCTTCCCTCCCTCTAAAACTGCCAACAGAGACAACAAGAAAGAAAGAAAATAAAATTTTTGCTTTCTTTTCAGATAGTCAAAGAAATGGATGGTTCTGATAATAAGAGTGTTTCATCATCACTATCAATACCTAACAAACGCCTTTCGTTCTCAAAAGGTATGTCTCCTTTTCATGCCAATTACTTTTCCGTTCAGTTTTGAAGAAACAAAATGGAAAGAAAATTAAAGAAATAAAAGTTAAGTATTTTTTTTTCTTTTTCAAAGACCAAACAAGAATTAGTAGAAATTTCCTTTTAATTTGTACCAAGAAAGCTGTTTCTTTTGTGCCCTTGTCGCAGATGAGAATGATCAGAGCTATCAAGAAAGGGGTCTAAATGTTCAAAACCCGAAGAAACCAATAACATCAGCAACAACAAAGCATTTCATGTCACCAACAATATCTGCAGCTTCAAAAGCTAATCCTCCAAGAAGGAAAATCTTAGCTGAAAGGAATGAATCTCTTGATACCCATCTCCAAAAGGCCCCAAATTTTTGTTCGAAAACCACTTCGAGCATTGAATTTGATGAATATGAGGAAAATGGTCATCTTGATGATCTGTCATCAAGGCCTTATGACCCATTAACCAATTACCTCTCTCCAAGGCCTAAATTTCTCAGATATAAGCCTGATCGTCACCGGGATATTCTTCTACGAAGAGAAAATGAGGCTAAAGAAGGTGAAGATGAGACAAGCAGTTGTAGAAGTTGTTCTCTAGAATCCAAGAACGACAAAGATGTTGAAGGTGATTCAGATATTTCTTTGGCTGACGATACTCAAGAAGAAAATGTGGAGAAGGAAGGTGAAGGAGTTGATGAAAATGAAGAGGAATTTGAGGGGGTAGAAGAGGAAAGATGCTGGGGTTTTAGAGTACTGAAATCTTTGCTTTTGTTGGTTGTTTTGGTGCTTTCTACCTCATATATTTCTACTATGAACTCTTCTACACCTTCACCTATTGTGCAAGCTGTTGGCAGTCTCAAGAATGGTTATCACATGATTCAAGATCATGTATATGGGTTTGTGAAGAATCTTGAGTCTGAAAGTAGAAATTATATCTTGGTTCAAAATGGACGTGGAATTGATGAAGAAGAGATGATGTATTATGAAGTGATGGGAGAAGACGAATACGACGATGATTTGGATGAAGCTGTAGAGAAACAAAATGGGGAAAGTGAAGTTTTGAAGATTGTTGAAGATGAAGAGAAGGGAACAGTAGAAGGGTTTGGTGAAGGTGGAGAAACTGAGGTTACGGAGATTGTAGAGCAAGGAGAGAAAGATGAAATTGCCAAGTTGGGTAGCGTGGTAGAGCCACAAGCTGGAGAGAGTGCGACTGAAATGGTGAAAGGAGGAGAGGTCTCTGATGAATGTCTGATGAATGAGGTTGTAACGAATCCTGAGCTGCAGAGAACACAAGCTATAATAATGTCTGAAAGTTCATTCATAAATGATGGGGTTGATTCTTTGGCTATGCCATCTAGAATTCCAGAGAATTTTGAGAAAGAAAATGAAGTTGCTAATGAGCCTGTCAAACAAGAGGTGGTTGATGGCGAAATCGGTAATATCTGGAATGCCACTGATGATCATGCCAAACACTATCAGATTCAAAGTGATGAAGCAGAAGAAAGCCTGAAGGAAGGGATTAAGAAAGAGAACGCTGTGGTTGTGTTCTCCACATTGTTTTCAATTATTGCTGGTTTGGCATTGGCTTTTCACTTTAAGAGGAAGAGAAATGCTCAAAAGGATGCTTCTCCAGTTGTTCAGCCTAGTTTCGGGCCTGTTGAAGCAGGGAAATGCATCTCAATGTGTGCATCAGAAGCAGATAAGAACACCGAACATCTGGTGCCATTTACAAATTCTTCTAATTCAGTGGAAGAAAACTGTAAAGTAACATACCAAAGCCGAGTGCCATCAGTTGAGTTTCTTGGAGAATTTGAGGTGGGAGAGATGAGCAGCCCTCTTAGGAGTAGTTGTGGTATGAAAAGCAGGATGATAGAAAATGATGTGAGCATCCATTCTGTTTCTTTGGAGAAGAGGATAGCCACCAAGGCTCACTCAGTTCCTGTTCATGTGCAGTCAGCTTTCTCAGAGATCTCCACCCTGGATTTCCCATCCCTCTCGCATGGAAGATTCACTAATGAGAAGAAAATTGCGAAGAAACAGGTGAGTATCACGTCCTTCTTTAATTTTGTTTGATTATTTCTAATTAAAAAATTGGATATTTCACTTTACAGTATCCTTTTGCATGTTGATTGAATAAGTGCCAACTTTGGAATATTAGCAAAAGAACGTTGACATTAACGCCATAAATATGACATGCAAATAGATGCCTTGACTAATCATTCATATATTGCTGGCAGAGAGTCTTGGGACTTTGAGTTGGCTTTGATGTAAGGAGTTCTTCCAAATGTATAGAAAATTGGGCATTTTGTTGTGAAGACAGGATTTGTGATGCAAAACTTGAAAGAATCCTAGTGTCTGCTGTGGCATAAACATGATGCAGATTGATTGATTTGGAGGAACGAATAGATAAGAACACTCATGGAATTGAATCCTAAGGGTGCGCAATGCCATTGAATCCTACAGACATGTCTTTCGGGTCATGGGGCTCTTGGTTGCAAATACAAATACTTTGCGTTAGCTGAGAAAAAAACCATTTTTGATGATCTGCTTGAGAAGCAATCCTAGTCAGTATACTTTCTAGCCACCATGAATACTAGTTTGAAGCAAACTACTTAAGTGGTCTATTGTATATTCAATGATATCCTTAAAAATATTACTGTAGCTAAAACATCTTGTTCCTCTTTTTTATTGCTTTTGTATTTAAGCAGGAGGGAGCAGATGGAGAAACCAAGATGGTGGTAACAACTCCAGTTAGGAGATCAAGCCGAATCCGCAACCGTAGCGTCATATCTCCATGAAGCATTTTCATTCAGCTTGCTACATTCAAAACAGCTATCTGTTGTTTCATAATATAGTTCCACTGAACTATCTTAGTAAAGTCTGTACAATGCCTCTAATTGTAAGCTTAGTTACTGTGCTAGTAGGAACTGATTCTTGTAAGAACTGAATTATTGATTACTTGACCCAGGATGGGATAAATCTATCATCCTCAAGTTGCTTATCTTTTTTGTCCTTTTAAATTATTGCTTCCCCTTTTTGATTAAATGTCTGCTTTCGCTTTCTAGGTCCTTCAACAAATTATTAGTGTTCCTATCACTAAAATATGTAATGGACAATATGGTGAATGTTGTGTACGAAGATAATATTATCTAGTATTGTTTGGTGACTTGTTTTTGTTTTTGTTGAATGCGTGCTCAAAAGTGCCAAATACTGTCAGCTTGTAAGAAGCAAGGTTTCAAGGAGCTTGAATCTCTATCAAGAGCCTGTGGATTGTAACCATCTTTCCAGCAGTGAAGCAAGGAAAACTTTATCAAAAGCAAGGAAACCTTGTCCGATCTGTTTTCGAAGTGCTAAATATTCTTAGCCAAGTAAATATTAGGATGATAAGGCGCTTGAACCTCCTGTAGAAAGCAATTGGATTCTTGTTGTCTCGCACTGAAGTGAGGGGCAAGCTTCAGTTTGGTCATTTTGTATGAATCGGGGCTTGTATCTAGTTCACGTGCAAGAACACTCTCACAACACCAATATTTTTGTCCTAGGAAAAGAAAGCAGTTAAAACACTGGTCTAAGTAATGGACATTAAGTGGATTCCATTCTGCAAGTAGATGGGGATAAAATATCAGAGGGAGTTTTAGTTGAAACTTTTAAAAGTAAGGTATCCAGTTTGAAAGCTAGTATTGCTGTCAAAAGAGCAATAATAGAAAGCATCTAACTTGTTAGATTATTGATGCAGAAGTTTAGCTTGTGGATGTTATTTTCATAACAGAAATGGCTCAAATCTAAAGCTAGAAAATGGTTGCTGAATGTTTTATCTCATTTATGCTTATATCCCATCATCGGTGTGCTCCTATATACAACCTAGATTGTAAAACAAGAATTTCCATGATCTGCAGCTGTCTATAAAAGAGGAAGTTTTTGTAAGGTTTCACTATTTCATGATCACATGTAGAAGAAAACATAATATATTTCCTTTGGGATATGAAACATGTGAAGAGCTCTTGGAATTGAGTGGTAAGCTACACAAAATGGAGTACGGGTGGGAATTTTGTTTCAGATAAAGTTGCAGTATGGGTCCTTGCCCACTAGTAAATACTAACGAATCACTTTAAAGAAGGAAAGGAATTCTTGCAGAAGACAGGCACACTTAATATCCTTATGTTGAAGGATTAAAAAAAACATAAATCGAAATCTTGGAGACCTTGTTTTTAAGAAAGAAAGATTGAATAATATGTCGCTGGAAGCCTCCATTTTCTATTCTTTCAGAAAATAAAATTTCTCATCATTTGCCATTATCTACAATATAACATATATATCCCTCATTGCTTTATAGCCTTGAAGTACATATATATATATATATATATGAATATCTACACTCAAAAAAAAAAAATTTCTACAGCAAAAGCAACCTTGTGAAGTTACACATCAGAACCTCTTGTGCAGTGGAATTGTAGGAGGCCTAGTGCTATTTAAAAAACTGCCTGCAATTCTACCCGGAAAACATAAAGATGACATAGAACCTCTTGAGACCTTCTTTGCTATGATGGGCTTAGGAAGCGTGTATGATTTGTGAAAATCCAAACCATTCGCACAACTCTTAGATGCCTTCATTTTCCTTCTATAAGGTTTTTCCTTCTTTGCAAGATTTTCAATGCTTGTTACCCTTGATAGAGATGTAAAAGACTGAGACTTGCCCTGATAATATTTAGATAATCCTCTCCTGCATAGAGTAGAACAAACAGACAGGAATTAGGATAGTTTTATGCTAGAAAGAGATCAAAATATACAGAACTGTAGTTTCTTTAACTAGTGGCGTCGAAAGCTTAATTAGTACTCACTTGATGGGCAGATGGGCCATGAGCTCAGACAATTCATACAGAGGACCATTAGAATTTGAGGATGAACATGAAGATGCATCATCAACCATATCTGATGAAGAAATTGTTGATCCATTGGTAGTACTTGAATTATCAAGGGAAGATGTGTTGTACGTATCATTATCATCATCATCGCCGCCGCCGCCTTCCATGATCACCCATTGATCCTTATGTTCTGCACAGCTATCATCATATCTTGGTGCTATACATGGAGACTGAAACATTTCTTCTTGACCTTCAGCCATGGATGATTATAATTGTGAAGAAGACACAGGATAAAGCGCACAAAGTAGTTCCCAAAACCACAGTACATATCTCACACGCACAAGGAGCTTGGAGACATTCATTACAAGGCACACCTATATTTATCTATCTATATATATATACAGAATATCACATGCATATAATAATACTACATGGATTAGGTTGGTAATCTTTTACAAGGAATGAAACCAAAATGACAGAAAGTAGCATGAACTTTTCATGATTTTCTTGGATAATAACTCCACGTGTAAGAAGGCCCCTGTTTGACTTTTGACACTAATTTTGATTAGAGGGATTAATTAATAATGCAAGATGGAAAAGCCGAAACTAGGCTTGAATTGCACGAAGAATCCGTGCACTTAGATTAGGCAATTGAACAGTTAGGTCACTTTCCCAAGTCATAGTGACATATTTTTCTTATTTGCCTTATCCACAGATTCGATATTATCTGTTCTTATGGTTTGAATTTCCAGACCTTGTCTATTATTTTAAGGAAAGGATAAGCTTTGTAGATGTGAAGCCATCATCCATCTTCATGAGTCACAATCTAACACACTGACGGCCCTACTTGCCCCTTTTTTTTAATTTTTTTTCTTTCTTTTTCATAGAATTTGGCTAGGGTTTGGTTGTTTTGTCGAAATTTGGTCAAAAAGGTTTTTTCGGGTTTAGGGTGAGCAGCATTTGGATGCTCAAGAGGAGGCATTGTTATTTGTAGCAGTCTTCTTGTGGGCTTTTTCCCAACTATATTTTGGACACTTACCTCAAAAATAAGGAGTATATTTATGTTTTTATATATCCATCATATATGGAAATTGGTTTGGCATTTTTTTCTTTTCTTTTCTTTTCCTTTTTCCTATTCTATATATATCATCGATTTTTGGATCAATGATATTTCTCTATGATTAAGCAACAATAGAACAAAAATGGGATTTAACTGTTTTGCAAATTTATTTGCTAATAATCATTAGGGCAACGTTAGGATGAGAAAAAGAAGGGCCACCAATGCCATACCATGGGCGCCACTACTTCTATAAATTGTATTATAATTAGATTATGCTGGCAACGGTCTCACTCACCTAGCTATCTCTAACCGGTTTTTGCCGACTTGAGATTTATTAGAAGTTGAGGTCAAAATGTTAGCAACTTGAAGTCCAAGATTGTCTGTCGAAAAGTAAAAATCGATTGTAAATCTGATTAAGATTGGATTGTCATTATTAGTATTTTTAATAATTTAGTTTTAAAATATATGAGATTTACGTTGAGAAGTATTTTTTAATCATATTAAAAAAGAGATTGGTCTTAAGATATATAAAAATTAATATGATAATATCCTTGTTGTTAAAAAAAAAAAAAAATTTGGCAACTTGGCATAAACCAAAATGCCGATCTAGTTAAAGGGGTTTGATTTAAATAAAATAATTCAAAGATCTATTGAATACAACGAATTTTTACCGATGCCTTCATGCTTTGGTAAATTGTTTGAAGTTGTGCCATTTGTTTTAGCATTTAGAATTATTTTTTGTTTCTTTTTTTTTTTTTAAATTAGATTATACTGTGGAATTATACTTTATGGTTTCCATTTTCTTCTATATGGTGTATTGGTGTTCAATCTTTTTGCTGTATAATTGAATTTTAATTTATTTTTATATATAATGGGGAAACTATTGCTTAAGGATGCTTGTCATGGGTAACAACGTTGCTTATTATTAAAAATAATCTTATGTTGTCAACAGAGAAAAAGATTATGTTGAAGAACTCCCCAATTTCGCCATAAGACTGACTAGTCAGCCCAGTTTTTCAACAAGAAAGACCCAAAAGAATAATTAAGTTCCCTGACAGCGAACATCATTTAGTGAAAAAGTAGCACCCAACCATTTTAGAAAATCAGTAAATAATTAGATTTTTATTTTTTTAAAAAAAACATAATTTCAACAGTCATTTTTCAAAATTCATTTTTAAGGTGGAGCCAATTTAGGAGCACGAAAGTGAAGGGAAGGAGGGCATCAAAGAGAAACGGAGATGAGAGGATAAGAGAATTGACTTTTGTACGAGTCACCCACCAAAAAGAAGCAAAGGAAGGTGAAGATGATCTCTTTAAGGAGCAGCCTAACCTCCACCACATTATCTTTAAGGTAAGGCCGTACCATCCAATCTTATCCATGGCCACAAGAAATCGATTCTATCATCAATAATCTTAATTTGATAAGCATAATTAAAGACTTGGTACAATGTTTGATAAGGAAAAGCCAATCTCTAGCACAAAAGTTTCAATGTTTCTGGTACGAAACGACGTATCATTGCCTAGCTGCTCCTTGCGGGACACAGTAACGTAATGCATCAACCAAACAAAAGCACACATATCCTATAGCTTGTGACTTATGAGCCATAAGTTTTCAGACAAGTGTTAAATACGCTTTCAATGACTAACCAAACCCAGGTTGCAAGAAAATTTAACTGACCTGGGGAGTTCCAAATTTGAAACACAGATAATTTTCAAGTTCCATTATGGTTTTAAAGAAGAATTTTTATTTTTTATTAAGATTACCACATTATTCTGGATAAATAGCTGAATCTCAAGCTGTTAATTTTTCTTTTAACTTAAATCACAAAATTCGTTCCTCCAAATCATTCTCATCCCATGTGCAATATCTGTTCACAATTCCACAATCCCTTGATAAATATTTCACTAAAAATTCCGTAAAAAAGTGTCATCAATTAATGGAAGAACTTATCAATCCTGGAAGCCGTAATATGGATTGGAAAAATGTGTCCTTGATTATAGCACTTCAGGTTAAGACCACCAATGTTAATTTAGGCAATCCAAATCTATTAACGCAACGGTATTAAGAGGATCATAAATCAATTAAGGGTTTGAGATTTCTGGATAGATTAAGGTCAGGATCAATGCTGTATTGCTTCCATTGCTTGTTTGAACAGGAGCAAAAGCCAAAAACATGATGCCAATGACTTGTTAATTAATTTCCACAACACTCAAACCTTCAAAACTATAGATTTATTCAGAGCACAATTTTTGCGAATTTAAACAGGAAAACTAGTTGCATTAAACAATCGGCATTAGCTAAGAAAACTTGGTTTCCGCTTATAAGTATTATTAGCAACCATTTTCCTAAAAACTAAAATTTTACAATTATAAAAGAAAAACAAGAACAAAAAATAAAATGAATGCAGCATACCAACAATATTTTGGGGGAAAAAAGAAAAAGAAGAGAACAGAAAAGAGTAGCGCAGGGAAGATGATTTTCCAAAACTACAATTTTTTCATTTTAAAAGAAACGAAAAAAAAATCAGAGGAATGAAGAAATCTATAATATCATATAAAAAAAACTAAATAAATAAAAGAATAATTAAAAAGAAGGGATATGGGGAAGATGATTGTTGAAAAGTTTCAATGAAAGAGAATGAAACACAACTGCCCATCTTCCCCAAAAAATCAATATGGCAGGGAACTCTTTCGGTTTCGGAGTGCATTTTTTATAGCACAACGCCGATACACACAATCCCTGCTGACTGCTAATTCATCAAGCCAAAGAAAACGATAGCTATTAATCAAAATCAATGCACATGTTATTATCAAACCATAAGCAGAAACCCCAAAATTTTGATCTTTGTTTTTTTTCTATTTTTGTGAAAGAAAGAAAAAACGTAACTACAGAGAGAAAACGAGAGGGGTTAGACGGCTTCTTTCAGTTGCTGCGCCATCTATCGAAGCGATGGGATATATAAAAGGAGAAGTAGGGTTTTCTGTGGCTTGAATGTAATGACCAAGTTGCCCTTGACCTTCCTAAATTGTAACAGTCTGAAAGGCCCACGGTTGTTAATCAGCCACCTAAACTCATTAGGCTATTCTGGGCTGGGTTATAATTGTTAATCAAACTGATAATCCTAAAAGGCCCATGCTTCAATTCATGAAGATCTCAAACTATGGTGACACAGAAACGAGGCCGTCAATAATGGCTATGGTGATTAAACTTTTGAGGATGGAGACCAATGTTATTAAACCCAGTCGACATAGAGACTCGATCAAGCTACTGGATCACTAATCCAATCGTATGGTCATCGTGTCAAAATATATGTATATGTATATTATGCATGAATTATTAAATAAGAAATAGTGAAACGGTGAGTACATAATTAAAAAAAAAAAAAAAAACAGAGACATCAAGTTAGGAGTCATTGATCTCATATGGATAAATTACCTTATAATTAGATTGCACGAACACTCTACGCCTCTATTTTTAAAAAATTACATTTTATACTCTGAATTTTTTTCAATGAAATTTCAGACAGATGAAGCATAAAATGAAGACAATACTCTTATGTATGTAATAAAAGATAAATTATGAAAAATATTATATGGTTAGATGGTGAAAACATGCTACATCTTTATTTTTAAAAAATTATACTCTACCCTCTAAATTTTTTACAATGAAATTTAAAATAGGTAAAGTATAAAATAATGTCAATATATATATATATATATATATATATATATATATATATATATATATATATATATATATATATATATATATAATAAGACTTCTCATACCAACTAAACATTATCAATCTTATTCGTTTATTTCTCTCTCTCTCTCTCTAAATAGAAAGAAAGTCAAAAACTCATAAATTTATCAAATAAATTGTTTGAAAATAAACAAATTGCTTATGCGTTCTTATTAATTAAATGTTTGTGTAGCTGTTTATAATTGAATTGAAGGTGAGTCGAAATTGAAACAATGTATGTTATAGTATCATCCTAATTTTTTTAATTTTTGAAACACAAAAAATGTTGGAATTAACATTAAATTTAAAACCCAAAAAGATTTTGGGTGTTTTGAAGGTTTTATTAGATGTCTTTGAAAATCTCCCAAAAAACCTTTAATTTTTTAAATGTTTAGTTTTTCTCTTTTCTTCTCACTTGAAGTACAAGACCAAAAACACTGTTTTGCTATTTTCAGTTGCTATGTTTTATATTCTATTGTTTAGTTTTTATATTCTATTATTTAGTTGTTGAGTTCTGTATAAAAAAAAAAATTACTTGGACTGATCAAACTAATATTTATTTATTATCATGCAGTATTACAACTAAAGACAAATTAAAATACTAAGTGTTTTCTAAAATGTTTTCAAAGAGTATTGTGACCATTAAAAAATAAAATAATGACAAATTTATAATAATTTAGACGTTTTTTTTACCTCGAATTTTGACATTGTAAACATAATTATAATACAAAGTGTTTTCTACAACAAATATTAAAATTACATGATGTAAAGTGTAATTTAAAAAAAATGCAAAGCATTCCGACCATCTATCTACATGACATTTTTGGTAATTTAACCATCTCTTATCTCTAATATCTCTAACGGTTAAAAACAATAGATCTACTAAGGTTGTCTATAATATTCAACATGAGATTTAATTCACCAAACAAAGACAACCCACTTCCACATCTCAACCAACTAAACTGTTTTTTTTTTTTCCAGTTTATTCAACCAAAAAATACAAAAAATGTTAATACTCGCAGTATTCAGACAAACATGGAGAACTTAATTAGTACCCTAATCGAGTAACTGGACCCACTTTTAATGGAAGACAGTTTGCACACACCAGGACCAGCTGGACTCGATAGTTTCCGTTACCCTCAATGGTTTGACTGACCTTGCAGCTTTATGGATGGATGGATAGAGCCATCATAATTTACAGGAAAATTGAGTCCTAAAGTCACATGAAGCCATTCACGAATCATGAGCATATAGATATCAAACTTCTTTTAATAAACAATAAAAATATATATTATGTGAATACAAAACCAAAACCCAAACAACGCTCAAACTTTAGTGATGCAAACTTAATTCAAGCATAGCATTGATGATCATGATCATGAATACATATTAATTAAGAAAACAAGAAAGGAATCAAGAAGAAAAAATGAATGACCCTAGGATCCAAAATATAAATCAACGTCTCTGTCCCCAAACCATTATTTGACATCGCAGCAGCAAAACCATTAATGCTAGTTCATGCCCAGATGCAAGCTCAAACCAAAAAAACAGCATTATGAGACCACAACTTTCAGACGGTGGGGCCTACAGGCCCTGATCCATGAGGTAATCGCCCAACCTCTCCACTATCATGTTACACTGTCCTGGAGTCAATGGCTCATCATAAATACCAAAAATAAGAGCCTGGGCGGTTTTCTTCACCGTGACGCCACCAGAACCCTGAAAAATGAATGATGCGGCAACTTCAAGATGTGAAAGATAAAATCACTTCGTCTATTCATAGCACACATTTAACAACATCCAAGAATTTCAATGGCATTTGTCATCACAGCTAAACCAGTTTCGTACAATAACTAAAGAATCAAAGCTCAAAATTAAATGAAAAGGTTTTCCGTGAAAATTACGTTACATCAGTCTTCCAACTATCAAAGGGCAAATAAAAAGACATCATGCCATTATGAGGTGGTGCCAGTACCAGCATACGAAAATTATGCAACCCATAACATATTAGGGACACCTACTTACTGGCTAACTTTTCAATAAACCTTCCTTTATAAAAGCAAAAGGAAAAAAATGCAACCCGTCACCCATGTGTTTCTGTTCTCCAGTGCCCACAAGAGGCCTATGAAAGAGACTGGCAAAACACGACCAAAGTAATTAAGGACTTACACAGGCAGTCAAAAAAACGAAATTCTTATCTGGTACATTTCGAATACATAGTTAAAAGGAGGGAAACTTCTCGACATCATCAATAGCAGAACAGCATCAATAACAGTCTTTATGGAATGGATCCTTGAGGTAAGATCATGAAAAGTGAAAAAAGATCAAACCCCTACAAGGTCCGTTCATCATCATAAAGAAACAAGTATAAAATCACTTGCCTTTACCAAACATTTATACGAATTATTGTAAATATTAATACGATTAAATATTTGTGGTAAAAGGCTTCATATCTGGGGGCCGCAGCATTACCCTTTTTGTCATGTGTTAGTCAATAATATTCCACAACTTTAAGCATTCTCATAAAGTTGACACCATACCATGTTATCCATTAAAATGACTACACAGTTGTCACTACTTTAAATGACTAAATCTTGGCAACAACGTTATAAATCATGCTAAATCTGGGTCAAGTATAAAAGCAAAAATAATAACAAATAACTGAATTATCTCATATAGCAAGAAAATCAAGGCACAAAGAAATGCGACATAATGTAGCACCTTCTTTCCACGAATCACAGCTCCAGGTTCTCCCTGGATCACCATGTACTTTGTTCCACCAAGGTGCAACCCAGTTGGGGCTAGAGATCCAGGTTCATCAAAATCTTTCATGATTGCAGTGATCTCCTCAGGCTTAAACTGTAAGCAACCAGCAATAAAATCTTTTGGTCAATGACATATGAAAGAGGAAAATAAAGAACGACCTTTACAGCTGAAGTCATATCAAGCAAGAAGAGCCATGCAACACCAGAAACAGTGACAATAATTACAAAAAATCATTGATCCAAACTGTGTTAATAAAATGATAACCAAATGTTTTTGCAGGCGAAATCACACCTTTAAATACAAGCAGCACTCGGAAAAATAAAAAACAAAAAATGAGCCACCGCATTGGCAATTGCATATCAGCTAACAATCTGCCTGCATGTGAAAGCTTATACACAACAAATCAAAACAAAGGTTGAAATCCATCATTTCGAGGATGGATATCAAACAGAAATCAGGTCCACCATCCAATAAATTCTGACAACACAACTGCATCCACTTACAGTACACATCTTATCATAATAAACCAATTCCTAAATATAATGGCGAGCTTTCTAAATCTTTAAAAGTCGGAGCCAATCATAAATTAATTGCCAAAGGCAGCATTTTAATCTTTAAACAATTAGCCGATTCTGTCATCTGTAAAACGGAAAAAAACAAATGTTCGCAGCAAATCATTTATTTCAAGAAAATAACCAAAAACAACGTAGAAACCTTAACATTCATTAAAAACAAAAACCTTCATATATTAATAAATCATCGCACTTTGCAACAAAAATGGCTTAAAACAAAACCAATCTCATAATCTAAAACTTTAAAAAAAAAAAAAAAAGCAGATCCTTAAATAATCATTGATGCAATTCATATAAATCAAACGCCACAATCAACGACTAAATAAACAAAAAAAATTCCAAATGGGCACATTTTAAAACAATGAAATTGTGATTAAAGAACACTCAATCAGATCCAATCAAATCTAAATTACATTAACAAACAAATCTAAATTACATTAACAGACAAAACAGATCAAATCACAAGAATTCAGAAAGGACCTGAGGGAAGTTGGCGCTCTGGGCCCACACACTGCCATCATGACCGATGATAGCGGCAGCAGTCAGATGGTTGCCCTCGATGTCGCACATGAGGTGTTCATCAACGTATGTTTGCCACGACATTTTCGATCAACAAATCGCTGCCGCTGATTTCTCTTTTCTTTTTTTCTTTTTTGTTTTGTTTTTCCTTTCGATTTTTCCTCTCTTATGTTTGGCTTCTGTTACGAAAATTTTTGGTTCAAAGAAGAGAGGTATTTATAGTGCTTTGAAAGCAGAGAGAGAGAGAGAGAGAGAGAGAGAGCATTTATTTAGTGGGCCCAAAAAAGAAGGTTACGATTGACGATGGTGCTGCCTTGGTTACTGATCCACCGTACATTTCAACATGACCCAATGAGTGCCGTTCACGTTCTCCTTCTCCGTGATGTTTTTTTAAAACAATTAACACGAGATAAAGACACGTGGTGGTAGATTCTTTACTAGCTAGGTCAATAATTCCACGTGGCACCTTCTAGGTCTAGTAAAACATCTGGTGCATATAAAAAAATAAAAAATCTAATTATTTTTCTGGCATTAGAAAGATCACCTTTTTTATTTTTAATTTTTTTCTGGATAGGAGAGGCCGAGGAAATTGTTAAAAATGCCCATCACATGTTCTAAAGAGTGCAATATCATTTTTCTTTTTTGATGTTATATTTTTTTTAAAAAGTGTGATTTTATGGATAAAAAAAATTATTTTGGCAGCAAGGACCACTCACCCTTTCCTCCCGCTTCCGGCCACCTTTTTTGTAACTAAAATGGTGATGATATGACAAGAGTGAAAAGCAAGATAAGTTATGTATGATTGCATCACCTTATTTAGGTGTCATATGTTTTTCAGCTAATTAATTTATGATCTTGACTGGGTCAACATGATTTCAGGGATTACTCAGTCCATGACTAAGTTTAGGATGGAATAACATAATTTGGAGGAAAAAAATCAGAACATAACTGCTCGTAACTAAAACAAAACGTCAGTCAATAGATTCATGTCAGAATTGGGTAAAGGAAAAAGAGCCATCTCCTCTGGATGCTTGAAAACCAAACTTCATATGCTAAGTAGCTCAAAAGTCCTGTGTCTCAAGCAAGGTGGATCTTGATTCTCATGTCAATAAAATGGATGACGTAAAATGTAGAATCAATATCCAATTGCTTGAGATCACATCATTTTCTTATTATCTTTCAACCAAGAAAAGGTTATATATATCACAGTCAAGACTACAAAAAGGAAGATACAAAAAAAAGCAGTACTTGCTGGATTTTATGGAGCTTGAAAAATCCAAAGTGCGCTTGATAACCACCGTTGCAAATGCTCCCAAAGTTTGTTTTACTAAACTTGCAACAACTTATCAGATGAAGATGCATGAATGTTCTCTGCAAGGCAACTAATATATAGGTTCATCTGCAAGATCACAAAGCTATTAGCATCTGCCGAAGAAAGACGAGTTTTTGCATGCCATCAATAGAAATGGGTGAAACTGTATTCATGTTTGAGAAAAGGTGCATACTGTCGTTGTCATCCTCCATGTTGTAATCATCTTCATCGTCATCGAAATCAATGTTCTGCAAGATTGTAGAAAGTATTAGGTACAATTTGTTTGAGTGATCACTTGCCAACAGAAAAGAAAAGGCTATAACAAGAAGTTTATCATGAACCCTTGCAATAATGCATAGGTCAGGTGTATAGTCTCAACTTATAAAAAGCACCGAGCCCATTGAACAAACATCAAGAACCTTTTTACTTATGCACAAGCCTATTTGAACAGATCTCATTACATTTTTCACATTAAACAAGAATCTACACAAAATTGAAATATTTTCCATCTCAAAATGCATGCTCAACTTTCGATTGATAATATCTCAAATTTAGTTGTTGAAATTAGCAACTTAAATATAATATTTTTCACCAAAATTTCCCCTACTGCTCCTTAATCGGAGTGCCTGCAGCCAATTGAGATTTTCAAATGTCCAACCAATAGCGCATCCGTTCCAACATGGGATGAACATATTTATTAAAGATGCTAAGAACCCTGTCTGCCTGTAAAATGAGAAGCTGGTTAAGAAACTTCACTCTCCAACTTCTTCCATTGAGATTTTGTCAAAACAGAGATACAACAGATTAGCTGGAGACTCCCTTATAATGTGCCATATATTGGGATTCTCCATTTAAAAGCTTTAGATCATGCTATCCTTAACAAGTTGCCAATCACAGAGACAAAGTTTCCATCAGCGAGTCCAGCTCAATGGAATTAATTTGCAGGCTGGAGTGGATCACCTTCCATAAGAAATCTTGTTCAAATGGAGTCTCAATTTTTCTAGTATCATTTAGCACCTATTCATGGCCATTCTTGGTGATGGCATAATCCGTTGCCAATAAGGCGTACAAATGAGATGTTATTATATAATGGGAAATTGGGAATAGCTGATGCTGACAAAGAATTCAACAAGCCTGAATCATCAAAGCTACTCGAAGGCAAGAATGATGCAGATGCAAAATCAATTGAAGTACACAGGATCCTGAGTTTGAGGGAACCTGATTATAATCTCCATCATCATCATCTTCATCAGGTTCTTCTGCTACTTCGTCTTCATCCTCCTCATCTTCGTCTTCTTTCTTTTCCTTTTGAGCCTTCTCACCTTGTTCCTAAACATATGAAATAATCACTAACTGGCCAACATTTTACCATTGGAGCGACCAGAGGCAAACAAATAGAATATTGCATTAACACTTTTGCTCCTAACACAAAAACAAGAAGAGACAGAGGGAAAAAAAAAAAAAAACAAGCCAATAGGGGCTTCATATGAATTGTCAGAAGTACAGCTGAAATCATCTTTGGCCAAATAGTGTAGGTAGAAGCTTGACAGATGCTTGAAGGTTTTTACCTCAGACATCAACTCACACTTCTCATACTCATCCAACTTGCTCAAGCCTGTAACACAAACATCTAAATCAGTTTGCATAAAGATTTGAAGGCTTCAAGCTTCTCAAACATATCTAACTTCAGCAGGTCTATCGTACAAACAAGTACATCAGTTTAAATAGATACCCTCAAGACTTCTAGCTGTAAGAAGTGCTGAGTATGGGTAGTTCTAAAGAACAGATGTCACTGAAAGACAAGACTGCAGATCATAAATTGCCCATTCGGATTGTGTGAAGCACAGGCAAGCCATCAAAATCAGTAACCAAGGAAAAAAAATCTCTTCAAATTATGTGATAAAAATTAGTCAATTATAGTTAGTTGTTTGTGTCATTCATTAGAATCCCTAAACACATAAATTCAAACTCAAACGACACATGAAGCCAAGAAAACCCAACTTCAGCCACTAGCAAATTGAATAGTACGTCACATGTTGTCTCTAAAACAACCAATTATTTCAAAGCTTGTCACCTAGGAAATACTAGGATGATCATACAATTTTGATGCAATTTAATATTATTCATTCATCTTCTGACTACGGTTGAATGAAATCTGACTACAAAGAAAGTTTTCCAAAAGTGAAATGTTTTACATGTCTGGCTGCCTCCTATGAATCATCTCCGCAATGAAACTGCTGTTTACTTGATGCATGTAGACATATCATAAATGTATATTGTCAAGGAACCTAGTAGATCATAAATAAGAAATAAGAACAATCTGAGTGATTCAAAAGAAACTGTCCGCATAACAGAAAACAAGGTCCAGATACATGAGAAACAGAGAAAAATACGAAATACAGTTTGCATGAGAATAAAAAAAATAACCAACTGCCAACTGTGCCTTAATCCTCGATCAAAAATAAGCAATTATTTGTCAATATTAGATCCACTATGTCTCTAATTTAAGTGAGCTGCACAATAATGTTTCTAAAAAATGAAGGAAAAAAAAATTCCGATGTCTATCTCACTTGTTGTAGCTACAATAGAAAGGAGCTTGCGGACCGACCCCCGAAGAAAAGGGCCTTATTTGCATGGGGGATCAGATCCTCTATCCATCTTTCTAACAGATTTATAAGCATGCCGTCAGAGCACGAGATGAATCTATCTAGACTTGCAGTTTTTCCCATTTGAAAAAAGAGGTTCAGATTAGGACTGCATCCATAAACAACTAATAAGAGTAAATAAAGTAAGACCACCATCTCATCTCACCTGCTGTCCACCTCACTCTTTTGTTTGGCCCCTTCCTCTTTAAACCTGAATGGAGAGGAGAAAGCTAAAAAACAAGTATAAGACATGCACTGCTCTCATATCTTGTAAGTTCAGGTTGCAAACCTCCAATAAGTTCTTTAGGAAAATTTTTAGAAGTGAGCTGTAGAAATTGGTCAAGGGAATCACGTTCTGATGTGATCTTTGGCTTTCCCCTGTCAGAAAATCTTTCTATGTCTATGCTCTGGCTCTCTGATGTCACATTCAGAGGAAATGAAAAATTGTAAGGCATCAGAGATTAGGCTACTTGATGTCTTGGAACATTGTTAGCAGAAATGCAGAGACTGGTCAGTTAGCTTGCACATGGGAAATACAAGAATAAAATAATTACAAAATTGGTAACCACTCTCTAATAAAACTGATGCGAAAGGTTCAAAATTCTTGTCTGATATGTACAAACAATCAAGATTAAGCACATGAGATGGGAATGGCAAGAAGGCTTTTTTTCTTTTCCTAATTTCGTACAAATGTGAAGCTAATCTTAAAATAACAGTACACTATTAGATAACGTTAGCCACATTGCCCTCTAACCGGGCTTGAAGATAGATATTTCAGCACTGCATATTTGCAATATTTTCAATATGCTACGTGACAACATTGCAGTTAGAAGCTTTGGTGCTGATGCGTTTTTTGGCAGTTTTTGTCCCTGAACTATTGGCCAATCAAGGCCCCCCTAAAAAATAATAAGTTCATGGACTTGATTGACCAATTAAATAGTACAAGGCTCAATGTCCCGCAACTGTAATAGTTCCAACGCAAAAAATGCCAAAAAAACAAATGTTGGTGTGAAAAAAAATTAAAGAAAAAGAGTTAATAAGGTGGTGTCAAAGATGTAAGAAATTGAATGGTGTTTAAAGAATTTGATATCATTGATGATTTAGTCCATAAATCTGGTTCTTGTTTGATAGCAGTTTGTGGATTAGTGAATCAAGAAAATAGATGCAATCTTAGCTTCCAAGGTTAAGACGTGTAATAGATCTGTTCTCATAATCCAAATTGGTTATAAGAAACATGTAAAAAATCAATTCAAAGAGAAAAGGAGAAAGAGGGATTTGAGTCCTGAATAGTTCTCGCAAACTACATTGGTTTTAAAAACCAAAGCTATCAACCACTAAATAATCTCTCAGAAAAAGAAAAAAAAATCTATTTTACTAATGTAGTATTCTTCTGACTAATAAAAGTTGGAACATTTGAAAGAAAGGAGAAAGAAGAAAAGACAAACTCCACTTTTACAGACTAAAGGGTAAACCATACATAAATCTCATAGACGTCTGCAACTGCTAAAATCATGTAATGTCACTAAAAATATGCACAATTGGCCAAATATTTTTCTTGACATGGTCATGAAACTTTCATGACAACAAGTGCATTGATTTACAGCAAATAAGAATCGTAACATGTCACTAATATCTTGTCAAAACCCATATCCTCAGGCCAAAAAAAATATCTTATTTCTATAATTGACCTACTTATTTGGGAACAAGACACTAAAAAGCGTTCCATGCCTACCCTTTGTAATAATCTCCTCAAGATAATAAGGAGAGGATTTGAAATAATTCGTCAACCTTGAATTCCAAACAACTAATGCCCTTTCTTCCTTCACATCTTTGGGATCAGGTAATTCAACTTCCTGGAATTGCACAAAGACATATTTTATTTTACTTCTTTGGAAAACAATGTAAAGTATGACATCCCATTAGATTTCTCTATCTAATAATAACAAACAATGCATTTTGCATTGAATCTACAATCATTGAACAACAGAAACAGAAACTAGATGCATTAAACACCACAACATAAACAGTAGAAGGATTATAAAAAAAAAATTACAATAATCACAAAGACTAAGTCATTTCGTTCCCCGTAGAAACACACCAACTCCACCATCATCTACTTCGAGAAACTCTGAATCATACCAATGAATTTCCCTCGAATGAACTTCAAGGAAAAGTAACCCAGCAAAAAGTGAACCCCATTACTTCCAAATTGCTCTTTGCCCTGTCTTTCATCTAATTTACTAATCCCATAAAAGAATCATTGCAACCATAGTTCAAATGTCCACAAATTCCAAAACCCATAAATTAAATAAAAAATGAACAACGCAAACTAAACCCAGTAAATTAAATTTGCAAAACTCTATCAATAGCAGCAAGAGAATTACAAGCAAAGAATAATAAATGAATAAATAAAAAAGAAAAACCAAAGAAGAGAAGAATTGAGGGACATACAGGAAACAAGTCAAAGGGCTCTTGCCTTGCATAGGTAAAACTACCTCCTCCAAATCGTCCTCTCCCTCTACCTCTCCCTCTATATGCCATATCTGCACTTCACTGTAGCTTTGTTTTCGAGCAGAGAGCTGTTAGAACTTTTATAGTTCTTGCACACGGGCAGGGCAGCGGGGTTGCATGGTTAGTTCTTAAACGACAATTCAGTCGTAGCAACGACAAGGTAAGGCTCCATGGATGATTAGTCGCTCGCTCCCCATGTCGTCCGAAAGTAATTAACCAACGCTATTTGAATTATTCATTTAATTGAAATTTTGTAAACATATTTTTTCTTTTAAGGTGCAATGATATTTTTTTTATGGGAACTGTATTATATTATTTATAAATAATAATATGATTATAGGTTAATTACATTAATTTATTTTTTTTAAAAAAAAGAGAAAATAAGAATGTTCTAAAATTTTATTTCAAAATTTATATATTTCGAGAAAAATAAATTATATTTATAAGTATAAAAAATTTTATGAAAGAAAAAATTAATAATTAATTATACGAAAATTTTCATAAAAAATAAAAAACTAAAGAAATATATTTTACATAATAAGAATAATATAATCTAAAATATGTCTATTTTAAAATATAAAAATATGTAATTTTTTGTTTTTTTTGTCGTGCCAAAGATTTTTAACTATTGATCTTTTAAATTTTTACACAAAATTCAATAATGTTTATAAAACATTAAATAAGTTAATGAAAAATAACAAAATAAAATAAAAATAAAAACCAAGCTAGACCTCCGCGAAATAGGCTTTTTTTATTATTAAAAAAAAAGATAATGCGTTTTTTGGTTAAGTGTGCAGATGTGTCGTCCGAATACTAACACTAATCAACTTTATTGACTAGAAAATTCGCCCAAAAAATCGAGTTTTCAGTTTTCGACCTTCTAAACCTAATTTCAATGTATATCTTTCCTCTAACTTTCCTCTTTTAACTTTCTTAATTAGTTTTTTATTCTTCAATCTCTTATAAATCAAATTTGAACAGCTATTTTTCTAGTATATCAAAATCCTGTTTCAAGCATTACTTACGAAGAGGTATTCTAAACGTTACTTTTGAAAAGGTTCTACACGCTCTTATAAAAACTGCCTCCATTCAGATTTATGTATTTTCTCTTAGAAAAAGTAACTGCTCAAAAAATAATTTTTTTTCATCGATCTTAAAAAAAATAATTATTTACATTGCGTAATATTAAGAGCAGAGAGATGGTGACAGCATCTCAAAAATGAATAAAAAACTGGCAAATACAAATCTCTCTCTCTCTCTCTCATATATATATATATAACGCCATATTCATTCTATTTTTACAAAATTAGAGGGATTAATTTCTATTTACTAGAAAAAAAAATCGTAAACTCATTCCATCAGGATATTGGGAAAAATATATAATAATCTGAACTCGAAACGTGACAAGAGCCCAAAACAATCCGAACTCAAATTTGTCCAATCTCATCCCATTTATAGGTAAATTGTTAAAGAAGCTGAAGGAGGTATTAAAGATGAACTTTATCAGCTGAATTGAACATCGACCATGGATTAAATTACATTAAAGTCGAGCATTATTAGCTCTTCGATAATTGGATAGTGGCATTTTGCCTGTCAAGATCTGAGATTCGAGTCAAAATTCCATTTATTGAAAATCAGCACTAGAATTATGTGCCATGTTCTTGCAAGTAGCTTGGTTCTGTTAATAACATTAAATTGATCATATAAAGACCAATAAAGTCATTAAACCAACCTAGTTGAATGTGGGCAAAGAAACAGAGCATTTAACTGATGTAATACATTGGATCAGGTAGCTTGAATGTTCGCTTGCCCACATTGGTCCCTAAAAGATCACTCCATTGATCGCCCATGTTCCCAATAATTCTGTATCCTTTCTTCTCAAGCTTTGCCCTTTCGCTTGATTTATAAAATACCGCTGTCTTTCCTGCATAAGATGATGACCTGCATGCAACCATGAGTGATCAATAAAAAGATCGAATGATCAAATCGGAGAATTATAACTCTCCAAACCAGCACCCTTTTCAACCAAAAAAGAAGAAGAAGGGGATATATGCATCCATGTGGATATGTGCGTGTTATGATCAGTAAATGGACTGAAACTAGACCATTACAACTTCTGGCAACATGAAAAATGTTTTTATTTATTTATTTCTTTTTATATTAGCAATAATAAATTTACCCCTTGGCTGCAAACTTATAGATAAGACCATAACTTTTTGAAAAGGACAATTGCATTAAAAAAAAAAACCCTTAATTTGGACAGCTTTATGTTATATTTGAAGAAGCTGAAACATGCCGAACCTTAATTAGGGTTTGTGTCACAATCTAAGTTAGATGCTCCTTTGACTTCTACGTTTTTGTAGGGTAGACTTTAATTACATATTTTACCTCTCAACGAAAAATTGTCCACAACGTTCTTTGGAAAATTCTTATTAATCTGAATCCGGTTTGATTATATAATTTGGTAGAAAATTAATAACCCACTAAGAGTTGTTCAAAACGATTTGAATATGCGTGTGAAGTATCAGCAAACATAATATAATTTATCGTGCTACATATATATATATATAGAGAGAGAAGAAAGCTTACTTAAGTATAAGCTTCTCCCAGTTGTGGTACCCAGCATTCTTCAGATTGGTTGATGTCACTGCTCTTTGTTCTTCAGGTCTTCCGGTTAAGAAGACAACCTTAATCCCAATAGACAGTAATTTCTTGTACAGTTTGAGAGACTCCGGCAATGCTACGGCTTTGCCTTTGAAAACCCATTGGTTGAATGCTGTGGAATTGTAAGGCTCCGCCCTGTAATATTTGTCAATGCAACAAATCACATCATTCAACAGCAAATGAAAGAAAACACATCAAATTATTTGTCGATATATATATATATATATATATATATCATGGAGTTGTTAATTTTAGGTGGAGTATTTATTAATCAATTCTATATGATATAAAGTGAGTTCATCATAAGAAAATGTAGTTACAAATGTAAAACAACGTCATTATCATATAAATTATATTAAATACTTCTCTTATTGTATCCTCCCCCTGTTTTTTTTTTTTGGAAATGTAATAGATTAGTGTTAACAACCATTTATAGAATGAGAAAGTATAAAAACATTCATCATTAATCAATTTTATCGGTAGCTCAAAAAAGCTTATCAACATCGACTTTATAATCCAAAAATGACCAGCAAATACATGGATCCTACTATATAATAATAATAATAATAATAATCAAGGGGTTGTAGTTAACATTAAATCAGTAAAATATGTGTTGTATATTTTGCACGTACGTACCCAAATAAATGTTCAGCGTAGTACGGTAAATTTGAAAGAGTAGTTTCATCAACGTCGAAGACCCAAATATCTTTGCCGTCTCCAGCCAGCTTGAAGCTTTTAGCATGGGCGAAAGCCGCATCAGTTATGACAGCTGAGTCTCCCCGGTACTGGTCGCCTAACATGTAGTGACCTACGTAATTTTCACATTCTTCAGGAACTGTTGCCCATCCAACAAGATTGTTTGTTTCAACAGCTAGTCGCCAACTCAGGCAAGACACGCCATGAATGTGGTGGCCGGAAGAGCCGGATTTTGGCCTCAGAAGGTGAATTTGGAGGGGATAATTGCTAAATTGTGAGGCATGGGAACTTGCTAAAATCACTGCAAGAAAAAAGATCTGCAAAAATAAGGAAGACATGATATTTGCTGTGTAGATGTAAAGATGAGGTTTTACTCGAAAGCAGTCCCCTTTAAATGGGGCATGTAGTGTTATCTGACCTCGGATTTGGTTCAAATTTCAGTGGTGTGCCCTTGCTGATCATGATGGGCAAAAGATCGTATTTCTATGGCGGATCCTGTTTTGTGTACTTAAATTCAATATCGACCATAAAATATTATATTTTCTAGCTTTAATTGCTCTCAGATAAAGCGCCAAATGAATTATTTATCTAGGACGACGGACCACGTTTTATTTGTTATGTAATGTAATGTAATAATGACCGCAAATAAGAATTAAGAAATGCAGATAAGAATCGTAACACGTCACTAATATCTTCTCAAAACCCATATCCTCGGGCCAAAACAATCTCTTATTTCTATGATTGACGAACTTATTTGGGAACAAGCATCAAAATAATAAAGAAAAGTGGAAAGAATAACCTTTTCTCGTTTAATTAAATTATAAGTAGAGTATATATATATAGACAAAAACTAATTAACAAATAACGAATACTCTAAGTAACTATGTAGCTGTACAAAAGACCAAAAATCTCTTATTTCTGTGATTGACCAACTTATTTGTTATGTAATGTAATGTAATAACGACCCAAGAGAATGAATTTTTTATGAAATACCTTAAGAGGAAGCAAATATATATATATATTCCTATAGAGGTTTGAACAGTTGAAATTACTTTTCACTTTGTCACAAATCATTATCCAATCCTATAGTAAATTTTTTTTTCTTTTAAGTTGTTTCACTATATATTTTTTTTCCTTTGCTTTTTTTTTCACGTATTTAAGTTCTTTCTTTATTTAATTTTTTAAATTTCAGGTTTATTTTATTTTGATCTTTAAAATTTTAAACCTCTAACTCGATGTACTACATATGCCTTTTCTTTTCTATTTTTCCTTTGCCTTTTTTCATAAATTTATGATCTTTTTTTATTTAATTAGGTGTTAAAATTTTAAAAAATCAATCGTTATTTTTTTTCCGATGATTATATAATATATACAATATGTTTTTAGATTTTAGAATAAATATAAACTCGCTCTTATTGTTTAAAATTGATTTTTTTAAAAAAAAATTCTCATCAAGTTAATTTTTATTCTTATTTTTTATAATTTTATTTATTAATAAATATGACTTAATTTCTCCGTATATGTATTCGAATAAGTTTTTTTTATACCTATTTTATTTTGCTAAATTCTTATATAATCAAATTTTAAAAATTGAGTATATGTATTTTATTTTCTTATTTTTTATATAATCAAATTTTACCAAAATCAGCTTTATAGTTTTTACTAGCACTCTATTAACTTCAATATATATTTTATCATTTAATTTTTTAAAATATTTTTTAATTTTTTTATACATTCTCACTTATTGAGTACGATCATGATAAATAAAAAATAATGACACTAGATTCATTGATTTTATTAGAAATCAACTATGCATCTACACATACAATACTAACTATTTGTTATTATTTTTTAAATATTTAACATAAATTTTTTAAAATAAAATAATTAAAATAATATTTTAGAATAATTGCCTAATAATTCAAATACAATTTTGTATACTAATATTATTCATGATTTTGTAAATAAATATATATAAATCAAATGTATATATTTTAAAAAATAAACTTCTCGTATGTAAAAAAGTTTCATTTGTTAATTTTCATATAGGTTTCTATATTAATTATTGCTTTATTTCTTTGAAGCAACATACTGAAAAAAAAATATTAAGATGTTTTTTAATTTTATATTAAAATTTTTTTATTGTGGGTTTTTATTTAAGAATAAATGCATAAGAAAAAACAAATCATATTTTTTTTACTTCAAAATTTATTTAGAACACACACACACACACACACACACACACACAAAACACAAAATTTTGATTAAAAAATTATAAAATTAGATGAAATTTTACATTTTATATTTAATTTAATATATTTTAATTAATCGACAACATAATATATGTTATTAAACTGAAATAAATATGTTTAGTTCCGGCATGAGAATCCGAACTCGTTCATATGTCTAAAATTCTTATTCATTTACTCGTTCATATGCATAAAATTATTATTCACTTGATGGCAATTTAAGTAATTTTTGTATGTGATTTTTTTTTATGTGTTTCTAGGCATCAAGATGCAAATTTAACGCTTTTTTTCTATTTTTGGTCCCTCATGTTGTAACATTTTTTTAAATTCTTAGTTTTCATTATTTTTTCATTTTTGCGCAATGTATACACACACACACACACTATCTTTTTATATTTTAAAATTAATATATACTTCAGCTTATATTACTATTATCATTTTTTATGAAAATTCTCGTCCAATTAATATTTTTTTATATAAGATTTTATTTATCGATAAATATAATTTATTTTTCTCCATCTTTGAATTTTAGAATAAAATTTTAAAATATTTTTTTAAAAAAATAAAAATAAATTGATATAATATATATCACGAATTCTTAAAATTTTTAATTGATAATTGTGATATATAAATATATAATTATTTTATTCTAAAATGTTAAAAATGTATTTCAAATAATCTGTCTCCGTTCACTAGGCATGATCAAAACGTATAAAAAAAACTATTGAATCGTTGATTTTATTAAAAATTAACTATATATCTTCCAACATAATACAAATTATTTACTACGAATATTTTTTAAAATTTATAAAACCAATTTATTTGAAATAAAATAATTAAAATAATTTTTTAAAGGAACCAACCAATTATTCAAATTCAATTTTTTATCCTAATTTTATTGATTATTTACTAAATAAATATATATAGATCTAATGCATATACGTGAAAAAAAAAAAAATCTTCTCACCAACATTAAATAAGAATAAAATTTTATTTTTTCATTGGTTAATTTTTATTCAAGTCTATACATTAATTGTAACTTTATTTTTTGGATACATTTTTATAAAAAAAAAATTAAAGCATTTTCTTTTGAATTCTTAATTAATATTTCATGTTTAAATTATTAAAAGTTTTTATTTAAGAGTCCCTAAATAAAAAAGAATAAATCATTTTTTTAAGCGTAAATTTTATGAAAAACACAAAAAAAAAATTAACGAAAAAATTATAAAATTTTTAAATGATTTTTTTCTATCTATCCGTAGCGTTGCGTGAATAATTTCAAAAATTAATATTTTCATTGGCATTAAATAAGAATTTTTTTCATTTGTTAATTTTTGTAAATATTTATCCATTAATTATAACTTTATTTTTTGAAATACAATATTATGAAAATTATATTTTTAAATTTTTTTTAATTATTGATTAATATTTTAGCTAAAATCATTACATTTTTTTTATTTTCAAATTAATCCATAAAAAATGATTTATGTTTTTTTTTAAGTAGAAAAGTTATTAAAAAAGTTTAAATTTTAAAATGATTTTTTTATACTCGGATCCGCAACATAACATGGGTAAACGATTAGTAAAAACACTCTAAAAAACGTTGTGGCTTCTTGTAAAAAAGAAAAAAAGAAAACAGAGCTCATTAATTTTTCATAACTAGCTTTTAATTAAAAATAATAATGAAAAAATTGTCATTTTAATTTAAAAAATAAACAATAAGAAGTTGTATTCTAGGTCAAAAGTAAAGATATCTTACTTTGTTTTTAAGACAAAGCATTTTTCTTTTAAACCAAATTGTTTTTGGGCTAAATATAACTAAAAATGGTTGTGTTCTAAAAGCACAACAATATCATTACACGGGCAATGTCTACCGTCACATAGCTCTTAGTTAGAGATTCTATATAGATATATTGAAGAATTGAAAAGAAAAAATATTTTCTCTACTTTTCTTCCTTCTGTAATGTTTTCCTTACGAGATTTTCTAGATTTCTTGCGTAAATGGAATTCAAGGAGAAAAGGATTGATTAATGTGAGGATTGGAAAATTAAGAATAAGATAAAGGAAATGGATGGTTTTGTTTAAGGGAGTACTGGTATCTAGATTTTCATTAAATAAAATAAAAATTATTTGGGTGTTTGTTATGGTACTTTCTTGCATAGGATTATCATTTAATTTTTAATTTTTAACCTAGACAACTAATTTTCTATAGTAGGAGCAGTAGAATTCCCATACATTTGGAGGGTTCAAAACATTAACTTCTATAGGATGTATCAAGGTTTTTTTAAAAAAAAACTTATTAAAATTTATTGATGAAAATAATAATAATAGACAGAGCTTAAGTAATTGTAGTTGTTTTAGTACCAGAAGTCTGTATTCCCATGAGAAAAAGAAAAATAGAGTTTTTTTTTTTCTAACACTCAGACCATATATTCGCGCTATATATAATCCACCATGGTTGGATATTAGGTCATGGAGAGCTCGTTGTGACCAAAAGAAAAAGAAAAGTCATGATCAAATTGGATTCTAAATTTCTAACAACACCGCCCATTGCTAGATTCACGGCATCCTCTACCCTTTTTCCCAAGAATAATAAGCATGCCGGTTGACGATGAGGGAAGGATCGAGTAGATGAATAGAGTAAACCAGTGAATCTGAACCAGGGATCTCAAGGGTTGACCTATGAGAGTGTTCTCATGGCTCATCACTCATTACTTGACATGAACAAGCAAAGCAAGGCTACGCCCACTATTTTCTGTCATGACTTCTGTGACACAACCATCACCAACTACCAAAACTTCTAAAGCAAAACTAAAAAAAAATACTGTACATAATGCTATTCATCATCACACAAAATACTATTCATCGAAGATAGATGGAGCATTGGTATGTTTTTGTGAATTTTAAAACTTTTAGAGGCATTTTATATGCTGCTTACAATGGCATTTTCGTTAATTTAGGTAATTTTTTATCTTTTTATTTGCTGCCTCCCTAAAAACTATTTACTAATCTACGTCACTGTTCATGACCTCACAAAAACTCTTTCGTAAGCAATATTTTACAAAAATTGTATTTTTATTCCTAATTTTTTGATTTAAAGTAAATTTTATAAAACTCCCGACTTAAGACCTATAAGAGTAATAATATTATCATCATTAACTTACATTCGAAGTGGAGTGAATGTAGACTAACAAGATATCGTGTCTTATACATGCTCCTTCTAGGTATAGAATACGCTCGTGAAAGTTTACTATTTGACTCTTAGGTCCTACCTTTTGGTCTAAATGCATTATCCACTTTTCACATATTATCATTTTATTTTAATTGTTTGAACTATATGAACTCGAATCTAGGATGCTCGATCTTACTATATCCTTTTTTGGTTAGTCTATATAAATTCATATAATTATTACTCGTTACTCAATGATTAATTCCTTTTATTTTCATTGATTACCATTTACTATAGTTATTGTTTTATAAATTTCATATTTCCTTGTTTTACTATTGATGCTAACACGTAAGGAAATAACTTAAAGAAAACTACACTAACTACGGTTGTATTACTATTTTACTATCAATATTTTGTTTACGGACAAACTATGCTTAGCATACAAAAACCGATTTAATGCCGCATACTATAAAAATGGCTTATTCATCTACTTACATTACACTTGCTAGTTTCCTATTTATTTGTTCATAGCTTTAAGTATAGCATAAAACAAACTAGTTAGTCACAACACATATAATATAATACCTAGCACTAAAAAAAAAAACCACATACACGAGATCTACCTAAAACTCGAAACCTCATCCAATGCATAGGTGGCGCGTACACCATTTGGTAAACAATTCAGTAGTGAAATGTGCCATGATTACCTATGCTATCTACATCACAAGAAAAACCAAGTAAGCGATGGCTCGGTAAGTTAACCTATGCATGCTATGCTTGTACAAACTATCCTTAGCATACAAAAATCGATTCAATACTATATACTACAAAAGTGTCTTATTCATTTACTTACATTACACTCGCTAGTTTCCTATTTATTTGTTCATAGCTTGAAGTATAGCATAAAGCAAACCAATCGATCACAACACATATAATATAGTACCCAACACTAAAAAGAAAACCACATGCATGAGATCCACCTATAACCCGAGACCCCATCCAATGTATATGCGACGCGTACACCCCTCGATAAATAATTCGAGTAGTGAAGTGTGTCATGATTACATGTGCTATCTACACCGCAAGAAAAACTAAGTGAGTGACGACTCGGTAAGTTAACCTATGCATGATATGCTTGTAAATGAAATGCATATATGTATAAAAAAATCATTTGCATATGCATTATAAATTCTTTTCTCGTGTTATAAGATCTTTCTCATGATCAATCTGAAAATTCTTTTATGTCCTTGGACGTGTCCTATTATAGGCACTTCGGGGTATCTATAATCCGTCTAGCAAACTGCACCCGTCTCGTGATGCACCTCGCTCGAATCTCTAAAAGTGCACGTCCGCACTTATCCAGCTCCGAACCATAAACCATAACCGGTACAAAAAACCCGCAAAGCCCTTCTCATTAAACTCATTGAAGCTATGAGAACCATATAACCATAAAATATTTCCAATTACAATTGGAAAAATCTTAACATGAAAACCTTTTTTTCAAGACTTTAAACCATTTTTATAAATTTGACATGCATATGCATTTTATTGGAAATGCCTAACCCTTATAGCTTCATGAAATGCATGCCATGAGTGAGATGCATTTATTCCATGATAATGCATAATTCAATAACATGATATGCATCATATACATTAACTCATTAAAATCAATTCAAACCATACCAAATAATGGCATCATTACACAACATAAAACAATGCATTTCCATAATCATCAATATTATAAGTTCCACACATCAAATACACATCGGACACACCAAATAGTATCAAAGGAATTAAATTACAACTAACTTGCACAAAACAAACATAAACCCTAAAATTTTCAACCTAGGTCGAATGACCACCATAACCTAAACCTAGTATTTCTTTTTAATCTCAACACCAATTTCTTATACATTTTCATTCCATTACACTTCAATATTAAAAGCTAACTCAATTAGGAATTCATTGATTAATTTTATGCATAAACTCTAAATTGGATCTTAATGGGCCTAAACCCTAATATAGGTAGTTTAAGCTAATTTTTCAATTTCCATGAAATTTATCATTCTAACCTATCTCACTACTTTATTCCAAGTTTAAATTGAACAATTGAACTATTAGAAGTTAAATGTACATAAACCCTAATTTATTCCCAAATTGGGTCGAATATGCGCCTAAGTAATTTAGGTGAAATTCTTCAATTTTTATGGAATTTTTCACTTTCATTCATCAATTCATACTTAACTAACTTCTAATCAACCAATGATTCATTAAATAAATAATTGAATTAAAATCCTAAAATTTGACATTTTGGGCCGAATGTTCCTCTAAGAAATTCAATGAAAATTCTTCAATTTTAACGTACTTTTTCACACTCAATTATTAATTCGCACTTAATCAACACATAATCAAATGACAAGTCATCAAACCAAGCTAATCATCAAAAACACTAAAATTCAAGAATTTGGCCAAATGGGTTGTCGTTCCTAACCCTAAAATGTTTTATTTTTAATCATCAATTTTATTCTCAATTGACATGTTTAGACTTCAATTGCATAAATTACTAAATTAAATTCATTTTCTCCATTTTTTTCTCATCAAGAACCCTAATCCTAATTTTCAAAATTAAGGCTAATAAACATAAATTAAAGCATCCAAAACATAAATTAGCATCGATTAAACACTCCTTATGATGTAGGTGAGATTAACTTATATAAACAAGCTCTAATTTGTTCTTGAAAAGTGAAATTTCCTTCCTCCCTCTTTTCTAGTAAATTCAGCCCAAACTTCAATTTTTCCCTTTGATGATCTTTGCCTCTCTAGATTGAGGTACTTGTTTAACTAAGTGGTTTAAAATGTTTAGAGGTGATTTTAGTGAAATTTTAGGGTGGAATTCTTATGAAAAATTTGTAAGAATTTCCATTGTATTTTTTCTATTTTTCATGCCATTTTCATTTTCTTGCACCTATATTTATAGGCATAATTGGGTGGACTTTTAACGTAATCTATACCCTTAATTTGGTGCAATCATAGCCCTTAATCTCTCTTTAAATCTTAGCCATTCATTTAGTCTTTAAAATTTGTCCCTCCTTCTCACCACTCTCTTTAAATCTCTTCATTACATTTGTGCATGCATTAATTACACCCTAATTATTGAGCTGAAAGTGGTGGCAAGAGATGAAGAAATTCCTCCTTAAAATTACTTAATTTTGATTCTTAAAGTTACTAATCTTTTCTCTAATCACTCCTCCCTTAGTCCCTTAAATATTCAATTGATTGCTTTAGGCCCTTCCTTTTAAGGTTTTCCAACAAGTTTTTAATTCTTTAAGTTCATACCTAATTTAATTTGAAAGTTCAAACTTTTAATTTAATCCAATTAGGTCCCTAACTCTAAAATTTTATTCCATATCTTTCTAAACTTCAATTTCTTTTCATAATAAACTCAAACACTTCCTAAAAGAATTTACTCATGATTCACGTAATTATTCCCCATGCATAGAAAAATTCATCTAAGTTTATTAATATTCTTACACATCCAAAATGATTTTTCTATGCCGATTGGATAATTTTATTATACCTTCAAAGCACTACATTAATCAATTCACTTCAAAAATACTACTCATGCACAATAAAGTTCAAATAAAATATTCATAGAATATCATAAAATTCATCCAATATTATCGAATAATTTAACACCCCTTTAGCAAATATTTTATTCAAATAAAATATTTTTTATGCACATTCATCATGCTTAAAATAATTATTTTACACAAAAAGTCACTATTCAAGCACCGAAAAATCAACAAAATATTACTCGAGCATGGAAAACTATTTTAACTATTATGAATGCTCTAATACCCTTTTAAAATCATGCCATGCTCACAAAATATTTTTCGTATGCCTTTAATAATTTTAAATTTATTAGCTATCAGTTTTAACGAGTACCAAGTATTACAAATTTAGAACATGATTATTTAAAAAAAAAATTGATATAATTTAGATAATTGACTATTACATTTTTTTTTAAATTAGAGTAGCATGACATATAATTTGTCTAAGATATATTTTTTTATTAAAAACCTGTTTAAGATAATTTGTCTTGATTTTTTAAAATAGTTAATTACTAATTAAAAGTCATAGATCAAAAAAAGAAAGAAAGTGATTGTAGTGTATACGAGGTCTATGCGAGAGGGACTAGTCATGTATGGCTTAGAAATAAAAAGTTATTTTGGAACAAAAAAAGAGAGGAATTTGTGTGTTTTATTTAGTTCTTATTTATATAATCGAATTATTTTAATCTGTAAAATTTAAATTTATTCAATATATTCCTTACAAATAAACTTTTTTAATATATATATATATTACAAACTATAAACCTACTTAGTATATTTATAATGTATATAAAAAAAATTGAATCATTAGTTTTTATAAAAATCGGTTATGCGACTATCGAACGCCGAACAATTACTATTTATTTTTAGATGTTTTAAATCAATTTCTTTCACATTACATATATGAAATTATGCTTTTGCATAA